CGCTTCTTAGCAAGCACTGGCTGGCGGACACACTCTGCAGGCAGCAGAAGTACCCGGAGGCAGAAGAGCTATTTCGGCAGTTAATACAAAAACAAGAGAAGGTCCTAGGCAAAGAGCATAAAGACACACTTAATAGCAAATACCGGCTGGGAGAAGCACTATACAAGCAATACAAATATCCCGAGGCAGAAGAGATATGCCGGCAAGTATTCCAGGACTCAGAGCTGGTGCTGGGTAAGGAAGATAAGTTGACGGTCTACTCTAAGCACCTGCTACAAAAGCTAATGCTAAACGTTTCTCCGCCAAATATCATGAAAGGCGCTACTGAGATTGCTCACGGTCGCTTGGACGCATTCTTTCCGCAAAGCACCGAACGTCGAGCTCCATACAACGACTCAAACATCTACGAGATCTCATCGATTTTGAAAACGTTAAATCTGCGCTGGAGCACCGTTCCGCGAATGTATATCGTGCTCCGAACTATCAACTGCCTCGATGTTCTTGATAACTTCGTCGACCTTGGATTCTCCGATTACTTGTTCCCCGTAACCGAGAAAAGTCTTCCACACTGTCTGCGCCCAAGCTATCGCTCCAAGTTTGTGGATACCCAGGGTCTGGTATTGACAAAGTCCATGAATCTCGAGAATGGTCAAACGGGCCAACACTGCCACTTTCGGCGGGACGAACCTTTACCTATTGAGACAAAAGGAATCTTGGGCTCCGGAGGGTTTGGCCAAGTAGACAAGGTTCTTAGCTTGATCAGTTTCCGTGAGTACGCAAGGAAACGTGTGCCTCGAGCTTCCATATTTGGCGGGCGGAGAACAGAAGCCATGAAGCAGTTCATTGCCGAAATTCAGATCCTTAAACGCCTGGCGCACACCCACATTGTCGATTTCGTTGGAAGCTACACTGATTCCCGATATGTGTGCTTGATCATGTCACCCGTGGCAGATATGGACCTATCTGCCTACCTTACGCGTATTGACTCGGTCAAGCATGCGGACCTGCGCACGTTTTTTGGCTGTCTAGCTACGGCGCTTAAGTATCTGCATTCAAAAAACATTCGACACAAGGACATCAAACCGCAAAACATCTTGGTGAAACATGGCAAAGTCATATTTACCGATTTCGGGCTTTCGTTAGACTTTACAGATGCCAATGGGAGCACGACGGTCAGCATGGTAAACGGGATGACTCCGAAGTACTGCGCGCCCGAAGTCGCGCTGCATGAGCCTCGAAACACGTCATCCGATATCTGGAGTCTTGGAGTGGTCTTCCTCGAAATGGTTGTGGTACTTAAAGGGCTGCCAGTTGAGTATATGTACGAATTTTTGAAAGAGCACGGATCTCGAGAACCGTATGTCCGCTCGAACCCTACTGCCTTGCAAGAGCTTCTTGCAGAGCTTGAAGGAATGCCGAATCTATGCGACAATCGGGTTGTGGCGTGGGTCCAACAAATGCTGCTGGTAGAGCGACAGTCACGGCCAACCGCGTCTGCTCTGGTGGCATCCATCACTGCCGCTAGTAGTGATGGGAGAAATAGCGCAATTTTCTGCGGGATATGTTGTCGTTTTTTGGACGAAGAATTTTCTGACACTTCCGATGAGCTGGACGACTTCGTTGTACGCTGACTTTGTCCATAATTAACGATAATGGAAAGGCTTCAAGAACGCTTTCTCTTCAGGCTCGGAGATTTCCTCATAAGCCTCCCTCGTTCTATTCACTCCCTACCTTTGTAAGAGCAATTCATGCACTCTCTGTAATTCGTTCTTGAAAGAGATATATTCTATCATACCCGAACCGAGAGGAATCTACACATCACCTTAGTCCGACCATGGGTCACAACCTGTGTCCGGATGGCCACATTCATTCTTCAGTGTGGTATCTCGGTTTGAGATGCGACGAAGGCGTTTGCTGTGATTTTTTTCCTCTTTTCGCCTCCCGTTGCTTCTTCTTCCTTTCAAATTCCTCTTTCTGCTTTCTTCCCCAAACTGCCAATTCCTCCATATGGCCGATACACCATAGCACCACTTCCCGCGCAGCGAAAGCATCCTCAACGGAGTCATGTCCGCTTTTCCCATTATTCTGAATTTCAATGCCTAAAAATTGATCACACATCGTTTTCAGTCCCCATTGCCGGCTCACGCCAGTTCCTACGGCATCCTTAGCCAAGATTCCCGAATCCACCACCTTCCAATGCTGCATTCTGAGCCCGTCGAAGTCATGATGTAGCGCTTGCCCGACTAGAACTGTATTGGAATCAATATACTTCCACAACTCGGCGCGCGCTTCCGGCCAGCCCTTCAGCACCCGGTTCTCGGCCACGGCAACAGCCATGGCGTTCTTCGTGATTCCACTGAATCTCGTGCGCCAGTCCGTGACCGGCCGAGTCGGCTGGACCAAGCTATCAATGAGGACTTCACCGCTAAGGTAATCAATTGCTGAGAGGCGGGCTACTTCGGACTCGCCATTCCGCCCCACGCCTACCATCTCGCAGTCCAGCGCCACCGCGCCGCGCTTCGGTACCTGAGTATCATGCGCAGGACTTGGCAAGGGTATGAGGGATAGCGCCACTTCGGCTCCTGGAACTTTAGCGTAGCCGGGTCCTGAAGTGTACTTGTTCTTGGTCAGGGTGGCGTAGGAATGACAATTCAAGTCGAGGGCGGCCAGGCTTGCGGCTCGTTGAAGTACGGGGATAACCGACCACGTCGGGCTCGGGTGTGTTGCGAGAGCTTGCGGCTTGGGTTCTATACCACCGTGTAACTTTGGTGTATTTGTGCCCATCGTAGCCCGTTCGTTAGGTATGACCCGCTCTTGGAAGGATTTTAATGGGGTGATGGAGCCCTCGGTGGGCAGACGTGTAGGCAAGGTGCTGCATGCTGAAGACCCGAAGTGCAAGCGGAGAGATTCCCAGCTCGCGAAGGCGAAACCACAGAACTTGCAGCTGCTGCCTGGGTCGACTAACGATATCGCTTGTGCTTGTTGCTGCGGCATTGGCAACAGGAGTGAAAATTCGAAACCATTTCCGCCATGGTCCACCATGAGCGGAGAAACTAAGGGTTTTCCACCGTTGCGAGGGGTGGCGATGAGATAACAGTCGTCCATGTCGTATGGTGTGTAGAGTTCGTAAAGCGAAGCATTCCGTACAGATTGTGGCATCTCATCTGGAGGCAACGCTGAATTTGGGGATTCCCCTTGCGACTCCGCAGCCAATCTAGATTGGAAAGGATGCTTATTGGCATTCAATATATGCGGGTTTCCTTGGACCAAGGGCAAAGGGCTGGTAACAAACGTGTTAGTAGCTTTGAAAGCCCCATTGTGAATGTCACTAGGAAGAAGATCTCCTACAGCGATTGCTGGAAGTTTAACGGTCATATGGGAAACCTGCGAAGCCCCGGAATAGCCCGGCTTATTTTTCATCGTGGAGATGCTGCCACCAGCAGTTTGGGTGGACTCCATAGGTTCCTTCCGGACAGGCACCGTGTGAATATGCTGAGCGCGAACCGGTAATTGATTTTTTGACGGTGCATCTTTATGGACGGGTGAGTTTAGATGTTGTTGGAGCGCCTGCTGGCTTGTGAAGTTCTTCGTGCATCCACTGGTCGTGCGAGGTATCAAATGTCCGGTGGAGCGGCTATGATCCGCTAAAGCAGTGCTGGTAGAAAATGACTGTGCACATTTGATGCAAGAATGTGCCGTCGAAGAGAGATCAGAGCGTCGGCTGGTGGCCATTGTGGCGATGTATTTCCATCAGCACTGGACATGAACGACGTTGATGTATGATAACACGGGGCGCGACGAAGCGCTCCATGGGCTGTGCCGCATGCACGGCGGGGCTGGGATCAGAAATCTATCCAACCACGGGAACCTGTTAGCGCTCGACACGTCGACCCTTTATTACTTCGTAGATTCATAAAAAAATCTCGAGACGAATTAGACTATCACGAGTTGGAGCGGGGATGAAGCAGTGACAGTAACAAACTTTGGAGATGTGAGATTATCTCTGGATGCGGTTCAGCTGGAAGGCGAAGAAGGGGAAGGAGTTTAATGACTCGAAACGAATCGTGAGATTTGTCTATGGGGTCGCAGCTGAAGCACCAGTGCTTGTTGAAGAGCGATGTATTTGCCATGGTTGTCCAATACGTGTGCTTGAAGGCTGCGATATCTTCCGTATCAAATCTTCCGCCTACCTGGACTGAAGCGCTGTTGCAAGAAGGGAAGAATTCTGAAAAGTCAATAAACTAGAGGGAATATTCGGGAATATCTTGCAAACAACGGTTTGGTTTCGATATACCGATGTTCTCGAAGCTATCTTTGAGGTAAAGTCAGATCTTAACCCGTCGACTAAGACTCAACAATATCGATAAGCATGCGATCAATAACAGTTTGGCGTGATGATAAATGCATACAGTTCAGTAGTTAGTTTTGAGCTACACACAAAATCCATTTCAGTCGTATCGTCGACATTACTACAAGGGTATGTCTAAAAATAGAGTAGTTAAGGCATTATTTGTGAACGTCCGGTAACTCTACCGTGCAAATATAGACTAATTGCCAATGCCTAATATATTAATGTCACGTGACCCTAACGCGAATCCATTAGCTCGCCAAACCTTTCAAGTCCGAGGCGGCCTTTGGAAGTCTCCCGCATTCACACTTCCAGGCAAGACGCCCATCACATCAGAGCGCGATTCGTTGAATTTTATCGTTGGATGTCCAGGTGCCCTCTTTTTGGGTCATCAGGGTGAGATTGAGATACGGCTGAAGCAGTTTAGATGAAACTGAACAGACCTCAAATGTGAAAGACCAGAAAACAATCCATTTCCTCTCTTCTTGCAGAATCATGTCACTCCTTAAACACCCTTGGGTGCCATCATTTCCAGCGCGTACGAAACTCTGTCTCCATAGCTTGGCGGGTTTCATGATCTGCCAATCATGTGGACGGGGCGAACGTGGCGGGGGCGGAGCAAGGCTGAGGCTGAGCGCTGCTGGGTCGCTGGCTGGATGCCTATATTGCTGGTGCTCTACCCTCGGATGATGGCGGGTTTCTGGCTTTCTAATTTTCGTCTGATTTTCGGAGTCTCGTACTACTTTCTGTCGGTTGGTTTTGGTTGACATGGCTTCGTCCAACGAGCCACTAGCCTCTCTACCGCGAAAGGAGACTGCGACAACAGAGATGGAGCATGACATAATCAATTCTTTTAAGCAATTCAGCGCCACAGAGAAGCTCAGGATACAAGAGAGGCAAAGGTCCATCGCGAGAGAGTCCAAGGCCGTCAAACTCAACGATCTGAAGAAGTTTTCTTCAGATTTCAAGCTCAATACTGCGATTCCAGGGGATCTTGTTCCGATTCTGGCAAAGGATGAGGCTAAGCAAAAGGAGATAGTTCAGAAATCAATGAAAGAGGCGCGGTCATTTTACGATAAAGAAGAGAACAGGAGGAGTGGTAACGGACTGGAAATCAAGGCTGCCGCGCAGAGCCTTGTAATTCCTGGTGTCTTTGTAGACCCTGCCGTCATCTCTTCAAGGCTTGCTCCTCCTAGATCGACTTCTAAAAAGCCACCACCCGATGGTCCGGCGGTAGAGATGCGTGCTGCTCCTAAGGCAGCTAAGAAAAAATGGATGCCAGTTCCATACACCCCTAGTGTAGTTTTCAATCTGGACAAGCCTTTAGTCACTGTCAGCGCTGCAGAAAATATCGATGGACTGCTGGAACGGGTACACGGCAACCTCGGTATCAATTCCACTACAGCTACCGGACCGACTAGGGTCTCACACAACTCGGCTCCAAGAGGACAGGAAGGATTGGCCATGGGTGGCCGTCGTCCAGGCAACATCACTTTCGGTTCCATTCCAGCTAGCGGATCGCCTGCCATTTCAGACAACTTGCATCCAGAATCACAGGAAGAACTGGCCGTCCTTGTAAGGAGATAGGAAGAAATTATTCGCGAAATAGAAGAGCGTGGACGCCTGGAGGCGGAGGTTAAAAACTCGTCGGGATTTAGTTCCGATACCAAGAATGGAAATAATGCAATCCTTGAGGAACCTCTCAAATCGCAGGCAAATCGCCCTAAACGGGACCGAGAAGTTCTGGAGCAGATAAGAAGGCTCACTCAGGACTTTAAGAACCGCCAGAAGGAACTTAATTATGCAAAAGCACGGTCGCCCTTCCAGACTGTAGATGACGTAAACTGGGAGATTGACCGTCTTCAGAAGCAAGTCGATACGGGTAGAATGAAGATAGTGGACGAAAAGAAGGCCCTTTCGGAACTCAGCAGTCTCTACAAAGCACGAAAGAACGTCGCCGGATTCGTTGAGCAGCAGAAGGCCATCCAAGAATTAGAGGCTCAGCTTGGCAGATTACAGCATGACTTTGATCTTAAAAAGGAATCAGGTGTATTCAGGACAGAGCCCAGCGACAAGTAAGTATCGAATAATGGTACTTTTACTATATAGGATGCTAAGATATGATATAGATATAGTGCAGCCCGCCGGGCCTATCCCATCGATCGTGCGAATGGAGCTATCGCTATGCCCCCTCGAGTCACTTCGGAAGCCATAGATGGCATCTTCGCTGAATCTTCTAGAGGAACTGAATTCAATACCCCGAGAAGCTCGTCATTCCGAGGCACAGAGTCGACTGCTCCGGCCACTTTCTCAGGCGAGCCAACAAGAACTTTCGACAAAACCCAGATCGTACAGCATCGCATAATTGAAGAAGAGGAAACGGATAGAATTGAAGAGTCCGAGGCTCCTGTACTTGATGGCCAATCTACGATATCGGCTGACTCGGTCATTGTCTTAACTCCTCAACAACGGACGGATGTAATAAAGAAATTTTCGGGGGCACTCATACGAGACTTACCTAGTAAATGCTTCACCTCCCATGGCAAGGCTTTCGAGGAATCCACTTTTCGTCGGCAGTTTACCAGCTGTATCAAGGGCTACTCAAAGCAAGTCATGGAAGGGGCTGCTCGGCGGTCTCACCAGAGGCAAGCGTCTAAAGCTATCCGGATTCTCAGAAATGACATATTGAACAAATGCTATGAAGCACTAGGGGGCTTCGATCGCCTAGAGCGGAGTTACCCTAGCATCATACTTCAGGCGCAGGAGCAAAATCTTCCCGAGAAATCAATTGCAGAGAAAGTTAGCGACTGGACGTACGAGCCGTCTCAAGATGCCATCGACGACTCTTTGCACAGACGTCAATACTCCCATTATCTGGATCCACTTTCGGAAGAGTTTTCCAGCGTTTCAAAAGCATATGCGATCTCAAACCCTGCTCCCAATCCACCCAGTGATGTTAGTAGTTCATCCCTTACAGATGCAGACAGTTGGAGTCAAAGCGATTCTCGGGGTCAAGATGATAGCAATGATATCAATACAGAAGACAAACCTGTATATACATATCTGACTGAGCATCCGGCATTCTCAGAGCTGGTGGATGAGCTCAGAACAATAGTGGAACGGCAGTTCTGTGATCAAAAGGAATTGATTCACCATCGAATTCTACTAGCCATTCGGCGTCCTGGAATGATACATCCAACACCGGGGGGGCTCTTCCAGGCGGAGTTCTTTACCGAGTGGGATATTTTGAGTTTTCTCGACACTCAATACCCTTTACGAACATCACACAACCTCCGTCCAATTATTGCTATTACAGGTGGGCCCACCAATGCGCAGTTGACTACGGTTGAGGAATACCTTCGGCAAAACTGGCCAATTCACACTTGGGAACTGATTGATGCGTTGAATACTGCCATTGAAAAGACGAATTCCAAATTCCCGTCCGGTACGTGGCTAGCAAACTCTCGGTGGCTTACCCATTACTCAAATGCTAATCTCTCTGATTTTAGAGCAAAACGATACTTCGGAATGGAAAATTCACGTCTCGCTGAGGGATATGAGAATCTCCGTGAAAGGTTCGGAAGATTTCATCGTCGCGGTTGGTCAACAGCTCGCATGGCTAGGAGCAGCTTGCCGAACTTCCATTGGGCAATTAGCACACTCTTACGTCACCTTCACTGAGTTAAATCTGACAGATACTGGTAACCTACCAAAACCGACATTCCAGATACGATACGAAGTCTTACATCTCCTTCCCCAAGAGCCAACAAGCTGCTGGAACGATCTTGTTGGAGATTCAGTCGTGGTCGCCAGTTTTCCTATTCCGGAGCGTCACCCCAACGCGGTCGGCCTTGAGGTTTCTTTGCAGATTATGGCAGCGCTTGCCAATATACCTCTCGTCACTTGCTTCCGCGGTGGCTACGTTCTCAAAGGTCGTTCGCTTCTATTTGTTCCAGTCAAACGCGAGAACGATTTTGTTCAATGGCATCTTCTGAATAAACCTGGAGGTCGGATTTCCTATCACGAAGCAGTCCATTTGTTTCCTGATCGGCTCTCTGTTGAAGAGCTTGATGAAGAGGCTCTTATTACTACCAAATGCTTTCTAGGGTGGTGTTCAGATTCTTTGTGTCGCCTAGGTCTGTATATTCTTCCTATATCCTTGCAGAAGGTACTCCGGTTGACTAGTATACAGCGAGCAAAGACTATGACTATTCCTCCGTCGGCTACACTAAGACATCATACCTTTCTAAGAGAGTGGTTTCACTCACTGGAGCTAGCGTTGGGTTCCAACAATTCGGCGCTGGAAGTCTGCAGTTCGCAATATCCAAAAAGGATGGGATGCATCATGCGGACAGGGCGCAATTCTATGCCGATCTGCTAGATGATGCAAAACAAGTTCCAGTCATTTTGCAGGATATGGAGGACCGTCGTGCCTGGTATACCGATGGAGAAACCGCCATACTTCACATCATCTTGCATCGACACGTCCTAAAGCCCTTTGAAGTTGACCAAATGGTCGGGATTGTATCCGCAGATCCAAACGATCAACAATCTGTGAGACAGGCAATGCTTAGCAACGCAGATACTCCAATGATTTGCGACAGGAGCATGAAAAATCCCGGCTTACAGTCTAAAAGATTCAAGCACCTCGTAGGGGAACTATACTCTATGCTCGAGGGATTCATGGCGCAGACAATTGACATCGCCAAAACCGGAGTCGAGATGAAACTGAACTGGAAAAAGCATGTTCAAGGATGGGAATACATGGATCTAGTAAACAGGAAACTCAATCCACGTCTGCGAGAAACCGAGCTGAAATCCACTTGCGGAAATTGGCCGGAATTGGCGCGCGATCGCAATGCGGTCATTCTCTTTGGTAATCGTCTCCAGAACATCATCGACCCGCATCCATCAGTTCGACTCTGCAAACAATTCAAGGAACTGCCAAAATACAAAGACTACCTCGCCATCCAAAGTACCACGCTTGAAGAGATGTATCTCGAAAGTGGGTCAGCAGAGGATCGAGAACAAGTAACAATAACCGGCCTTCAATTACACCGCTCTCAGCACCTATTCGAGAGCTGTCCACGCTCTACGGCCCACACGGATAGCTGCAAATGTGATCGTATCCAGCAGCTCGTCCCGAAGGGTGGGAAGAGGAAGATAAAGCCTGTCCCAAAATCAAGCGGCTCAGGGGCTGTTATAATCGGACAAGGCTCAGCGTCTTGGATCAACGACTTGGGATGGAGACCTTTCCGGAATGCAATCCAACCTCGAGCTTCTCATACGCAAAGCCAACCCACACAGCTTTCTCCGCAAGCGAAATCCCCACGGCAGCCTCATTTCATATCCCGAATTCTGGGGCCTCAAGTAGCGACATACTCTCGAGACACTCTTCAAATACTCTCTCGCTATCAACCATCACCAACCCAACCACGATTATGTCTGATACAGGATCTGCGAGGTCTCAAGAGTTAGATAATATACCTGCTAGTATACCCTCAAAGAAACAAAGGGACAAAGGCAAAGTGCCAGCCCATCAGACACAAAGATTCTCTAGCGAAACTCACGGAAGCTCTGCACAACCAGATCAAACCGGTCAGCACGAGCGAGATCAGAGACGCCCACCCTCCATGCAAAATGGACCAGGACTTTTGCCGGCAAAGCAGTATTATAATCCGTCATTCGCAATGAAGAAGCCTGCTCGGCCCACGTTCGTCGATAATACCCAATACCCTAGAAAACCCACTTTGAAAGATGCACCACGCTTGTCCAGTCTACCGTTGAAACCAAACGACAGCTCATGGATGTATGCGAATCCAGAGCCTCGCCTGCTACCTGGCAAATGCGAGCCAAACTATCGCAGAGGGGATTTCCTTGCACCAATCCTGAAAGCGCGCCAACAGCAAGCTATGCCTACGTCAACACCAGTACCTCGGCTGCGGCTGCGGCGGAGACCCCGTTTCGACGAGGTTGAAGTCCCCCAGGATTCTGCGTCAGTTTCTCGGGGAGGTTCTGTTATAGAGAATGGTTAAAAGTCATGGCTAGATCGCAACTGTACTCAGGTTGAAAATTGATGTGAACTCTGTCTTATTTCGGGGGCCCGAAGGCCAAACTATATACTACGTAGGAAGTGACTGTATGCATAGGCAGAAGCACTAATTGGAGGCAGCAGTAGGCAGCATTAGGCAGGGTAGGCCACCGTACCCCAACCCCTCTCTGTAGAAGTTGTAACTGGCTAGGCATGTAGGCAGCTACTATGCCAGCAACTCCAAGTCTGTACGTAGGTGACCGTGAACCGTATGAGTTGTTGATCCTAGGTTGTAGCTGTTACAACCCGAGTACTGTCGTACGTATGAGAGCTCGGAATCGATAAAGTTCTATTAAGTGAAAAGTTGATGATCCTTCCTGAAAGCTCTAAGGCTAAGGCTAGGACACAGCGTATGGCACTGCCATCTCAAACTTAGCTACATGAGGTGAGAGGAGTTCGGGTAGATCTGGGTGGGGCGTGGCGGGAGAGAGAAGGCTTTGGGCGATTAATTGTCACGAGAGACGAGAGACATGGTTCTTGCATTGGCTGGCCGACAACTACTGGAGTGAACCGGAACTAGAGCACAACCCCCGAACCTCCGGCAGCAGGTTAATAAGATATTAAAATAAACGAAAGTCTGTTAAGCGAGAGCTATAGCACAGTTTTAACGACCATAATGACTAAGGCTACGTCACGTGTGCGTCGTCCGTCACGGACGCCCCTAACCGTAACACTAGCATATTACAAAGGGCGAGTTACCTTTTAGTATTACCTTTAACTACCCGCTTCAAAATCTGCTTAAGAAGGAGCTCGTCTTATACGTAGAGCTTGCAGAATCATCGCTTGTATTAATAGTGCATGAATTATCTGTTCTAACAAAAGCATCTATAAGCCAAGAGAACACAACCATCAACGATCTTATAAAGCAGTACTCTAAATCCGTAGAAGAGAACTTCCTGGGTATTGTCTCCAACGTCGTTTAAACCACAAGCAAGCTTGAGACGGCGCCGGCACCTGCTTCCGACCCGCATGCGACCTCTGCAATAGGCCAAGCTCCAGGCGGTCGATTCGGAATCAATGGTTGGGGATGCGATCGGTAAGGCGAGATTATTGCATAGCGTAGCAAATGAGGACTAACTCTTTGCTATGATTGTACTCGGTCTGTTCCTCAGCCAGCCGCAAGCCACTGATGACGGACCCTAAATCTGCGGGTCCATCTATTTCCCGATCTTCTTCTCCTACATTGGACGTCATAGCCTCACAATGACTACAAAGGGAAAGTACCTATCTGACTGCAAACAGAGGTTACTAGGACTGAACCTTCCTTCAGACATCCGTTAGCTTGCAGCATTCTCGGACACGTGGAACTCGATCGGTACCAAGGTATGGAGGAAAATTTGATCTTTGCCGCGAGAAGCTTATGCACGACAGCAATAGATAGAAGGCTAAGGAGGTCCTGAAAGAATGCTGGATACAGCAAACTTTGATACAGGCGCGAGCCCGTACGTTGAGGAAGGATACAGTTCGATAACTCCTAGCCAGCGAACACATCAACCAACAAATATCCTCGATAGCGGCTCGATGACACATGAATAGAAGCCTTGCGAGCTTAGGCCTGAAGATTCGTCTTCCGATTCTTGAATGCTGCCATCCACGCATGCCCTGGTTACTTGCATATAAAGCCGACCCATGACGGCACCTAACCGTGGAATATATTTGTGAAGCAGAATCTCAGTGAGCACACTTGGATAAGCGGTCCTATGCTGACTGAGGATGTTCTCAATTGGGCTCCAGTAGCCTATCTCGAGGAGTATAACTCCCAAGCTGTAATAGTCGTACAACTGCCGAAAGCGAGCTTCTTTCTCTGCCGCGGCTTCGGTCTTTACCCAACTGTTGTCCTGAATCTTGCGTTCTTCGAAATAATCTGGGTGCACGTATTCGACGAATCCACGGTCTTTGACGGGACCATCCGTGAATTGGCTGGGGCCGTTAGGTCGGCTAAAGCGGAAGTCCACAAGGTAAGGTTTCGAGAGCTTGGGTCTTCCAAAATTCGAGGGCTCGGAGAAGAAGAGGATGTTATTGGAGTTTAGCGCCTTGTGCAGCCATCCGATGGAATGAAGCTCGAAGATGCTTTGCGCAAGGGTCAGGGCCAAACTGTAACGCTCCTCAAGCGCTGGTTTGTCGGGTACTCCCCTTGGGACGCCCCTCTGTGGCTTCGGAATCGCCTTCCGCAGGTAGTCCAGCAGTGTTTCCGGGACGGAGTTCGCACCGTCGTCTGGAAATCGGAATACCAAGCTGTATCCTTCTGGATTGGGCAGTACGTATCCGATGCAGTCCAGCACACGAAGGCGTTTCGGTTTCTTCAGGGCCAATAGTTTCGCAAGTGCGGCAATGCGCTCCGCTCGATCTGTGGGCGTCCATTTCCGCCAGGACTCAGAGTATGGTACGCTCTCGACGAGGACTCTATGCGATGTGGATTTCTCTGTTATGTCGGCGTAGCTTTCACGAAGATCGGCGATCTCATGGTAGCCGTCAGGCAGACGGGTCAATCCCGTAATCTGGTGCTCTTCCAGCCGCAACCGCTTCGCCTCCTCGTCGGTGCTACTCAACCTCACGAGAGAATCTTTCAATCCTCGCAGCAGGGCCATGGACGCCATTTCTTGATGCGGCTCGGACTCCAAATCAAGTACGTTCCCCATGCTATCGAGGTCGTGACTGTCAATGGTATTTATAATGTCCTTTTCGCACATTATGCTGACTTGACGCAACGTCTGGGCTGGCAATAGATTGCACAAGGCCTCGATTCTCTTTCGGATTTCATGAGATATGGTAGGCGAGTACCCTAGCGAAGGCTTTCGGGATTCGTCCTCCTCCTCATTCTCTCTCGGTGATGTAGCGAATGCTGACAGCACAGTCCTACACATTCCTTGCAGCTCTCGTAGAAGTTGCTGCGCTCTTTGCATTGCTTCCACATTTGGAAGACTATGTGGACTCTTCTTTATCAGCTGCTTTGTGTGCATACCCAAAGGCGATCCCCACATGTGTAGCTTCCTCTTTTCCATCCAGACATCGAGCGCAGACAATCTATGCTCAGTGGTTCTTAGCGATGCCTCATATTTGTCCAGACTCGCTACGACATCGGTGTAGATGCACTGTGTTGCAACCGCCGACAAGGCCCTCAACGCATCCTCCGCCCTTGGCCGCGTTTCCACATTGGCTTCCAATAATGTCTTCGCCGCTTCTAGCAAGCTGAATATGCCCGAGCCTCTGTTCATCTGGAGCTTTTCCATGTGATGTAGGACTTCAGGGCGCATGGAGCTACCCAACCAGAAGTACGAGTTTGTGACTCTCCACTCTTCGGATACCAGGCGCGCTCGCTCTTTTCTGGCACTCGTTACGCCCTCTGATCCCTCTGCCATATACGTCGCGACTTCCACAATGAGGCAGCCAAAGGCCCAGATGTCAATCGACCTGCCTACGGTCTGATTGCGGAAATTTTCATCCATGCACTCCGGCGCTATGTAGTCGCTGAAGGTATCCGGCCATTCTGTTTTTGAGCCTTTCTCGGGTGGCTTGATCTTGGACAGTCCGAAATCCGCAAGCATGAACGTATTGGGAGTGACTAGGATGTTGGCGGGCCGTAGGTCGTGGTGGTAGATGATGAAGTCCATGTCGACTTCGCCTTGGATCTTGAAGTTGTGCACGGCGTGGATGGCGGAAGCAAGGCCTTGAAGAGCTTGGTAGAAGGTGTCGTCTTCAACAAAGTTTCCGTATCGCTCGGCGCGCACTAGGAACTCGCTCAGGTCCATATCCAGGCATGGGAAGATGAAGTTGAACCGCGATCCTTGCGTATAAGAGTACAGAAGCCGCACAATGTTCGTATGCTCGAGGAGGCGCAAGGCTTCTAAGCAGCTTAGCTCTTTAGCATGCCGATCCCGGTTCTTGCTCCCAGGACGGAGTTGTTTACGAATGAAGACGGATGTTTCCTTGCACTGCCCTCCTTAGTATCCGCTGTACAAATAGTCAAAGAAGGACCAACCTGCTCCGGGACGAAGTCATGCATCGAAGGATCGATTGTGACTTTCGAGATCACACCAAAACTTCCATCCAAAGAAGGCTCCGCCGACTCGGTCTGAAATGGTAGGACCTCCCTATCACGGAATTTGCGGAAACCTCCCTCCCGAAGGTAGACTGGAAAGAAAGCCCACTGTGCATCGAAAAACTGTGGTACATCCGGATTGATGCTTGGCAGATCGTTCTCTGTGAACGGCAAGCGATCGTCCAGCTCTTGCTTGTCCACGAAATCTACTATCGCCTCCGGTCTTTGTATCCATGTTAGGATTGCGAAAACGACAACGCCACCTTCGCGGACCGACGTCGCCAGGCTGGAAATGCGCCACTCGGGTATTGCGCATTCTTTGAGTATAGCGATTATAATGTTCCTTTCGAAGATCGTTTGGAGGTTTTGGTTGGTCACGTAGGGATTTCCGTCCGCTGTTGTCCGCCGGAGGCTCTTGACCTGAGCAATGACCTTGTCTGATGCACCACCCATTGTGGGAAGACGCTTGATGGTCCCAACCAACTTAGAATCCTACCTAGACCGGAAATGAAGGTAAGGAAACGGCGGGACAAACTAGGCAGCCACGCGGCTGACAGAACAACGCGTACCACCTGAGTGCTGCGCTAGGCATCTCTCCCCACTAAAGTTTAGCCTGCCCCCAATGCCCACCACCACACAACTACATCTACGCTTTATATCTAGCCCACCTAGCCCACCTAATTTGAAGACACTAACTAAGGCTCCTATTTAAATAGCTGCTTTTTCAATAAAATAAAGGGAATTATAGATAAAAATAAGGCTATTTTTTACTATCTTAAAGTAGGCTATATAAAAAAGTAAAATATACTTCAAAATAAATATATATTTAAAGCTATATAAAAACTATAAAGAAAATATAGATAAAGGTATTTAATTTAAGTAGGAAGGTTATATATATTTAATAGTTATAGGCACCTTAGCTATTCAGTGTACTTATTTTTATATTAGCCGCGTGCCGGTACCGTTCTACCTGCCAGGCTGCCTACGTAGCTAGACTAAGCGGGCACTATTTTAATGAATGGCCCGACCGGTCAGCCCCGTCTCTTCACCGGAAATGTTCTTTTCCCACCGAGCTCCGCAAACACAAAAGAATGTAGGGCGTAATTTCATGAATATCCAGTTTAATTAGAGGAGCTTACTTCCTTCTTCTCGGCCTATCAGTCCGTTAAGATTTGTACGTTCCGCGACAAAAGGAGCGATTGGTTGTTTTACTTCGGTCAATTCCCGCTCGGCGGTCACCACGAACTGATCATGTCTTTCCTGTACATAAAGTCAATTACGCACAATTTTACGATACATTGCTCTGGGCGACTGAAGGGCCGTACCTCCAAAGTGTATGCGCTTCCAAACTCTCGCCTTAATAGTCCCAACAGCTTGGAACGTGTTACGTAGCTCTTGTCCAGCCTGGTTTCGACGTCCGTCATTCTCAGAGATGGTGTTTTCTCGGCCAGCTCAACGTCTAGGTTGCCTAAGGAGCGAAGGGCGTCGACATGTCTATGAATATTAACTGATAGCTTGGAGAAAGCAGAGTCATACCGCCAGCTGACTTGTCTATGTCTATCGTGGCTTTCGACCATTGGGCGAGCGGATGGGAGGGTGGGTTGCACAAGGCTGAGGACCTGGTGGAGTCCAATAAGGAAAGACGCTAAACTTGGCAAATGCCGCAGGTTCATTTCGCAGTTAGTCCTCTGATAAGCTCGTCAAGTTCTGAAATTTTAGCAGCCGTTTGTTGCGCCTTGGAGTCGGTCAAACCGCCCTTTCGCACCTGCGTTTGCCGAAGCTCGTGGTATACCCGTCTCGCCTCCTCCAAGCAGCCAGAGAGCTCAAGCATCCTGGCGAAATGTCTTCTGCAATGCATAACAGCCTGGTGAGATTCACCCAAGAATTTTTGGCCTTCTGCGATGGTTTGCAGCTGCATAGATTCGGCTTCGACATGTTTGCCCTGGTCAAAGTACGTCCAGGCGAGACTATTACGACTCGCCAGTGTGGACGGATGAGCGGGGCCGTAATCGGATCTTCTTGACCTCGCCTCAACCATCTTCCTTAGCAGAGGTTCGGCCTTTTGCGGCAGTTGTTGGCTAAGAAAATTGTTGGCCAAGGCTTGGATCGAAGTCAAGGTGTTTGGATGCTCTGGTCCGAGGACTTCTATCCGGCCCAAAACGACCTGGCTCAGTGCCTTTTCCTCTTCCGCCCACTTCTTTTGTGAGCGGAAAGTCATTGCAAGATTGGATAGGGCCGTAAGTGTCAGTTCGTGCTTTAGTCCGTATCGTTCCTTCCTAAAGTCAACGACTTGTAGCTCGATGTCTTCCGCTTCCTTGATTCGGTGTTGTTGCGTGTATATAGCGGCTAAGTTCAGCTTGCTGGTCCACGTGAATCCATGTTCGGAATCGAGAGTCCTTTCGCGAACTTGCAGAATGTAGGTTTGAAGTGATTCGGCGTCTGCAAAGCGCTTCTGGTTGTAGTACACCGCTGCAAGGACAGCCGTGGTCTCGATTGTGCTGGGGTGTTCTGGGCCGAACTTTCCCACCTTGACTGAAATGAGCTGGTCAAGAAGTTCCTCCGCTTCTTTCAGTCTACCAAGCTCGTTCCACGTGCTTGCCAACGACGACCCGGCACTTAGTGTGTAGCTATGTTCAGCCCCGATCTTCTCTTGCAGGCTAGCAAAGACTTTGGCTGCTAATATCTCGGCGAGCTTAACATTTCCTTGCGCTCGGTAGATTACGGCGAGATCCATTTCGATCTTTATGCTGGCCATCAAGTCAGTCACTGATTCGAGGGCTTCGATCAAAATGTCCGCAGCTTCATCGTATGATGAACGTAATCTTAACAAAAGTGCCAAAATCCTCTTTAAAGTGATTATGACCCCATGACGCTTCCCAAGAACTCTTTCACAGGACTTGATCTCTTCCATGTGCAGTTGTTTGAGGAGGGTCAGATTGGCATTTTTGGCACCATGATACTCCGTGCTATAGTCGGAGGTGGAATGATACTCTGCAAAGAATTCGTTTGCTAGACTTTGGAGATCGCAATCTCGCCACATTTCCTTGATGCAGTCGATCTCTCGTTCGAGTTCCAGTGAGGAACAGCCGCTCTTATCCAACTCGACTGCATATTTGTAGCAATCTGATGGATGACCGAACCCTAGGAAAGCACATATAGCAACCTGGAAAGCGTTGTGTCTTCGACAGGGTTCGCACTGCCAGGTGTCGTACGATTTGTGGAGCCCGAGGATAATCTCGTTCCGAATGTAGGGTTCAGCGGTCGCCAGATACGCGATATGATGTCGGATCTATGCAAATCAGCACGAAAGCGCCATAACAGACTCTTGTGGCTCACTGTGAATTTGGGATGCGACTCTGGGTTGGAGTTGCTATTCGAATGTGGCAAGCTGGGAGAGTTGCGTTCACGGATGTCACCATCCGAGTCTTCCCGGCTCATCCTCTCATAATCCCACTGCTGGCGATTCACCCTTGGTTGACTGGTCAACAAGGATATGAAGAGGCCCCAGTCTGCTGAGCGGTTTTGATGATGCTTTGCTAGCGTGTGTGTGAAGAAGGAGCTCAGGTTAGCCATTTGCTCATCGCTCATGTCGCTCCCGGCGAGCACTTTCTCGGCGACGAGAATGTGATCTTCTTGGTATTGAATGCTTGCTAGGAACGCCTTCTCTTCTGCCCATTTCTGTTCGAATATCAGCTTCCTGGCAACTAGAAGCCAGTAGACTAGGAAGCCAAAGTTGAATGAGTCAAATTTTTTGGCATCTCCGAGTCGGATTTCGCGTGGATGATAGTCGGGTGCATTAAAAAAGCGTGAATAGGGAAGATTGATGTTCGTGTCCTCGGTGGCACGCATAGACGCATGGCCAAAGTCTGCGATCTTTGCGACTATTTCCCCACTTGGCTCACGAAACACCAGAATGTTTTGTGGCTTTATATCGCCATGCACAATATCTGAAATGTTGAGAGTAAGCTCATGGTTGAATTGTACTGTAAGACTTACTCGAGTAATGGATCCGTCTAAGGCCTGAAGCAATGCCCGCGCATAAACGTAGCATGTCCTCATCTTTCATAGCTCTGCCGGTTTCGGACAGCATGAAAGCTCCGAGGTCCCCATATTCTGCCTTCTTGAATACCAGAACAGGAAACAGCTTTCCGCTTTCGAGGATCTCTAGGCAACAGCCCTTGATACTGACGATATTGGGATGATGCCGCAATCGACCCAGGATCATGACTTCGTTCACCCATTTGTCAAAATGAGGTTCCGATCGCATTCTTTTAAAAGCATAGCTCATTTCAGCGCTTATAGCCGCCTGGTTCACGTTCGCAGTGGCTCCTTTGCCCAATGGATGCAGAGCAGGCTGCCACGTAATGGGTAGAAGAGGAATTTCGAAATACTGCATAAGCCCGAGGAAGCCTATGAGATCGTCCTGGTGAGCCAGTATAGCATGTCCAACCTCCGAGAGCAGACGACTGCTCGTAGTGTCCATCTGGAGGTCCGCAGTGAGATCCATGACGGAACGGAAGTGTGGCTGGTTAAGCCGAGACATATCGACTCGAGAATGCCACTATAGGTGACGCTATAAATAAGAGCTGTTGCTGCGTCGTTTGCGGGTCAATAGGGTCCTGTTTGGCCTAGATGAAATTGAAAACATGGCTTCATTAGGCTGCTTGTGGGCGACGCGTAACGTAGGAGTGCCTACGCTCGTGCATGGTTTCCAAAACCCTAATAATATTACTAAATTTTAACACTCTAATAGAATTAGCTAGTTTTCTACTATTATATTATTATTAGGTTCTATTAGGCCGATTTAGCTCCCGTTAGGGTCTATGCGGCAGTGCTATCTAGGTTTTATTTACAAGGGGAAACCGTTCGCTCTATAGCGGTCGGGTGAAAACCTTGTTTTCTACAGTGTATAACGCCTTGCGTTCCTTTTGTTTTTGCGCGGCTGTGGGGGACGCGTCGCAGCTCTGTGAGCATCACCACGGAGTAAGCCATCTTGATGCATTCTCCAGGATCGATCCGGTGTCCGTAGGCCCTAGGTTCCAGGGTTGTACGGTGTCCAGAAGGTTAGTAAGGTCCGGGGTCCGCGTTAGGGCGCGCGTGCCCTTACCGTACGCGCGTGCCCTTTTTTTTAAAAGCTGAGGTATTAAATTGAAGGACAATAGGAAATTGGGGGGGTTGCCCTGTTGCGGGCGTGCCTGTGGTTATGCAATGTGCGTGCGTGCGTGTAGTTCTGTTCTTGGGGCGTGGCTATACGAGTCGGCTGGCTGTATAGCCAGCTTTTCCGTTGCCATCTCTCTAGCTATAGAGAGGTAGGGTAGGAGGTCTGTCTGGTGCAGGAACCATTGCGAAACGGCCTTATTTCCCTTGTGGTCTTTATACAGCTGCATATACGTTCTTGTTCTGGCCTTAAAGAACATATCGCCTCTGCCGTTGCAGTGTCGTTCACAGTGCATTACTACGTGCTTTGGAGACTGTGGTATATGCCCGCAGGGGCACGCGGGCGAAGGGTGATTGGGCACCCTCATGCGGTGCAGGTATGCGTTAAGCCCTATGTGTTCCGTTCGTAGGAGCGTGATAATTAAGCTCTCTGCTTTTGTAAGCTTGTGGTGTTTAGTTGCCTGATTCTTGTTCCATTTCGTGTTAAGGGCCGGCGTAGGGGGGCCCCTTCGTTTCTTCCTGTGGGCCTCCCATTCGTCCCTCCACCTTTCCTTGTACACTTCCTGTATTGCTCCTCGTCTTAAGAGCTTATATAAGTTATCTAACTGCCTTTTATACCTCGGGGCTAGTACTATAGCCTTAACTGCGAGCCTCTTTAGTATATTACGCCGGCTCGGCTTATATTTAGGCGTTTTCCTAGGCTTATAGTGTCTTCTAATAGTATCTTTAATAGTGCGGTATATAGTCTTAATATACTCTCTAACCTAGCCCGCGCGCGTGCAGTCTATATACGCCACCGCGAGTTCCTCTAGCTTAAGCCTTAGGGGGGGGTAAAAGGTCTTATATTTAAGCGTTTTAATATCTATTATTTTATACACCCCTGCAATAGTATAAAGGAAGTAGTTCTAGGCTATTTTAAGTTATTTAATTTTTGCTTTACTAATTTATTTCTTTATACCTAGTATTAGAAACTAGGTAGTGCACCTATATATAAAAACCGGCCTAATAACTACTAAGTATATATACTATACTTTTTAGAAGCTTACGCCCTATATTAATACTATTAGCTATATAAGAGCTTCTATTTATACTATAGCCTTTTCCTTTATAATATATATATACAGGCCCTATTTAAGTTTAAAATTTACCTAAACTTTAAGTATATAAAGCTCTATAATTAGGCCCTCTATAAAGCCCTAGATATTTACTATAGCCTTTATATTTACTATATTTAAATAGCGCCTTATAAAGTATATAAAGTAATACTTATCCGGGGCAAATACTATACTATACTTTTTTGCCCACTTTATATACTATATATACGCACTTTTAATTACCCTATAGTTTTCTTCTATACTTCTACTAAATATAAGGATATTAGTATTATTTATAAACCTATAAGCTATTATATTACCTTTTTATAGTACTAGCAGGAGCATACTTATAAAAAATAAAAAAAGGATTAGTAAAAGTAAGAATTTTTATAGTATACCTATATTAACTAGAATAGTTTTAGTAATATATTTTCTAATAAAAAGTTTTATAGTTCGGTTCTATAGGAATAATTCTATAAATTAGACTATTTATTCCGGTATATATTAAACCTATAGGTTATATATTATTTTCTTATAAAATATTCTATTAAAGGCCTTTAAAATATCTAGGCTAAAAAGGGAGGTAATAAGGTAAGAGTTGCCCTTTTATATAGTTTATATTTATTCTATAAAAAGTTCTAGTGCTGTCTACGTAGATTATTTAGGCCTTACGCCTATTTAGCTTAGTAGGAGTATACCTTTCTCCTCTGCTATTTTAAATAGTTTTCGTGCTATAATACGTTTAAGCAGCTTACCTACTATTTCTAGTAGTATAATTAGCCTATACAACTTTACTATATTATAGAACGCTTTCTAAGGCTTATATAGTACTATAGTAATTAATTCTTTATATAGCTATAGGTAGTGCCCTATATATACGCACCTAGTAAAAAACCTAGCTAGTATTAGTACTAGCTATATTTCGCATTTTTTAAGAATTCTATTAGTTATCTTTATAATACCCGGGGCCTTATCCGGGGCTATTTCTATTAGCGTAGAGAGGACGTCTTCTACTATAATATTTTATAAGAACTTATATAGCTTTAGGTATTAGTATCCTTTAATATTAAAAAGGTTTGCCTCTATAGAAAGTAGGAAAAACTATTCCGCAAGTATTTAGGCCTTAGTCTTATTATCTATATAGAGCGTTGCGTTATTAGGCCGTAAAAAAAAAAGGAATTAAGGCGGTGGCCGTGGTTCCTTTCTAATAGTTCTGCCCTATTTAGCTAGCTTCTATACGCTTTTTAGATCCGACGTAATCTTATCTACTGCGCGGCGCTATACTTTTATACTTTTTTTGCGTATAGCCCTTTTTTTTCTATTATACTATACTCTGTATAAAATCTAGTTCTCTACTATTCTTAATAAGCGCTAGGTTCTATAGGCCCGCCTTATCTCCTATACTTTCTTAGTATACTCTATTAACTATATAGGTAATACTTATTTTAATAGCTTTATAAGTAGTATAGTTTTATCTATTATAGCTTATATATACTTATATAGGCGGTGTATAAATATATTAAGATTTTCCTCCGTCTTCTATAGGTTATTCCGAGTTTTTAGCTTATCTAGCCGTATTACTAGGTTTTTTTATACTTTTTTCTATACTATATCCTTCTATAGCCTATACTATAGAGGTTTAGCTACTTTTAGTAGTAAGATATCGAACTCTATATATATAGGCCGGTGATTAGAGTTGCAGTTCTATTCCTTTTATACTATAAAAGAAATTATTTATTCTATTAGCTACCCTATTATAAATATAAAGTTAATTATAAACTATAATATTCCTTTTACCTATATTTTTAGCCCTTCCTCTGTAGCTAAGTCTATACCTGCTTCGCGCGTAATATAAAAGAGCTCTTCTACTTACTCTTTAATTTATATAACTTAAACTCCTTTCTATAGCAAATAGTATAGGTTTATATCTCTAATAAGAATATATTCTACTTTAGTATTGTTTAGCAGTAGGGGTAGTTCCTATATAATACTATTAGGGTTCGGGTTATAAATATTATAAATATAGATCCTTTTTCCCCCTGCGTAAAGGAAAAGGGTGTTAAAATCTAGTAAGTAGTATATAACCGACTACTTATTAATATCTAGTTATTTATTAATATATATACAGGCTTTTATATATTCCTTTTCTATATATAGTAGATAGTATAACTTTATTATATACGTTGTATACGCTATATACCTCTGCCTCTACCTGTATAGGTTTTTCTATAGTTTTTATATAGCTAGTACTATAGGTTATAGGCTGGCGTTCTCCGCCTTTTTAAAGAACTTTTTTTAAGTTATTAAGTTCTTATAGACGTTATACTGTATAATAGTAAGGTTGTTTAGTTATTCTAATATTAGCTTATCTCGGTGTCCTTTTATTATTTCTTAGCTTACCTATTATCTACCTAGGTTTTTTACTTAGTATAGATCTATTAGTTGGCTAGGTTGTTTTATAATAATAGTATTTAAACCTCTCCGCTTAATATTAGCTAATCGCCTCCGCTGTATATAGTTTATATAGCTAGCTATAATAATACTTCCGGCAGCATAGCTAATTAGTTAGGTTGCGTAAATTAGGCGGGCTGCGTTCTACTTCCAATTCTAAATGCCTTATTAATAGCGGGCTAGTTCTTATCCGCTGTAAGCACCTTCTTCGGCCGCCTAGGTCCGGGTTTCTTTAAGGGTGCAGGTATAGTAGAAGCTGTAGATACTATAGAGTTTATAGAGAAGGGCTCCTCTACTTATATCTTAAACTTTTCTATATATTACACCCTCTTCTTTAGAGCTATTTTCCTTGCGTGCTATTATTTATTATATAACTGCGCTTAGAATATATATAGTTTATTGCGCTCTGCGGTATATTAGCGTAGTATTATCTATTTTTTATTAAGGGCCCTTTACTAGGCCCCCTTTTAAATAGTATATTCGGCACTATATAACAGGTGGTTTCTGTTACAGTTTACGCATTTCTTAATAGTCTTATCCGGGCACACTTTTATATTATACTCGCCTGCGCATACTATATATTTAACGTTCTTTTTATAGTACCTTATAACATGCCTATAGCCCTGGCAATTAAAGTACTATATAGCTATAAATCCTACTTTATACCTTAAAGCGTTAAGTATATAGCCTTTCTAAGCAATACTGTTATTAATAGTATTATTTACTATTACTTCTATTTATACGCCTATAATAGCCGAGCTTATATGCTATACTAGGTTTGCCTATACTGTAGTAATAGCTGCCTTATTTTTCTATATAATTTTATTAATTATAAGTCCTAGGTTATAGGTTATATTATTTTCTATTATATTTTTCTGTAGACTCGGGTTATTAAGGTCTATTTCCTTAGGCATGCTGTGTACTTTAATAAGCACTATAGGCGTGCGTATAGTAGCGGAGGAGCCTAGGATAAGAACTTAATCCTTTTTTTTTAGAAGGGCGTTTTTTAATAGCTTATCCGCGATAATTGCCTTAATATTACTACTTTATAGCTTCCTAATACTACTAATTTTTATAGTTTCCGGCTCTCCCGCTGCTTATAGCTTTTTTATAATATAGTTGTTCGTGTATATTATATTAGCCGCTTGCTGGGCGTTGTTTTTAATATAGATATTAATTTTATAGAGGTTGTTTATTACATCCTGTCTAATTCTCGCGTCCTGTTTAATTTGTATAGCTTGCCCGATTTGTATTGCTATCGGGGCCTTCGCTACTGCAGCTGCGTATATCTTTTTTCCTTAAGCTTTTAGTTTGCTAATACTTTTTCTTATATCTTTTATCTCTTTTATTAGTTCCTTTTATAGCGCGTTCTTCTGTTTATCTATAGTTCTTTATATATAGTAGAGTCCTTTCTTAGCCTCTATAAGTCCGAAGAATGCGTTATTAATACACGCGACTATAGCCTAGAGGAAATCTATGCTAATAGCATTAAGGGGCTAACTCCGTAAGGCGCTTTATATTTGTTGTACTTTGTTAAGTGCGCTTATAACGCTTCCGTACGTGTTAAGAAGGGGCTTTTAGTTGTATTATTGTTATAGGTGTTATTATTATTATTATTGCGAGTGCAATCTAAGGTTAGGGGTCGCGGGAAAGATTTAACCTACTATAACACTACTACTACTGCCTAGAGGGCTTTATAATTGCGTACGATTGCTCTGAGTGCCTTAAGGAGCCTATTAGGACTTCCTTTAGCTTCGATTTCCAACGGCTTATTAGGATAACTGCATCGTGTTTTTTTTAAACTCTATATATATAGGCCGGTAATTAGAGTTGCAGTTCTATTCCTTTTATACTATAGAAGAAATTATTTATTCTATTAGCTACCCTATTATAAATATAAGGTTAATTATAGACTATAATATTCCTTTTACCTATATCTTTAGCCTTTCCTCCGTGGCTAGGTTTATGCCTGCTTCGCGCGTAATGCGGAGGAGCTCCTTTACTTGCTCCTTAATTTACATAACTTAAACTTCTTCCTATAGCGGATAGTGTAGGTTTATATCTCCGATAAGGATATATTCCGCTTTAGTATTGTTTAGCAGTAGGAGTAGTTCCTGTATAATACTATTAGGGTTTAGGTTGTAGATATTATAAATATAGATCCTCTCTCCCTCTATATAAAGGGAGAGGGTGTTAAGATCTAGTAAGTAGTGCACAACCAACTACTTATTAATGTCTAGTTGTTTATTAATATATATACAGGCTCTTATATATTCCTCTCCTATATACAGTAGATGGTATAACTTTGTTATATGCGTTGTATGCACTGTGTGCCCCTGCCCCTGCCCGCGTGGGTTCCTCCACGGTTCTTATATAGCTAGTACTATAGGTTGCGGGCTGGCGTTCTCCGCCTTTTCAAGGAACTCCTTCTGAGTTGTTAAGTTCTTGTGGACGTTATACTGTATAATGGTGAGGTTGTTCGGTCGTTCTAATATTGGCTTATCTCGGTGTCCTCTTGTTGTTTCTTGGCTTGCCCGTTGTCTACCTGGGTCCTTTGCTCAGCGTGGATCTGTTGGTTGGCTAGGTCGTCTTGTGACGATGGTATTTGAACCTCTCCGCTTGATGTTAGCCAATCGCCTCCGCCGTACGTGGTTTGTGTAGCTAGCTGTGATGATGCTTCCGGCAGCGTAGCTAATCGGTTGGGTCGCGTAAATTGGGCGGGCTGCGTTCCACTTCCGATTCCAAATGCCTCGTTGATGGCGGGCTGGTCCTTGTCCGCTGTGAGCACCTTCTTCGGCCGCCCAGGTCCGGGTCTCTTCGAGGGTGCAGGTACAGTGGAAGCCGTGGATGCCATAGAATTTTCTACTATTATATACTTTTATACTTAGTATTTAAAAATATAAAAAGCTTATTAAAAGATATTTATTATATATTAAGCTATATAAATTTATTAAAATTTCTAAAGTGCTAAATTATTTAAAAATAAAAGTAGTTAAAATACTTAGGTAGCTGGCTTATTAGTAGATTATATTATATTAATAAGTATAGGACAATTAGCTCCGTCCTTAGCCCTAAGCATCGCGATTAGGCAATATATGAGAACGTTAGGTTCAACCTCCCTAAACGGACAGGGCACAGACCGGTGGGAAGCTGTCACCGGTTTTTTTGCGCTGGACCGAGCATGGAAAGCGTGCAAGTTTCGAGTTTCGCCCTCTCCGAAGGATCGAATCCTTCGTGTGGATATATTATCATCTCTGAGGTAGCGGGCGGCGGCATTTTAAACAACTGAGAGGATGGGTGTTGGTCTTCACGGCTCTGAAAATTATCACCAGGCTGATCTCTATTCTAGGATCCATTCGTTGGTTGGAACCGATATCCTCTTCAGCTTCCAGAGGCCTGCGAAGACGGACCATTTTACCGAGCCTTGTTGGAAGAACGAGCAAAATTAGTGTTTACTGCAGATGCTTCAAATATCCGACTGGAGGCGCTTAGAAAGCAACCCTACGCAAGCGATGGTACAACCAAACCCCCATCACCAAGTTGCGTACGGCTTACAAAATTAGCTACTCTTTTGACCGTAGCCCTGAAAGATTGCGACGGCCTTGAAAGATGGTTGCGGGTGAGTCCAGATTCCTATAGCACAGCCGATCAACTGGAGACTCAAAGCTGGCCAGGATGGTCGCACTCGTCCAAGCGATGAATTGTAGTAAGCAGCAGTACTATTGCGACACCTGGTGAAATATACAAACTGATCAAGGAAAGCGTATTACATCAGACGAATACTCGAAGCCGAATTCAGATGACCGTAGAGATGTTCTGCCTCCTATGCCATGCGTTGCAGATACTGCCGTCTTTCATCGACATTGCCACGGCATTCGGATTCAAAATCTCCAACACGGACGAATACTTCACAACCTGTTACCAGCGGCTCTTCCGCGATAATGACGATTCGTCAAATTTGACGAAGTTTACCAGATACGGTGAGAGTACAAACACGTATAAACGTCAGTTTCCGACTAACGTCGCGTAGATATTTGCTTTAACATTCGCTACTTGGAAGAGCATGGCCGGAGTGGCTTGAGCGACCCCTGGTCCTTTCGCCAGATGGCGGTGTACCAGCGTCACGACTTTCCGCAGGGGCGTTCCTCCTGCATTCTCATTCAGCCCCCATCAACAGCACGAGAGACCATAGAAAGACTGCTCCAAGCGTCAAAGGAGCAACAAAATCGTTCCCCGCTATTAATACATCTGCAACTACTCAAGATTTGCGCGCGGAAGTGGAGATGGTACCTCAACTATCTTAGCGATGGACTAAGGGATATGGTATGTTCTTTCCCCAGCACACTTCGTCTCTGGTATCATTTGCGTGCGGATGCTGATTTTCTCTGGATAGAAAGACGAAATAACTTGGGCACGAATTACAAAGCCACAGAGCAATGCCGGCTTCGACCAAAGCCAAAATCTTGAGGTACTCCGATGGAAACTAAGACAGGCTCGAGCTATTCTCGAGTCAAACATCAGCGTTGGGAGTTCAATTCTTCGCCATGCGAAGGATATTACACCGTCCCTAACACGGCACCGGCCCATGGCTATCCATAACCACATGCAGCTGAAGTCGGAACTTGTTCACTATATCTCGGATTTACGGATGCATCGGAGGAAAGCTTCGGATCTGCTCGATTCTACCGGAAGCCTTGACTTGCTCGTATGTATTCTTGCCATGTTTCATTTGATGACGCTCACATCTCTGAACTTCGTTTAGATACTCAAGCTCCTAGATCTCCGCAATTACAATGTATCAAACAAGAATGCCGCTGCTTTGAAGAACCTTGCCGAAGCAAGTTCCATTGAAAGTCGCCTGATGGTTCAGATTGCAAGGCATACAAGTCATGACTCAAGGGCCATGAAATTCACTAGCTTCATTGCGGTGATATTCTTACCGGCAACCCTGATATCGGTAAGTGTACTCTGATCGTAGCCGTCGCCGGTTCGATCATTGCGTGGAGAGGCTGTGCTGATGTAGCGTCTACACAGTCGATCTTCAGTACCGACTTGGTCTCGAGTGCATCGTCCGACAAAGAACAACTTCCACCTAGGCTGATCTTGCTGTATGCGACTCTTACGACCATTTTGACGGCCATTACCATGGCTGGAGTATACCTTTGGAACAGGAGGACGCAACAATTGCACGCATGCCGGCCATCCCCATGAGTTCTAAATTGTCAAGCGAATGGCTCCATCCCCCTGAATGATAATCTACAGTCCACGCCTGTCCGCGATCCTGGCGATTTTGACCACTAAGTCCTTCTCGAAAGCTGTATCCGGATGAGAACCGCCCTTGAGCAGCTGACTCATCCTAGCTAGTTTCCGCTGCAAACGCAAGGCATCTTCCCACATATCCCTCTCGCAGCATTTTTCGACAATCCGATTATAAATGTTGAAGTCATCCCGCCGAATTTTTCCGTTCCTTATTCCTGCATTGTCTATCCCACACAGCAAGTCCACTGCGTCCTTCACGCGCTTACATCTGGAATACATCATAGCTAGAGTAATAGTGCCCGATATCGTCTTCTCGTCATTGGGCCCGAGCAAGATCCTCTGATACTCGGTGTACTCCCCGTATACCTGCACAGATTCCTCTACGAACTGATTATACAACTCCGGTAGTTCCTTGGAGATTCCCACTTCATGGAGCATGTGACCCAGTCGATGTAGTTGAGATGCCGTCAGGGAATGCACGCCGTATTTGTGTTTGATGATGGCCACTAGTTTGCGTTGGATGTCCAGGACGCGTTGTGGCGCGACTTCGCAGAAGTCCGACACAACTTGGCGCGTGACTGCAACACACTCCATATGGTCTTCCCCATACGCAGCTGCAACTTGTTCGATGGCTGACTGGGCAACCTTGAACGCTGCTTCCTCTTCTCCCGATTTGAGCAGAGCTAAAGCCAAATCCTCCCGGCAGCGGATAATCTGCGCGTCCGATTTATCGAGGCAAGATTCTGCTGTCTCAAGAGTACTTTGAAGAAGGTTCACAGCGTCGGTCAGCCGGTACATCTCTGCGAGTGCTCTTGCCAGATATCGGTTCATTTCGATCGTCCTGATATGGGCGACGCCAAAGGCTTTTTCGTTACCGGCGCAAACCTCTTGCAATAGCTCTAGAGCGTCTGAGATAGAATAGTCATCTCTTTTCCTCAGTAGCGTGACAGCCAGACGACCCATAGCGTTGAGAATTTGTGGACTACCATCAGTATGGGAAGCACGACGCCAGTCCAAAACACGCCGCTGGATCATCTCGGCGCGCTCTAGTTCGTTGTCGCCCACCAGACTACTAGCGTAGATTTCCAACGCAACAATCGTTAACCGATGATCTGGCCCGTGGACTTGTTCCATTACCTCTGCGATCCGCTTGAGCAGACGGTCAGCCTCTTCGTCGTCCCCTTCCCCTCCTCGAAGATTCAGCAAGTCGGACAACTGCGATTGAAGATAACATTGTGAGCGCACGACATCTTTGATGCCCTCTTTTCCTTCTGCCTCCCGCTTGATGCTCTCTATCGCATCGTCCAAGACTCCTTCAGTGACATACGCGGGAGCAAAGTTATTGTGTAAATGCTCTAATGCACTGCTGTTGTGAAGCGGGCCGCGATAATCTTCTTGGTCCTGATGTATGCGAATCTCTCTAGCGAAGGCTTCAGCATTTTTCCCACTCATCTGTAGCCAGTGGGCCGACTCGGTATCGTCCTTTGGTGTCCCAAATGCGAGGAAGTGACAAACAGCAAGCTCAAATGCTGCGGATTGGGAATGAAATCCAGGCCCGGCTGTCACAACCGTGGTGAGCTCTTGTACAAGCTGCTTACGAACCAGATAGTGCACGTTCTGTAGCACCTCGAAGTCATCGGAGATCTGCTCCAGTGTAAGTGATGGTTGTTTTCAATGTGGCTCAAGTGCTGTGATTCTTACGAAGGGAACCTGAGGGACAGTCTTCCGGTCCTTTAAGCTAGAATGGGTCCAGTCTCGGGGTCTCCTCGCACCTGGTCAGACGGCATTTATGTAGTAGATAAGCATTTCCTACTTACTCAGCAGACGATAGAAAAGGGTTCCTAAATTCCTCTAGCACATTCTGAATGTGACCATCCCGCTCCCGGGCATCACGTGCTAATGATCTGTCGAATATTCCGCGAAGGCGACCTAGAATCTCGTTGAGAGCCGGCTTTCGAATAATCACGTCGCTATGGATGTCTGCGATTTGCTTTAGGAGCTCATCTACACTTTTCGAAGCTATTTCCGATGGGTCAACTTTTCCTTGTAGGCAGATCCAAGCACAGAGCAACCCATATGAATAGACGTCCATCTTCTTCGCATCTTTGAAAGAAAAACCTCTGGGATGCCATTCGGGAGCGCACCAGCCAGGGGTTCGTGGTGGATATACAGTCGATTCTTCATCACACCCATAGCATGAGAAGCCAAAGTCTGTGACTTTGGGCACCAGAGCAGAGCTAGATGATTCTACGTGGATTAGGACGTTTTCAGGCTTAATATCCCCGTGTATGATGTCTATTTCAATCAGTATATTTCAGGAATGGGCAAAAGAAATGACCTCACCGGCCAAGTGCATTTCCTGGACGGCAGCCCCGATTCGCTCAGCTACGAGCATGGCGTCCTGCAAGGACATACTGTGGTCTTTGAAAAATGTTGCTAAATCACCATGAGATGATTTCTCTAGTACCAGGACCGGCCAAAGGCGTCTATGCGTTGCACCACCCAGGTCGAAAGTGATCACATCAAAGGAGACTCCGTAAAAGCCGACAATATTCTGATGTTCCCTGACACCTGGGTGACACAAAACGAGCATTTCAGCGACTAGAGCTTTATAAGTTTCAGCCTCGAGAGAAGGATCACTGGACTTTCGGAAGGTCTTGAATGCGAAACCCATCTTGGACGATAGAGGTGACTGATAGATGCGTCCAGTAGCGCCTTCGCCCAATCCGGACAGAGCGTACTCCTTCCAATGGACAAAGAGGAAGTCGGCTCCGACGAGTTGCGCCACAGCCATGAAGCGGAGAAATTCGCTTTGGCATGGCTCTTCGAGAGCGGTATCGTACCCTCGTGCGACGGTTGTTGTTTGGGTCAAGGGAGGATAGTCCAGGAGAGGATCGTAGGAATAAAGTGGCCGGTTATTTTCGGACGATGAAGCCATGATGGTAAGGATATATGCCGTTAAGCGCTGAGAGAAAGGTTAGACATGTACCCCGAGGCTGAGATTAGGCAGACGTCCCCAAACCGACCAATTGCAGAGCCGACCGAGGATATGGCCGAGTTATCGCCTTTCCATACGCAAGTGCTATAGAGGAGGGGTTTTTCGTCTCTATGAATGACAAGGTTCAGAGGTCATTCATGGTGGTTCCATAGGAGAATATACAAATGCTGTCCGCCCACACCCACATCTCTTCGTCCTCGCAACGGATAGCTTTCAAGGCTGCGAATAGGTTTCGCTGGACCATGAACGGCTTGCCGTTGAGCTGGATCCAGCGCGGCGAGGCGCACGCGGCCCAGGTGTACGAGAGCGCGCTGGACACGACTCGAGAGATGCAATGCGTTCGTGGCTGAGGATGCACGAAACGGGCGTTGAAGGTGGGGCGGGGAGGAAGTTTGATAACGCGGAATGAATCGTGAGATTGGTCTAGGGCGGCGGAGCGGAAATACCATTGTTGCTTGGAGAGCGATGGAGTTGTCATGGTGGTCTAATAGGTGCGCGGAAGGCTGCGATATCGTTCGTAGTGAATCTTTCGCCTAGCTGAACTGAAGCGTTGTTGGAAGAGGGGAAGAAATCTTGAGTCGAACGAAATAACCATAAAGAGGTCCCCCGTGCTTTATGTGGGATTCTAATATGGAGGAAAATCATGGGCCCTTACTATAATGTAGATGGAAGCGCTGTGGCTTGTTGCAATATGGATCTGCTGTAGGTAAGTGCAAGCATTTCTTGGAAATCACAGCACACAGAAGCGACACGACGAGGCGTGAGGGGCTGGGGCTCAGCTTGAGGTACCAAAAGACAAGGTAAAAAGAAACATCGAACGTCACACTCTCGATGCTCAACATTCTGGGTAATTTGAAGTCCCTTCGTATCGACTCAGTCTCGAAATACCATTCTAGTCAGATACGTGCCACTTGACTTGTCGGTCATAACCAGTTTCAAGGGATCAGACGCCTACTCGCGCGTCTCATTTAACATTGGTGTTAGGTTAAGTAATTATCTTGCTGGTTAAGCAGCAGCGATGCCCGAACCTTCTTCAAAGATTCTAAGTTGAGAGGAGAAGTGGTTGCCACCGAGGCTGTCAACGCCGTCTTCTCCGCGGACTGTACCATCCATCTATGCTCAATGGGGACCGAAGGAGAAACGAAAAACGCAAGCATGTTGAAAATGCCGACTTTTGTTGAACCATCCACACCTCCCGCCCCACCCCGTTGAGAACGCCGCCGCAGACTGTAGTGTGAGTCAAAAAGAACACCCCGGATGAACGGAGAGAAGATATTATAGACAAGAAGAAAATATTTATACGGGCAACGGGAACGTGACAGCCCACGCCGCAATCTCCTTCTTCAGGCTGTTGATCTCTTCGACCCCGCCGCTGGCCACCTTAGCCTTGAAGTCCTTGAGCTTGTTCGCCTCCTTGGGCAGCTTGCTCTGGATATCGATGCACAACTTGATGCAAGTATCAATGTACTGGCTGATCTTCTTGAAGTCCTCCTCGCCGAGCCCGCGGCTGGTCATCGCGGGCGCGCCGATACGAATACCCATAGGCGTCAGCGCAGACTTGTCGCCTGGTGTCGTGTTCTTGTTGCAGGCGATGTTGACCTGCTCGAGCACGGCCTCAACACGTGCACCATCGAGCGACTGCGGCTTCAGGTCTAGCAGCACCATGTGGTTGTCTGTGCCATGGGTGACGAGCGTGTACCCGAGCTCCTTGAGCGATATCTCAAGCTGCTTCGCATTCTTGATGACCTGCTCCTGGTACAGCTTGAAGTCGTTCGTCTGCGCCTGCTTTAGTGCTACCGCGAGCGCGGTGATGGTGTGATTGTGGGGTCCGCCCTGGTGGCCGGGGAAGACAGAGAAGTTGATGGGGCCCTCGAGGTCGTAGAGGGTCTCCTTTCCGGTCTTCGCGTCCGTCTTGCGCACGCCCTTACGGAAGAAGATCATGGCGCCGCGGGGCCCACGGAGAGACTTGTGGGTCGTGGTGGTCACGATGTCGCAGTAGGGGAAGGGTGAGGCGTTGACGCCAGCGGCAACGAGGCCGGAGATGTGGGCCATGTCCATCATGAGGTAGCAGCCAACTTTGTCGGCAATTTCCCGCATGCGCTTGTAGTCGATTTCACGGCAGTAGGCGGAGGTGCCGGCGACGAGGACCTTGGGGCGGTACATCAGCGCGTTCTCTTCTAGGCGGTCGTAGTCAATGAGGCCGGTCTTGACGTCGCAGCGGTAAGGGAAGCTCTCGAAGTAGGTGGAGACGGCGGAGATCCTGGTAAAGCTTGTCAGAAGACTTTTACGTCGGGGACTTTCACTAGACGTACTTTCTTGCGGGAGTCTGGTAGCCGTGGCTCAAATGGCCACCGTGGGGCAAGTCCAAGCCCATGAGCCTCTCGTGAGGCCTCATGATAGCCTGGTAGACCTGGAGATTGGCCGGGCTGCCGCTCAATGTCTGCACATTGACGCCCCATTTCTCGGGGTCCAGGCCGAACGTCTTGAGCGCACGCGCCTGGCACAGCAGCTCAATGGCATCGATGTTCTCGTTTCCGCCATAATACCGGGCACCGGGGTATCCCTCTGAGTACTTGTTGGACATGGGCGACCCGAGGGCATCGAAAACGGCGCGGGAGGTGACATTCTCGGAGGCGATGAGGAGGATGGACTCGCGTTGGCGCTGGATCTCTTTTTTCTGCGGTCGTTAGCTGTATTCCAGTCTTCAAACACTGGGAATAGAAGTGTGTGCATACCATGATCTCGGCAACCTCGGAGTCGGTCTCGACCAAGGACTTCTCCATGAGCTGCAAAAGTCAGTCAGTCATGGAATTCCCGGTGGCGGGGCATCGGGCGACTCACGTCCTGGTGGGACTTGGGCAGAGCGTAGGTCATGGCGGCGGTGGAGGTGGAGGGGAGTGTGGGAGTTGGAGTGTGTGCAGGAAGTCAATTGGTGAAGAACCGCGGAGAGGGGGGTGGGTTGGTGTTGATATAGACGTGGACTCCGAGACTGTGCTTGTCCGTGGGATTTCTCACTCAGAAGTTTTCCCCGAAAACCCCGCCATTCGCTGGAACAGGCATGGCCAGCTTATCACCAAGGCCGATGGCGGACTTCAACTTTTACATTCATCATTCAACCAACTACACCGACATCATAACTTCAAACAGTCGTTCATTACTGCATGCTTGAAATCTCGTGAGTCCGATCATCCGATTTGCTAAGCACCGCTTAAGGTCCACCGATATTCTACGTTGTTAAGAACTGGAAAACGACACTTTTGAGAAGCCTGATAGCTCTCCGGGTTACCTCAGACGGAGTCAGAACAGACTGCCACTCTGTGTTCATGCAGATAACACAATCATACTTTCATCCTACTCAATAACTCGCCGGTGGTCCAAGACAAGCTTCCGTTGCGTCTTAAAAGGACACCTCAGAGCTAAAACTCTCCGCAGAGCTAAAACTCTCCGCAGAGCTAAAACTCTCCGCAGAGCTGACTTCGTAGACCGGGAGCGGCGTATTCTGTGCGGCCGGGATGCATTTGTTGCTCTTTTTGTTCTCTGGTGCCTTCGCAGGTGGTTTTAGCTCGCATTTGGTCTTCTTCGGTGGACTTTCGTTCCCCGTCTCTTCGTCATCACTTCCGCGCTTTTTGCCTTTTCCCTTTTTATTAACTTCAGGCTGCTCACGGCTTTTTGGCGCTACAGCAGTTGAGAGCCCAGCCCTGTGTCTGTTCAGTGCTGCCGCTGGAAGTCTTGTTGTCGAAATCTCGGGTTGACACTGGCCGGGCCGTTCAGCTGGAGCCTCCTTTGGCGACCCTTCCAGGATCGATTGTTGCATTGCAAGCGCGACCGCGAGCCCGTCGTCAGGTTTTTGCTTCTCTTGCGACTTGAGTCTTTCTACTATGTCTAGAACCGCCGGAACCATGCCCATGGCCGCAATGGGATCTCTGCTGAGCAGAGCACCTAACCACCCCATGAGTGGTTCGATGAGGTCGAGATACGATAGAGGGACTGGAGAATTTTTCTGCTCGCCGGGAATCCTCGTTGCATTTGGAGGTGCTTCCTTTTCTTTATGATGTTCGGAAGGTCTACTATTTTGTTAGCTAAAAAGTCATCGCAATGTGCTAGAATCTCTCATTACTTCTTGCCTGCAGCACTGCCTTTTGGATTCCCTTTGCCTGCCGAATCTTCCTTGGCATCATTTGGTTGGGTTCCAGATGGCTTTGCGATTTTGGTCGCCTTCGCTAATTGCGGCCGGACTTCATCAGGACTGTAGCTGTCAAGGAATCTAGGGATCTGTCAGCAAAAGGGGCTTTTCAGTCACCACGAAGGGACAGAAACGTGCCCTAGACTTGCTTCATCATCCGCCGATTTTTGAGCTTGACCTCGGGGCCGATCTTCATTGTTCGGTGCGGCTTTCCTAGATTTCATTGCAGTGTGCTTTGAGGTTTCAGTTCTCTCGGCAATGCCCTTTTTATCCCAATCGCGCAAGACTCCGGCTTCAATCACCTGTCGTTTCTTGTCCTTCTCGCGCTGTTCCCGTGCCTCTTCCGTTTCGCCTCTCCGAGAGCGACTACGGGGCAACTGCTTGCGATTCGTACGAGGCACCGGGATAGGGCTCCTGTTTCTCGTCCGACATCCTGCGTTCAGATTTCTCCTTGCTTCGGTTCTGGTATCTTCCCAGCCAGAGCACTCGGTGCGAGGGTCTTCATCCTCGTCCGACCGCTTCTCACTTCTGTTTTCAAAGAGGTCTTCTTCCCTGGTGTCGTCGCTAGCTGGCTCGGGTGATTTCTGCAGCGCTTCATCATTTCGACTAGGCTTCGCTTGCTCGCCCTTTGGAGGGGCTAGGCTAGCTTTGGGCCAGTGATCTAGTGTCACTAGCCCGGGCCCATCAACCCCAGCCCCCTTTCGGCTTGGAGCTTCGCTATTCTCTGGAAGGGCCTTTGTGGGCGCCATCTTAGACGAGGTGGGTATGAAGCTTTGGAGAAGATGAGATGTTCAATCGATGAACGAAACTGTGATGGTAAACGAGATCGAAAGGTACGTACCACGCAGAGCTCTTTTGAATGAAGATGTGCCCTCCATGGTGGTCGGATTGCTCGCAACCGCGCGACACATAATGTCTCAGTTTCCCTGGATCTAGGACAGAATAACCGCAGCATGTTTGTAAAGTTTCTTCTTTGAACAACCTGCTCGTAGGTCATCAATCAATATTTGCATCTTTGTATCCACAACGGTCGTTGCGGAATTTCTGATACCGGTTTGCTAGTCAATTTAGCCAGCACGACCTACAGCAAATCTTGATGAAAGGATCATCTTAGACAACTCTGCCGCAAAATTCGTTTTCCTCGCTCTTAATTAATGAAAAAAGAAGCCCATGGTCGAAAGTTTTGGAGAATTGGTCCTACCGACACGTAAAACTTTCTGTGTGAAGTGGTTTGGCGTATTCTATTTGTCGCGGCAAGCATGCCTAGGTCTCTTTTCTACACTGTCTAGCCTTTGATAGGGAGAATATCATCACGACAACATTCATGCGCCATCCCGGAAGCTTCTTGGCCATAATTGTAAGTAGCTGTGGGCCTCTGCGAAGAATCAAAAGACGTGTGATATTTCCGATCACGTGAGGTAAGAATTTGGAGGACAATAGATGTCGATTCTATGTAGGAATCTAGCTAGCCTATATACTTGTAGGAGAGGCCCGTGCAGGCCTAATATACGCTAGATCTACTGTAACAAGTGTGCCTACAGTAGATCTATACATCACGTGCCCATACATCACGTGCACGGCGGCCGAATATCAACCGAACATCGAGAATTCCACAGACGTGCGCAAGCGTCAACTTCGTGGTTACTGTATACGGCTTAGCGCATGTAAGCTTGAACGTATAAGCCACAACAAGCTTAGGTAACAAGCTTTGTTTAAGCCCCCGATCCATTATCCTTCAACCTCTGGATAACTCGATTCGACAATGACTGCTGTTCATCCTGGTCATGCCCGCGTATCGGAGATAATCATGCCTTGTGTTGGTAATGCTTGCGAAGAGCTAGCGTGTACAGCCCCGAACGTGGGAAGCTCAGTGCCACTACCTGCGTCTAGGGCTGAAGATATATTCTCAGTGTAGGTATATAAGAGCAGTTATGTCCCTTTCTCGTAGTTGTCTATCTTCTTCACTTCCCGAGTTTTCTGCTCCTTCAATTCCTTCAAATCTCCTTTCCTTTCTTCAACTTCAGCATGTCCATCCTCGTCAAACTAGTTGGTCACGGCATAGGTCTCACGGCCGAAGCCAAACAATACCGCAAAGACAAGAAAGCCCGTGAAGCCAGCTCTTCTAACTCTTGTGCCGCGTCTCCCTTCGAGTCCTCAAGCGACGACCCACCCGTCTACGCCGAACTCCCCCCCGACGACGCCAAAGCCCTCATCGCTAGCGGTGATGCTGTTCCCGTCGAGCGTCACGAAGACGGCGACGAGAAAGACTGGGATCTCGACGATGCCGCCGAAGAAGCAGATCCAGACGCCGAACAACGCACGCAAAAAGAGAGCAACGACGCCTTCGCAATAGCCCTAGCACGCCTCCCACCGCCCGACCTAACAAAAAAGCTCCCATGCGCCGTCATCCTCCCCCAGCGCCGCCCTCGCGCCAAAGCCCGCGGCTTCGTCAAAGCCTACGCCCCCGTCCTGCTCGAAACAGGCATCGACCAAACCACCTTCCTCGCCTTCCTCTCCGCCTGGGAAAAAAGCAGCAAAGTCCGTCCCTCCCTCCCATCAACAACCACCACTAACCCCCCCACCCCCAGGCCTCCCCCATCCTTAACATCATCCAACTCGGCGCCGGCATCGCCGGCTTCGCCCCCTCCGTCACCGTCATGCTCACCGCCGCCGCCATCCAAGTAGCCGCGGGCATCGCCAAGGACGTCCAGTCCCGCGCGCGCCGCAACTCCTTCCTGGACGACGCAAATACCAAACTTTTCATGCCGCGCGGTCTCTACTGCATGGTCATGCGCTTCGCGCCCGACAGCGCCCACGCCGTCGAGTCCACTTCCGTCAACGCCAACGACGCCATCGCGCGCTACGCATCCGCGGCAGGCAGCGGCCTCACGAGCAAGCTGCGCATGGCGAGCGGGAAGACGCACGGGGAGATTGCGCTGCCCGAGGCCGCGCCGCTGGTGTTTCCGGCGCTAGATCACGCGTTGGCGGCTGGCGGGGACAGGAAGAGGGATAGGCTGAAGCGGGGGAGTGAGTTTGTGAATGAGTATAAGGATCGGCGCGCGCAGGCGGTGTATGGGGATGCGCATCCGGAGTCGAGGTTGGCGGCGCGGGAGAGGCCGCGGTTTGCGAGCGTGTATAGTGATCCGGCGCATCCGGCGAGTTCGGGGGATTTGTTGGCGTTGGTGAGTAAGGGGAGGATGACAATGCCGAGGAGAGAGGGAGGAGGAGGTTTGGGAGGGGGTGGTTTTGGGGGAGGGAGGGGTGGGGGATTGGGGGGGTTGGTTGGGGAGGTCGTGGGGGCTGTGAGTGGGAGGGGCCGTGATAGTGAGCAGCAGCATGAGTCGCAAACTTATGTTCTTAGTCAAGGTGGAGTTTTTGGGGGTGGTGGAGGTCGAGGCGGGGGACTCGGCCAGGGAGGATTGCTTGGGACTGGGGTAGGTAAGGAGGTTGTCGGTGCCGGGCCGCTGGGCGCGGTTAAGAGGATTATGAGGCAGGATGTGCTGTATTTGCTTATTGTGAATATGCCGTCGGAGAGGGAGATTGCGGAGGCGAGGGCGAGGCTTGGTATGGAGGTGTGAGTGGGAAGAGTGAGATATTTTTGGGCTTCAAGAACTGAGAGAGCGTCTTTTTGAAAAGCACGAATATATATCAAACGACTGCCGAGGGGTTGATTCCACAGTAGACGCCATCACTGACTAACTGTAGCCAATTTGAGGGGGCTAGTATTGTGATTACACCGTTCCTCCTCCGTGCTGCGAGATTCTCCGGTCTCTTTCATTCTTTCAAATCACCCGATCCACGCTCTCTTGCCAGACGTCTGTGTACGTCTATCCGCCCTTCGAACCAGCGGTCCCATAGGACACAGAGGGTTCGATTATACCAGCGGCCGCCTAAGGACACAGAGAGTAAGGTTGAGCAGTCATCGGTCCCATAGGACACAGATGACTTTGCGACTCACGTAGTCATGATTTTGGAGGCTTTGGAAAATTAACGTTTATATCTACTATAGGTGGGCTAGAAAAAATTCTCTACTACCAGATCTACCTACCTCAAATCCTTCTCTCGCGCTATCAGCGCCATCTCTCCGTTACTCTCTCCAGCTCTTTGAGGGCAGTCTCTCACAGAAATCTTGTAATGCCTTGTGATACGTCTTCGTTTCATTGACTTTAGCGAATTACAACCTGCTCTGATACTACCTTAGATTCTTGTAGACATCGTAGGTAGTGCGATTGTGTGTTATGTTCATCCGAGTAAATTTCTGAAGTCGTTCAAGACGGACGAGAGCGATGTTCAGCTTGCGATTAACGCTTCATTCCAATTTCAAGGTTGGCCTACAACGGGATGAGAGTGGGTGTGAAAGGGGTTCATTCTTAAATTTTGAATTCTGAGAATGGCCCGTCAGTACAGGAAGTCGAAGTTCTCTTTTAGCTGAGAAACGACACGCTGAAACACCTCTTTCTGAAATGCGACATCATCCAGACTGCTTGCTCGACAATCAAAATTACACCGTATACATCTCCGCACGGCATCGCTGTATTTCTCGCCTGCGTCGCTATAGAGTTCGTCAACTATTCTGTCCGCTGTGTACCATTGCGTCCTCATGTCTGCACTGAGATCTCCCGAAGATATAGGCCCATCCTCTGGTTTATGAAGTTCTTGGAGAGACTTTCCGTACCAGAGCTCGATGAGAAATACCCCAAGAGAAAAGAGCGTCGGATTCCGGATAATCCGGCTCATCGAGGTAGGTATGGGACTCGATTGGGATGCTTGCGCTCCTTGATTGACATGTTGCGAAACGAAAGGGTGATTGTACAGGATACTGCCCGAGCGTTCAATGAAGAATATGTTTCCTTTTCCCCAATCTTCAAGCCAGGGTGTTTCGTGCAGCTGCAAGACGCTGGAGGCAAGGGTGACGGCTAAGCGCAGGCGATCTTGGCGGGTAAACTTAGAGTCGCGCAATATCTGGCGGAGAGACGATACACTCCAGGACTCGGGATCGATCGGTGGGTCCTTGTGGGGGTAGATGAGAATCCCATATTTCTGCTTCGCATACTCAGTGACGAGAAGCGGGAGGCAGACATCTCGCTGCGGTTTCTGGAGCGTACTAATGGCAGCGCATAAGTCTTGGATCGGCTGTAGGTTAGGGTGCGGGTCGAGAGCTGCCCTGACAGCTTTCTTGGCCTGGGCTGCAAATCGAACTCCTTTGGCCCCGCGGGGAGGACAAATTTGCGAGGGGGGTGAGCGTTTCTCCTCCAGTGTGATCCTTACGTCTGCTTCCTCCCATATCCACGGAGACGTCACGGGAGCGTTGGGCTCCTTGACGTGGTGCTGGCTATATCGAAATAGGACGTGGAATGGGTCTTGCATGGACTCGTCTTCACTATCGCTGTTGTCGTCACTCGACATCTCTTCCATTCTGGATTCGAGGCGAAGATTCACGCTGTGATCGGCGTGACATGGACATTTCCATCCAGAACTGAGAGCTGAGTAAAAGCCTTCCGCACGGTCGTGAATGCTTTGGAATTTTGGCATTGCCTGGCGGGTTGTCTTGGCGCTGGCATTGTAGAGGTTTTCGAGGGATATGGTTTGAGTGGTCATTCGGTAGAGGGCGAGGTTCGCTGCCCGAATTGACCTCATCACATCGTCGTAGTCAGATTTATTGAGGCTGAATCGAAGCCTTTTGTAATGCTCTTTGAAGGCGCTCTGGTCGTGAAATTGAGGCTGATGCAGTTAGAAAAATCATGTGACAGAGGTTTTGGGTTTGGAATGATATAAGGTAGCGATCAAGGAACACCACATACCTTTCCGGAAGCATCCAGCTTCAATCTCTGCTTAAAAGTGCCCAGGGCCGAGTTCATCGAGATGATAGTACCGATGTAGGAACCGTAAGTCGTGCCGAGCCGGTTCATTAACTTCTTGTCGAACTTCACGTCTTTCCATTGAGCACCACATGGATCGGCTAGGAAGTCCGCCATCTCTTTCGGCCGAACGACGCCGATAAGAAGCATGTTGATCGAGTTCAGGCACATCGTATTTTCTGTCCGAAGCTCCACGACGAGGCTTTTAATTCCCTCGCGGTACTTCCAGTAGCGTTTTGAGACGGCAATTCCTTTTCCGTAGAACTCCAAGCCGGCGAGAATGAGTGGAATCGAGCCTAGGATGAGCCCCGCGGTCTCGACGCCGGTCACCATGTTGTTGATTGTGTTGTTGAAGGAGGGATGAAGGAAAGAGCGAGCAAGGCTGAGAGGAGCTGAAGATGCGGCGCATAGAGCAAGAAGGGAAGTAATTCTTTTGGCCCCCAAAGTGGCAAGGCTGAGAGTGTACCCAATTCAAACCTCCTCACATCTCCATCGTTCTCTCCACAATAACAAAGACGGTTCAGTCATATGGCATGCGGAAGATATGGAGACTCTTCACCTTTCGTCCCAGGTTACAGACTGCGGGGGCGGGTTTCTCAGCCTTGTCGAAGCGCTGAAGCATGCCCCCCACTTCGCAACGCAAACGTCACCAGGGAAAGTCAATGATGAGTTCGATAGGTTCAAGATATGGGCTGGGAATGTTGCCGCCCACCGCAAAGGGCGTCGAAGCCTCGAGTACCGCCTTCGCGATGCTGAGCACCTCAAGAACGAAGCGCAGAATCTTCTTACAGCCTTGCAGGAGTCTTTAAACCATGGTAACACGCTCTGAAGATTCAGATTCAGATCTCTCGTAACTTTACTGACATTATACCAGGCTTGAGTATTGTGAAAGGAGAAAGAGTTCCCTGGGATGAAATGTCCGACTCTGACACAGATTCCGAGCCTGAAGCCGGATCATCAGAGATCAAGGCTGAGCTATTGGTCGGCGACACGGAATTGAAGCAGATATTTGCTGCGATCCGGGATACTATCACTTGTCTTTTTCGATTGTCAATGGCTATCCGAGATCCCGCTCCCAACACCCAGTCCGGCAGTACGATAATAGTCGACAAGTCGTACTTCGAGCACTACGATATCGAACACGTGAAAGAAAAACTCCCCGGATGCGACAAAGATTTGACCGAGCGACTTGGAAGAGCCATTTCAGCTCGGCGCCAGTATCTAAACTACCGCGAGGAGCATCACAGGAAGCTGACGAAAGGGATTGAGAAGCTAGGATTTGAGGAGCCGAAAACTGAACACACAGCAAACAGCACTGAAGCCTCACCAATGCCAAAACTTCTCAGTGTTTCCAAAGACGCTAACGAGGTGATGGATGATAAGGTGATGGATGACGGTGATGATGGGTTATCTCAAACCTCGTACGCGACATCAATCAATGCGACGTTGAAAGTGCCGTCTTTGCCGAGGGTGGCCCAGGAGAACGAATGCTATGAATGCCCGCTGTGCTTTATGATATTATCTATTCGCACAAAGCCGGCTTGGAAGTAAGCGGCTCTTATTCATTTCCCAATCTACATCGCTAATTTCTCGTAGGAAACACGTGTATCGCGATCTTCATCCTTACTGCTGTACCTTCAAGCATTGCACGACAGCAGACCGCCTCTATGATTCTCGACGTGCATGGTTTAAGCACGAGATGGAAGCCCATAGAACTCTCTGGCAATGCATCGAGGGTTGCGAGAAAGACTTCTCCTCTGAGAGAGACTTTGTTGAGCATGCCCAGCAAGTGCATCCCGAAGTAGCAACAAAGGACGCCATTTCGATCCTCAAACGGACGTCGATACGAAGCGCAAATAGCATGCAGCATACCAACTGTCCGATATGCAACGAGTCTCTAAGTCTCCACGCGCTCCAGAAACATCTCGGACGCCATCAAGAACAACTTGCGTTGTTCGCTCTACCTGCTAGTGTCGATGATGCCGACGATGATGATGATGCCAACGACAACGACACGGAAGATGACAAGGACAAGGGCAATGATACGGAAGATGATGAGGACGAAGAACCGCTTCCGACGAGGCAGAATACAGATCGCTTTGGTTCAACCAGACTAGCGAGAGAATGCGCAAGGGGCGACCTCAATGCAGTACAAGCTGCGTTCCGCGCTGCACCAGAAGAGCTAAACCAGGATGACTCTGGCGGCAATACGCCCCTCCAGATAGCATCATTAAACGGACACACGAAGATCGTGAAATTCCTGCTGAGTCAAGGATCTCGACCTGACTGCGAGTCGAACGATGGCGACAGCCCCCTTATTGATGCCGCAGAGAATGGCCATCTAGACGTGGTGAGACTATTATTGAGAGCTAATCCCAATCCCCACCACCAGAACAAGAGGGGCCAGCGAGCTATTGATGTGTTGAGCGACGACAATGATAACACGAAGAAAATCGAAACGGACCTAAAGTGGGCCATGCATAGAGTCTACTCGCAAAACATTGAAATAAACGACCTTCGCAACCGCTACACACTTACCCAAGGCGCTACTCAAAAAATGATCAAGGATGACACAGGCGCCGATGTCGTGACCATGGGCGAGTATTACCCAGACAAGAGAGGTCGCCATGCAGCCCCGCCGCTGTATTTACACGTCACCAGCACTTCGAGAGAAGGCCTCGACAAGGCCGTTGATAAGATCCACAGTCTCATAACACAGGAGCTGCCAAATGTTGCGTATATCGGGAAAGGAAAGGGAAAACTCAGTAATGACCCTACCCAAGACAACGTGATAAAGGAGCGCTCTCAAGAGGAAGACAAGTCTTCCGACGCCAATATAAAGACAGACGCCACAGGAGGGAACATTGCCCCCTTCTCTTCGAATGTTCCATTGGAGGCAACTGCATCTCCATCCAGTGGATCAATACGTGGTGATGTACATGTCGATGAGCAAAATACGCCGGCACGTCTCTCACTAGAAGCATTGCGGCAGGAGAATAGCGACACCTCTAGTAGCCATGACAAGGACTCTCCAGGCGATTCGGAGGAGGCGAGAGGAAGAGAGTCTACTTTGGAAGGGCAGTCTACCAGCCTTGACCATCGGGATGGTCTTAGGGGCCGATTACGGCATATAGCTGAGGGTATTTTCGGTGGCAATACTGCAGCACAGTTAGTCCAGGACCAAAGAAAGAAAGAAGGGAAAGAGCCAGGGGAAGAGCCAAGCCAGGCGGCAGTACAAAATACGAAATTAGCAAATATTCAAGGAAGCAAGGAGCTTCTGAGGTCAATAAATGAGGCGCGCCAAAATAAAGGCAAAGACTCCATCACAAATGACGGGGAGATACTCCAGAGGCCTCAGGAGGAGGCAATACAGGCATTCCAGGCCGACATGGCGAAGTTAACCCAAGCGGGATTAGACGCTACATCATGGCTTGGGAGGGCGACAGTGGAGAGTGCTCAGAGGATTAGATTGGCAGAGAAGGAAGCAAAGGAGCCGCGACAGGGAGCGATCGATGGAGCAATCGATGCGTTTAACAAAAAGAAGCGGGAAGAGGAGGAAGAGGCTAAGGCGAAAAGGCAGAAGGAGGAGCTTCTGTTCCAGCTTGGGATTGAAAAGAAGAAGCAGGAAGATAAGGACAAGGCCGAGTGGGAGGCTTTCCTTCAAAAGCAGAATGCTAAACCTGAGGCTCAGATGCGACAGCGTCTTGCTCAGTTTGGCTTTCAGGAAAACCAGATCCAGGGCATGATCAAGCCCGAAAAGGCTGAGGAGCTCCAAGTCGGCCATAACCCTGTGCATCTAGGAGGACATCAACCCACGTACATTAAGGTTCACAAGGACTATATTGCCATTGAAACACTGGTGTACTTCGATATTCCGTGGGAGTATGATGCCGTAAGTTATTCCTATGCCACATTTTCCTTTACTAACCCTTCATCCAGGCCAACCCCGACTACATCATCATCCTCCGCGAATTGGGCGATAACGAGACTGACGTCCTGTTCGAGCACACCCGCCGGCTGCGATCACGTAGCACCACTCGTCTCCAAGAGCACGTCACCGTCACCGACGATAAGCCTCCTTATGCCTGGTTCCGCAGACGGGAGCGGGAGACCCAGATCCAGTCCATGATTAAGCCCGAAAAGGCTGAGGAGCTCCAAGTCGGCCATAACCCTGTGCATCTAGGAGGACATCAACCCACGTACATTAAGGTTCACAAGGACCATATTGCCATTGAAACACTAGCGTACTACGATCTTCTGTGGGAGTATGATGCTGTAAATTATTTCTACCTATGCTACATTGTCCTTTACTAACCCTCAATCCAGGCCAACCCCGACTACATCATCATCCTCCGCGAATTGGGCGATAACGAGACTGACGTCCTGTTTGAGCACACTCGCCGGCTACGGTCAGACAAAATCAAGAGATAGGAGGGGATGAGGTCAAAGAAGCGATGGGCGCGCGTCTCGATCATCGTGGCATTCTTACAAGACCGCGAGTCGCATAAAGTCTGACGCATCTCATTTATGAGCTTGACTATAACAAGGAAGATTCATGCACAATGCCCTAAGTCAGTTAGGCAAGCAGTCTACACTCTAGACCCTGTGAGAGCAGGCTCCGTCTTGTGCTCAAAATGTTGGCACGTCTCAGTCAACATAGGAAGACGCGTCCTTATAGGGCTGGTTCCCAAAGAGGGCAAAAAGTGGGAAACAGCCGTTAAAGGGCCAACGTTGATGAAATGGGCTCCTAGATGCAAGGGCCGTTTCGGGCTTAGAAAACTGACTGAGATATTTATCCAGTAATCGACCTGCTCACCCACTGCTCCACTACTCACTCACTGCCTACCCACCGCTGGCCTCTCACCTACCACTACTTATCCATCACCACTACTTCAGTGCTTACCCATTACCACTCCTTATGTCACGGAACAGAGGAGATCATGCCATGTACCTGATATGTTGGATGATAATGATGGAGAGAGAGAGAGAGGTATCCTGGGGGGGTGGCGGAGGTCGAGGCGGGAGATTCGGCCAGGGAGGGCTGCTTGAGACTAGTTTCAGTAAGGAGGTTGTGGATGCTAGGCCGCTGCGGTTAAGAGGGTCATGAGGCAGGATGTGATGTATGTGCTTATTGTTAACTTACCGTCAGAAAATGACATTGCGAGGGCGAGGGGGAGGCTTGGGATGGAGTGAATTTGGAGAATAGTATCTACGGACTCACAAGTATCCCCAAGATCCTAAGGTCATTCCCACCGGCGTATAGAGTGCGGTTTTTAGGTCCCGTGAAATTTTCACGGAGGTCGCATACTCCACTGATCTTCAATTGAGCTTTTCCATGTTGTCCCCTACCCGCATTTGCGCAATACCCTCAGCTAATCTCTCATCCATCTCTTCCCCTAGTGTCGCCACGGCCCATTCACACACTCTCATTGGGAAAAGAGTTATAGGCCAAGCGGTCCGCAAGTGAGTGGTCGATTACATTCCTAGTGGCTGAGATTAGGGACTTGCGAGTTCGCGGCGGTCTCCAGGGAACCCTCTCCCGAGTGTTCAAATCTGTACGTTGCTCTGGCGCACCATCTAACGCATCGAGGGGTATGATCAAGTTGCTAGGGATTCTCAAGGCAATTCGGAGCCCTTTTTCTACATGCCATGGAAGCATGACTCCTCTACTCAGTCCCGCTTCCCTGACAAGTTTTAGTTATAGTTCAAACGGTGAGATATCATAGTCCGCCACGACATTGTGTGTAGGCTATAAAAGCGAGTGCTAATACGCTTTGTTTTGCGTAGAAAGACTTTCATAAAACTGAAGCTCGAGTTCGCACGCGAGATTTTATACCCGCTCCGTCTGACGAAAACGTAGACATGCGATCAAAAAAGTGAAGAGTGGCAAATCGCATAAATTCGCTCTTTGCGATGAGGAATCAACTCATTTAAGTTTTCTGGGATGAATTAATGAAGAAAAGCACGAGTATAGCGTTTGTTGGTACATAGTTGCAATCCTACAGCGCGCATAGAAAGCACAGGCTAGATAGTCGATGCTAGTCCAGCTAGACTAGCAAGACTACCGCCCCGAAGAGTCATCTATGTACTATGGGTACCTCAACGCATTACTCAGGCTGCTCCTCCATTACCTCTTCTAGATACGGCTCTTCCTCTAAGCCCCCTTCCGCACTGATCAAAGCCACAGTTTCCCACGCCTCCTCAAACGGGACCCGATGTCTCTTCCACATAGTTATCTTTATCGCGTAATCTCCAGGGAGCGGCCAACGCTCTTGGCCCTCTGCGTTCACCCACTTCCCGTCCCTTTCCATAACAATGACCCTGCGATCTTCGGTTGACTGCTTGTCCAGTATCAAGAAGTATCGCGTATGGATAGTTAGAGGTTCTCGCTCAGCAAGATCAAGAACGGTGTCTCTGATCTCTTGCCAGGTAGCTGAGCTGAACTCTGTTTTGTCTGTAGTACTGATTCGCTCGGTCTCTTCTTTGAGATTCTCCTGTGTGGGCGAGTGCACGAGGATGTATGGAACAATGAGTTTGCCATCTGGAGTTGAAGGAGGAATTGCAGCTGTTTTGGCAAAATCGGCCCATTGCTAGTAGTCGGTCGGGTGAGTATACGTTCTTAATATCATTCATGGCCAACGTGGAGATGACGTGGAAAACGTACCTCGGGCGTGATGTCATATGTCGGGATGACAAGCGCGTTCATTGTGCGATGGTATAAAGATGCCGGGAGACTCTAGGGTCCAGAAATGACTAAGATAGGAGCGTGAATGTCGCGGGTTTGATTTGTAGTGAATTTGTAGAGGGCTCGAAAGCAAAAAGTCGTAGATCGATTCGATCGCGGCGCAGCATTATCCTAGTACACCAGCAAGTCGGTCCCGTACTCCGTACCCAGACAAGTAACTTAGAGCTGATCCGTACTGCCCTTCCCCACGAAGCGTTACCTTGTTCAAAGTTAAGACCTTTGGATTATTTGTTGGTGGACGGGAGTTCATAACATAAAGCTTGATAATTTCAGGTGGGTACATCTAAGACCAGCCTGAGCCGAATTGATCACGTGAGTAGCTGTGTACATTGGGGTGTAATAACAGGTTCCTCTACATGACGACTCCGTGCAAGGGTAGGTGTGCTGCTAGGACTGCGCGATTTGGCTAGATCAACTTAGCAGAAACGATCCAGATAGTTATAAAACCGAAACTTAATTTCGCCCAAGGAAACGGTAATGACTGAACGGGCGATCCAGTTCCTGAACGCCACTAATTACTTTTAGATCGGGATTGATGATCTTTAGATTAGGAATTAGGCACATTCTTGTATTCCACTCCCAGAACTGCCAATTCGTAAACCAATACTACACGACAAATGATGACAGACATGATGGATCTTGCCATAATACCAAGTACATCTTTAGGTCCCAGAAATATTGTGCTAGACAGAATGAGAGTTCCAAGAATAATATGAAATATAACTAAGACAGAATAAAACCATGCTAATAACGTAAAGCGTCGACTTTCGGGAATGAGGGTAAATGGTATCTCTCCTTTCGATTCCTTAAGTGGCCACAAAAAATCTCGATGAGCCGTCTTTTTACAAGCAGTGAGCATGCTACAGATGGCGGACTGCGGCCTTTTCCTTTGATTTTCCGGAGCTTCGGGACTACCAGCGGCTATGCTCGTAACCACGTTAGCAGCTGCTGGCCAGCATCGGCTCCTATTTCTAGAGGCCTGTATCCAAACAACCAATCTTTCATAACGCGTGCCTGCACAAGTCCGCTTACATACAATTGCAAGCTGAATGAGAACCAGACAAACGTCCAGCCATACCCTAACACCTTCTCGAGATGTGTGCTTTCTCTAGAAGGGTGAATTTTTTTCCATGCCCAATGCACCAGGTCCTCGGATACGATGGCCAAAGGCTGCGACATGAAGAAGGCCATCTCGCCCATGTCCCTACGAGTGACATTGAACATCTGGACCTGGTGAAAGAGGCAGCTGATGCCGAATGAGATGAACAGTTGGCCGTAGCTGGAGGCTAGGCTGCCCTTACGAAGGCCCAGAAAGCGAGCAATGCGTTTCGCGGGCTGGGACAGCAACTACATGTTCTGTCAGAACGTTCATCTCTTTGGATCGAGATCATTAATGAGGTTCCACTCACCCTTCGGCATACCTGGTGGTAAGTTGCACTACGGAATGTTATGTAAGCGCCTCTCACAACTTTGTTCGTCACCCTTGCAATATACATACCTCCACATCTGCCTCACGCTCCATGCATCCTTCAATGGCCCCATTAGAGGCGGCCATTCCCACGTCTCCGTCGTCCCAGTCGCAACACCCAGAGCAGCCGCGAGTCGATACGCACAATTCAGCCTATCCCATACCCACGTCGCACCTGACCACCCCACAATGGCATTTGCAACAGCTCTCTTAACATGTTCGTCTGGCCCAACTTGCGCTCTCAAAGCACACCCTAGCCCCAGCGCAGTCAACGCTCCCACAGACTGCGCATAGTAGAACACCGTCCACCGTATCTGCCAGCCCACATATTGCCACCTCGGCAGCTTTGCATTCGAGTCCGCAGGAACACCTTTCACCTGCCAATTCCATCCAATTCCCCTTTGCGCGGGCAGCATGAGCCGAAATGCCCACTTCACTCGCTGTGAGAAAGTGGTTAGATCCTTCCAGCGCTGAACCTGGGCGGCAACAGCGAGATTCTCGTCCCTGCGCTCCTCATCTATAGATTGCGGGCCAACGAACGCAGGCGCGCCCTCGCCGTCTCTGGGCGTTAGAAAGACAAAGTCTAGGTACCATAGAGGAATGGCGATGAATTGGCTGTTGTTGTAGTAGTCTGAGGAGGGATCACCAGTAGTAAAGCGCGGCCAACGGGCGCATAGGTAGAGCAGGAATGGGAATGTGGAGATGCTGGCGAGGCGTGTGTTTTCTGTTAGGAAGGGTAGCAGGGAGAGACCGAGACAGACGGGTGTGTAGTAGGCGGGAAGGGGCTTGCGCTCTGAGAGGGTAGGATAGAGGGACGCTAAGACATCCATGAGAAAAATTACGACGTTGAGACAAGTTTTGGGATGGAAGAAGGGACAGAGATTAGTTCTCAAGGCAAGTGATTGCAAAGATCGGCGCCACTAAGTCACGTGAGCTTGAGACAGCTACGAGATATCTGACTATGAAGCTGTTACTGTCTCTAAGAAGAAAACACTATCATGGCCATAACGTGACCTTCATCGCGATACGTCTCTCTCCATGTTACAGCGTCATGTGCTTTTTGGCACATGATTTTATCACGTGATCTCGCTTAGGGCCAGCCGTCGTGAACAAGAATGGCCGGCTCTTGGTAGAGTGCTTGGTGTCTGAAGTCTGCATTTATTGTGGGTGCTGCAGCAACTTCCGGAGAATATCTGAAGACGAATCTGGATGGGCTAGAGACTTCTTTCGCGGCACGCAGTCCTCCCATGATTCGTCTATTACGATCTCACGGCCACCGCTATAATCGGCACGTCTGACAACAAAGTGGTAGCTTTCATGCCACGAAACTTCAACAGATACAGATGGTCCCTCTTCTGGAGCATCCAGAGGCCGGAGAGTTTTGATGAATAGCTTGCAAAGTTCGCAGCTAGCCGTCGAATGATCCGTCGCAGCATTGCCACTGTTATGAAGAACCTGTTCGTAGTTGGATGAGTGAACGAATATCGGCTGAGATGCCTTATTTTGCCATCGAATTTCTGGGAGGTCTTCTGTTGGGTACGTGATTAGGTCAGAAGTCACAAGCATTTCGAGCAAAGACTTGATGCCTTGACGGAATCCGGCATGTAAGCATCGGCGCATGATTGCTCCCTGTCATAGCCATGTCCTTCCTCGCTAATTATCCCATGGTTCTCATGGCGTACTTCTTCTGTTGACTCGATGCTAGAGAAGTTGGACATGGGATCCATGGGAAGGTGAAATTTTGGACTGAATCCAGCGTAGGAGACTGGGTTTCCGGTTTTTAATCAACGCTCGGATGTGCGAATGCGGAGGTAAGCGCGCATAGATGGATAGACTTGGATTTGTGTAGCTTGATGTTCGGTCCCTAGAAGATGTCGTGGTGAAGGTGCTTGTAGAGAGGCTGGTGTCGGGGGCTAGCTGAGCCGGCTGCTAAACCAGCTGCCTCGCGGGTGTGGTATCGTATTCGGGTCGCTGAAGTGTGGGGGCCAAAACCCCATGAGGGCTGATATAGCAATATAAGTAATCGGTGTTTCAAGTCTTTCAAACTTAGTCTAGACTGACGGATTCGCATATATTCCATCAGCCTCAAATGCTCCTCAGCCCACGACTCTCCCTCCTTTCCCGTCGCTTGATTTCCAAGCCTATGCGTCGCTGTTTCTCATTCTCTTGGTCCCATGCTCTCTTTCTCGTGCGGAGTCTCTTTCCCGCTGCAACAAGCGCTCTATCTATGGAAGTCCTCTGCTCATTTATTGTTCGTATATGGGCAAGTACCCGTTCGATTTCCATTCTATTCTCTTTCCTCCTCTTTTCTACCCGACTCACATAGGCTTGTCTTTCCGCTCCGCTCAACGATGCCTCATGAGCGTCCACTGAACGCTCCCTCGCTTCCCTGTAGTTTACCCACACTTGAAATAGGCGAAGTTGTGTGCCTAAACTTCGATAATCTGTTGCAATTGCCGCCATCTCTGCACGAAGACCGAGAATCTCGGTTTCCCACCTCAGCTCCTCTGATTTTTCATCTAATGATGCCCGAGTCCTCTCAATCTCTTGGTCACGGGTTCTTTGGCAGAACTTGCGCCAGTCCTCATCGCTCATGTCGCCCGGGGATAGCTGAACTTCCTGCGTGGGTCGCTCCCGGCTGCGCATCTTCTTGTACACCGCATAATGGTCGTGCAGCAGGACGCGGGTATAGATTTCGAACCTGCGGAACGAGTCGTTGAGTATCCTGTTACGAACGAGTAGCAGTTCAGTGTTAGTCGGCATACCTAAGACAGATGTGTCGTCTTGGATCGGTTTATCTCCAAGTTCTCGCCCACTGTAAGCGAGGTTGATCTTCCACCCTTTTTCGCGGAGCTCGAACACTAAAGGAGCGAAATGTCTCAGCTCACGCAGGCGCCCTGCTATCTCTATTATGAGCTCTCTTTTCTCGGGCTGGTCTAGCGTGCTAAGGTTTCCGAGGAGGTATCGTATGTGGCTGTGGGATTTCCAGACCGTCTCGAACCGTCTCTTGCAGATGCTCTCGTAGTCACGATTTTTCACCCCGAATGTTGTACATTTATCATGTCGTATCGTGGTATACGCGTTGCTCAGGTCGAGCTCTTCCTGTATCCATAGGCGCCGAACGAAGGGTCTTGCCACGACCCCAAGTCCAAAAATGTCGTCGTGGAGGAACCTCCAGATTTCCGAGCGGGAATTCTTTTCGAATTGGAACAAGACAGCCTTGAAGAACTCTTGCAAGGCCTCTGTCGCAATTTCTCCCCCGACGTACGCGGGAAAAAGGTATCGGGGTCGACCCAGCATTTCCGCTAGCTCTAATGGCTTGGGATCAACCACGGCTTTAATTCGAACACTTTCTGGGAACGCTTCTTTGTACACGAGGTCTCGGAGCTCACGGGGCAAGGTTGTGCGGAACTGACGTGCGAAGCCACGGTATGCAGCTCTGTCCGAAGCGTATGCTTCCCTGAGCAAATTTCTGCGACGTGTTAAGAATCAAGACTCGGTAGGGGAGCAGCGGAGAAGGTTGCGGAATTCCATACAAGTTCTCTTCATGAGCAAGCTGCGGCTCTCGTCTATTTTCTAAAGCTACCTTCTTCCTTGGGGGTTGCCACCCCTCTTTGTCCTCGAAATCATGTGGCCGCTTCCGTTGGAGAAAAGAGCTCGCCCTGCTTAAAAATAGGGGGAACGAAGAATAAGTAACATTATATGCTTCCAACAGCTTCATCTTAGTCGTGGTGTTGGTTGAGGATGCGGTTTAAGACTGCGAAGAAGAAGCGACTTTGGTGGATGGCAAAGGAAGTGATAGTATGACTGAGCTCTGAAAAGCGATGAGGCTACCAAACGAGTCTGCTTATATGCGAAAAAGACACGTCGTCAGTGACGTGGCTAGAAGAGATGACCCGTGGTTGAGGCATCCCGTTCTGGCGTTGCGACCAGATTTCATCATCCCCGATCTCCGACTTCGTTTTCCACGGCTACAGGGCTATTTAGTATCCTTCGTCTAATTTACGGCGTCAAGGTCTTTACATCATGTTTATTGAATATTAACTATGCCAGGAGTGTCTTCAAGGTACAGGATGATGCGTAATCAAACAACCAGAGAGTTTTGATTTCGAGTGAAGAGTCAAAACCAAGAGTCAAAGGCCTGCCTGATGCTGTCGGTCTAGAACGCAGTCTCAAGACGTTTACATCACGTGAACCCCCCTGCGGACCATGCCAGGGGCGCTTGCGTGAGATTCCGGGGTGTGCAATGCAAAAACGAAAGTGCTGTGATTCTGACGGGGAGTCAAAACTAAGGGGTGAAAGGCTAGCTATCGTCGTCATTCTAATCTACGCTCTCAAAATCTTTACACCATGTGGATCTCATGATTAACTATGCTGGGGGTGTCTTCAAACTATATCAGAGTGCGCAACCCAATCACGAGGGAGCTCTCATTTCGAGCATCAGTCATATCGCATTAATTTATGGGTAATGATCATATTGCATTAGAGGACGGCTAGATGTCAACCCTATCGCTCAGTCCTTCTGACACCTATGAAAGCCCTTCAAGCCTACTTCGACTCGGCAACCTCCCCGCCAAGGATCTACCAGATACCGCCTGAAAGCCGACGCTCACGTCCAGTGAAGACGTCTATGACCCGTTGTACGAGCTCTCCCGGGTCTTGATCGTTGTGGAGGTCGAAATTGCGGCTGATCTCGATCGTCAGTGCCGCGAGGTTGGCCGCCTCGACGCTCTCCAGACTGTTGATGTAGTCTTGGGTGATATCGGCGCGAATGAGGTGGACGATTCCGCCTCGGAAGACGAGAGCTGTGATCTGGGCCTGAATTAGCTTGTGCCTCCAACGCGTTGGATTTGGGAATATTATGTACCAGGTAAGATGCCTTCGCCTTGCCCATTGCGCGGAGCTGAGAGTGGTGTGCGCACGCCGCGGAGACGAGTAACTGGGCCTCGGAGGGAGGAGCAATGCCGGAGGCGTGCTCGTTGTTGGAGGAGGTTAGGCACTATGCATCGAATTAGCTCAATGTTCTAGAATGTCGCGAATATTGAGGAGCCGTACCTGAACGGGCAGCAGTTTGCCGCTGAGTTCTCTCTCCATCACGATGTGTGTGCCGCGGGTGAAGACCGTCGCGTTCTGGTTCCATCTCTTGGAAATTTCTGCACCCACACTAACGTGTCTGTCAGTCAAAGTCCTGACTACTTTGTATATAACAGCTGACTTACTGGACCTCGAGGTCGCCATCCAAGTTGTTGACGATGATTTGGGCAGCTCTCAGGAGCAGCTCTTTAGCGAATTCGAGCACCTGGGGGGTAGGGGCTGGTGGGATCACGACTCCACCGGAATCATCGTTGTCGGTCACGGATGCGAGGTCGGAGGGTTTCTGGGACTGGTTGCGCATGTTGTTAGCTGGCTTCACTTCTGCTTCCTTCTGGCGACGACGCGCGGGACCGGCCATGGTGAGATAGGCGAGGCGATGTGGTGATGGCGAAAGACGGTGTCGGAGGTGGTTCGCAATTGATTGCCGTGTTGAAATAGAAGACGGGCGGCGCAGACGCGGAAAAAACCGGCCCGTAGAGCAAGAAAAGAAGCGATGTCATCGCGATTCACCTTCACCCGTTGGCTATGTGATCAGCATAGCCATGTCGGCTTCTTTCTCCCACACTTACCAAAAAGCAAACTCAGCATTGGTGATCTCCTTGTTTGGCTCTAGAAGCTTCCCCCACGGCGAATCTACTGGACCCACCGATGAGTATCGCTCCATCGGTCCGCCTCTACTCTCGTACTTCGCGGCCTCGTAGGACGCGTCTATCGCAGCCTTCATCCACAGAGCGGAAGCATCGTACGAGTGAGGATGGCATGAGAGTAGATGACCTGATCTCCGGTCATCCTCTCGCAAGAGGTGAGATGGATGGTCGCTATTGGACGAGAGTTCGAGGCTGATGGGGTCTCGACACACTCATGTCACTCGGACGCTGGGCATGGCGGCATCGTGTGTGATGGACTCTGATGCAGAGGTAGATCTCATTCGTTGATCACGTGCTCTTATCGGGAATAATGGAGAAAAAGATACTGAGAGTGTAGAAACACGTTGAAGGATTGGGAGATTGTACAGGGCGAGATGCGCGATCAGGTAAATGCGAATCGATGAGCTACAAAGAACAGAACACGCTCACCAGACGGCTCTGTATATACCTACGTCCTCCTGCTGCCTTTCCCGGCGATGGAAAGCTATGTATCAGCTTCCTCGCGCATCAACTATAGAAACGCTCGTAAAAGAGCCCGTTTTTCGGGAGCAGGCCGTAGATTGTCAATGCTGCTACGTTGGTGCTTGTCAATGCCATTTATTGGGATTGAGCTCGATCTCGAGCCGATTCGTGGTTTTGCTGAGCATGCCCGCGGACCCACGAAGCATGATGTAGGCGTAAGAATGGTGTTGATGAGATGAGATGAAAGGAACGACGTCGATGTCGCGCTCGGGCTACTCCGATATCGGAATCAGCACGAGACGCCATACCATCTTCGAATGTTTTCCCTTCATCTTTACCTACACGAGCTTCGAGCAACATGAGTTGAGCAGACTTCCAAACTATCTCTTCATTGTCCCCAGATTTTCCTTTAGTGGCAATTCGGATGACAGCGAGCTAGTGGTACAGATCCTTGGGGATTAGGCCCGCCAAGGCTGTTCCTATTGTTTCGACTTCGCCTTCAACCACCACCGTCCACCGTCCTCTCCTACAGTTTCACGAACAAAGCGGACGAAATCCCTTCGTAATTTCCCATAAGCTCTTGATGAGGGCCTGGTACGCGCAAGCTCTTGGCTATACCATTCCGCTCCCCCCCAGTTGTCTTTAATGTCAGCGAAGCTTCGGGAGGACAACTTCATCTCAGTTCACTCGTTCTAGACATAATTGCAAGACCGCTTTGTTGAACGCACATGCTAGAACGGCATTGTTTGTCTTAGTAGTCGCGTTGGATTTGCTAGGACCGATCTATCGGAATCGATCTGCTGGAAGTTAACTTTCATTAGCCACAGCGACGCTGCCAATATGCGATGGGAATGTGAGCCTGTCGCGCCAATGTTTATTGTCCGCGAAATACGCTAGGAACACTCGCTTGTATGGACCAAACCCGGCGGCTCTCCAGTTGCAGAACTTGAAGTCCACCTCGAATCTTAACACGCAACGACCAAGCCGAGGCTTGAGCACCGAGCAGACGTTTAGTATTGTTGCCACGTGCTGTGGTTATCTCCTTGCTTCGCTCGACGAGGTGCTAACGTGCGGCGTCGTGGTGGCCACACGCCCTCTGCTAGTTTCATTGTTGATATCTTTGTCCACCAACGACAGGGGATGCTGGTCAATGTTTGCCGATATATCCCTTTCCAAGAAACTGTGTCGTCGAAGGCGCAATTATCGCATTCCATGACTTCTAGTCTAATGCTGACGTACTATGATTAACCCCTAGAAGCCAGTCTGATTTCGCTGCGAAAAAAGGTAAGGTCCTCATCGAACAACGAAGCATCTCCATCATTGCTATGTTTATCTCCTAGTATGATCATAGTATTGCGCCTTCCTAACTTCGTCTCATGATGCAGAGACTTGGAGTTTTGAACCCCGTGTCGCACCCCGTAAGATTCGGGTATGATTGCGATACTTCCGTTGTTTGTGTTGAAGGCACGAAGCAACTGAAAGACATTCGTATTACAACAGGTGGCTTGGGTGAGTGCCCAGTGCGATTGACCTCGCTGGCGTCATGACCTCTTACACGTCTTTCAACCATCCCCACTCGTGCAAAAACATCCACCTTCATCAACACTATTACCTTCACGACTCATGCAGGATGCGCTTAGCTACCAAGCACTAAGATTATAGGCAGAGCGTGTCGAATCAGCTACGGAACTTTTCAGCAAAGCTTTCGAATCAGATCCAACTATCGCATACTGTCTCGCAAACCTCACACAGAAGCAGCGTGATGATTGCCGGCCACGAGTCATTCGTGCCATCATCACGGCTGCCACATTGAATGCCGGCACAATCGATGAGGTCAATGATTGGAAGTGCTGCGGTGCCGTCTTGACCCCCGGCCATATGATGGACGACTTTATGAGCCTAATCCGGTCTGGTATGCCTTTCGCAATGTGGTCCATGGGTTTTTGGGGCTGCTATGTGAGTAACCTCCCTCCAAGGATCTCGGCGCAAGCGTCGCTAAAGCTTTTTTTTCCAGCGTGCTATAACGGAGATGGGACCGATGTCAATGGCCTGCAAAGAAAAGGTCTTACCTGGCCAAGGAAAATGCTACTATATACTATACGTTGCCACTGCTCCATCCGGCCGACGCCAAGGGCTTTGCTCCGCACTTGTCAAACACTACCAACAGCTAGCAGTGCGAGATGAGGTCCCGATATACCTAGAGGCTACCTCCAGATACTCCTGTTCTCTGTACCAAAAGCTTGGATTTTCGGTCGTTGACGAATTTACCGTTGGAAGAGGAAAACACGCGACGGATGGGAGGCTTGAGGACGGTGGACCCGGAGTCAAAATATGGGGCATGATCTGGAGGCCGGAAGTCTGTACGAAAACATGAATTTCTTGAAAACGGTACATAATGATACTCTGAGCCCAGTTCGAACTTCTCGCAGATGCTACCGCGCCCAATGCCCAATCCTCCTCGCAGGACTTTTTATCACCTGCATCCCTCCATCCGACCTAGTCACATCAATAGATGGACGCTTTTGAGCCCGTACTGTTGGATTGAACTTCCCGGGCTGAGACTGCAGCTGAGCCCGTCTTCCGTTACTGGGTGCTCTCGTCAAAGCGGTTGTTGATTGCGTTTCTTGGCGTGGTGATGGAGGCAGTGGACGCGATGGCGGTGCGGCTGCTTGATGAGCCGTGCTGGGTGAACCCATTCCATCTTTCACAAACTCTGGCCTGCAAGATACCTCGCTCTTCATAATAGTGGTGAAGTATTCATACCCTTCGCCGGAAGAGCTTCCAGACTTTACTAAAGCCGGCGACATCATCAACGTAACTTCGTGGGAGGTACGGTTCCGATCGATCTCTTCGTATACATCCATTGAATCGGGATCCAGCTCGATCGAATACCCTGCTTTGGCGTGCGGTATGCTAGGATGCCAGAACGCCTTTTGTTTCCACATATCGGCGTCAAGATGGATGGCTTTTCGGAGAATTGCCTTCAATTCGTCTCCAAAAATTTGATCCTGCGACTCGCCATTTGTGACCCACGGGGACACGATTTCTCGGATCTTCGTGACTATCGAAGGGATAAACATGTCAAAGCACTTTTCCTTGTTGGCTCCTTGCTTGCGCTCTACAAGGACTGTGGTATTGGCTCGCCATGAGAAGTAGTCCTTGACATAACCCTCCAGAACGGGGTTGAGTTTTGGGATGTTCTTCATATTCCGGATACCTTCTCCGATTAGCCTATGTTTTCTACAATGGCATTCTCTCTTACCTGGTCTTAGCTGAGAGGTCAGTTCTTGCAAAGATTTCTGATCATCGGCTGCCCAGCACACGCCCTGACTTGCCTGGCCCTTGACAGGAGCCTGGCTAGTTGGTGCAAATATATCCACACGCAAGATTGTCCATATGTAAGCTTGGATCAGCATTGGCCGGTGTTCCTCAGACTTCATGTAGGATTTCCAATACTTTGACAATCCAGTCAGCTCGGCGCTCACAAATTGATTGCTTTTCCATTTGGCGAATGAACTCAGCTTTCCGCTGAAGTGCTGATTTGCCCAACCTCTGATCCGATACCGTAGCTCAGACCATACGGAGACGAAGTGCTGGTCTTCGATTGTATGAGTAATGGTCGCTTTGGTTTGAGCTAGATGTGCGGATGTCTCCCTCCACTCCTGGCGGAGGCTTTCATTCTGAGCTTTGAGTGATTCAATCTCCTCGTCTTTTTCTTTCTTTTCATCCTCACACAACGCCAGGGCTGTTGCCAACTCCTGTTGGCTAGGTGGATATCTAGGCTTAGGTACGCCCACCTGTCGTCTATGAATACCTGAGCTGGGAGTAGATTCGATATGCTTTCCGGAAACCCCATTGTGAGGCATGTCGCCGGCGGATGGTGTAGCCGTAGCTTGTTCGTACGGTTTGGGCTTATATACTGGGTCTGACTCCTGGTCGTAACTCGACCTTCGAAGCGGAGTCGCAGACTTGATTGGTGATGACCGCCCCCGAGCTATGACACCGTCGCTATCCTTTCTGACAGGCGCAGCGTATGGCGATGTTGATACGAGAGTGCTGGCTGATGAGAATTTGGTGTCTTTACGAGGCAGTTCGGGCCGCTTCTTTGGTGCATCTATCGACGAAAGATCAGTCTTTTTTTAGGTGACCAGAACGCAGCAAGCATATTTTTGATTCTTACCATACTCATTGTGTATTGCAATACTCGATTGCGCGTTGGCTTCAGCGCTGGTGACGACCTGGGTGGCCATTCTTACACCTCGATCTTGGGGGGTCCAGAAAACACGCGGAAGGAAGTGGGTGGATCAACGACATCCCCTCAATCATATTCCATGCGGCTCTGCATTTATTATTGGCTCTCTGAATACAGCTGGTGGCTGTGATCTAGAAGCTGATGCATATCAGCGGGACGCGATGATCATGCAAGGCTAAGAAAAAGGAATGCCTGCGGCCCCCACAAAGCTTCACCGGAAAGATTGACCCATGGTACTTATACGCCCCGTTTCCCAGCAGCCTTTTACATATCAACTAAAATACGCCAACCAGCGGCAGGATTGCGAATACCAGGTTGACCGTCAAGCCCAAAAAAGAAGCAAACATGGCGATCTTGTCTGCACCGAACCGCTTTTTGACAGCTGACTCGTCCTCCACACCCACCTTCTGCCTGGTCTCCCAACCAACACGTCTCTTCAGCTTCTCCCGTCTGCGCTTCTGCACCACCACATCGGCTTCAGCACGGTCCCGCTCTCTCCGCAGCCCCGAGACCCCAGAATCGTTTCCCGCGACGGCACGGCTCGCAAGTTCTCTTTCTAATTCGTCAGCCTCGCGGGTCGCCTGGGTCAGCTTTGCCTCCACTGACGAAGCCACCAGCTTGCCTGCAGACGTCTCTTCTAGGGTTTGATTACCTTCAACAAGTTCTACTTGGATGTCTAGGGTGATGGGCTGCTTGCCAAGTAGCCGAAGTACGATACTTTCGGCCATCTCGTGGCTGCCGTCGAACATCCCAATGTAGGACCCTTTCTCTTCCATCATGTTCCAGTAGTCGCGCCGGAGCTCCTGGTCTCGTTCGTAACCCACCGCCTCGTCCTTTAGCTGGTCCCACATCGTGGTGAGTAGCACCACGTTCTGGAAAGCTTGCTCGCCGCAAAGCCTTTGAAACATCTGGAAGTAGCGATATGCGTTTCCTTGCATCTTGTTGTCGGTGATGCGGTGAAGGTAGATGATGCCCTTGAGCTCGATGCCAAGAATGTATTGCAATGCTAGGAACCGAGAGATTTCATCAAGGATTTCACTATCTGGCCTGGCTGAGTCGTCGAATCCCGGAGTATCTACGAGAGCTACCTCCGGACCATGAGCATCTCCGATCGTTGCTTTGACAATTTCTGGACGCTGCGTCTCTGGATATTCATCAGCATGCTTGTTTACTACTGAAGTAGTGAGGATGTGTCAATACTTACGAGACTTCAATCCCGGACCCTCCTGTACCATCCCCTCAGCCAACTTATTGATAAAGAAGCTCTTGCCCACGCCGGTCACTCCCATCACCAGTATCATCGACTGCGGCTCCGGTGGCTCGTCCGCTTGGTATGCGTCGTACTTTTCGTGCGCTTGAAACCCCTCATATCTATCGTACGGATCATATCTCGCATATGAAGTGTACATTTTCAAGGAGTGGAGCTTTCGAGTCTTCTGGGGGTATGATATTTGAGTCGAAAACGATCCAAAAAGAATTCGTAATTCGAGAGGGAAGCTATGCGGCAGTCTTAGCATTCATATGGAACGTAGGGATATAGCACTTCACCCATGCCCAAGAAGGCTCTTGGATACCCGAGAGCTCAGCCTTGTTTGGTGCTCCGAGAGGTGGTGGTAAGCTGAACGCACACGCCGAGATAGGCCGCACACACCGGGCGCTTCAACCTCACGCAATTGTATGCAGGAGACTTCAGGTGTGACTCCCATGCATGTATCCCAGCATCTAAGATTAGACGCGTAACTCCACTCGTGCATGTAGTGGCTTCAGTCTGCACACCACCTCGTGAAAGGCCTCCGTCCAATCTCTGCTTCGGAATCACAGCCTTGCGCGCCACCGAGCGGTTGTACGAGCGGGAAAAGACCGCATTCCATCCATGATTCAGCCTTTCTATTGAGTTCGGAAGCTGGCTGATTTCACAGTCGATCCTGTCCATTCATATGCTCTCTTCCTGGTTCTGTCCCGTCTCGGCGCTGCATGCAGGCGCTGATGTCTTTGGCCTGGCCGTCGAGGCTGGAGATAGCTTGCGAAAAGAAGCGAGCAAACTCAGCCCAGGTATCGAATGGGATAGTCATCCGGTGAGGTGGTGGGGGGCGGAACGTGAATAACTGGGGGCAAGGCTGAGCCCATGGCATGAAGGGGCTCCCCTCCCGGGCCATCCCCGTCCAGTCCAGGAAGCTCTCTTCCCTCCTATCAGGCTATTCAAACGCTCATTTACACTACTATCACTTGCCTCGAAAGCCGCCACACCCTTCCCTGCTTCAAAATGGGAGACTGCTTGTGCATAGGGATCGATTTCGGCACCACGTTCGTCACCTATTACTTTGTTACATGGCAAAATCCTAACGATAGCTAGGTTCTCAGGCGTAGCATGGGCATTCTCCCGGCGTCCAGAAGACATCAGAATTGTCACCCGCTGGCGCGCCGACCTCGCCCATAACGTCGACGATGCCAAAGCGCCCACCGAGCTGGTCTACGGGGCTGGTAAATTGCTCCTGAGTTGGGGATACGATATCAACTCGAATCAGACTCCTATCCGCTGGTTCAAGCTACTTCTCGCAGACCAGAGAGACTTGGATGCTGAAGTACAGAATTCCCCTCAGCTCAAGCAGGCCAGAGAGATGCTCAGCGTGCGGAACATCAGCGCCGTTGATGCAGCGGCTGACTATCTGCGAGAGCTGTGGAAGCATACGATTGCGGAAATGGAACGCGAGTTTGGGAAACAGGCGGTCAAAGGTCTGCCGTTCAAGGTCGCGGTCACCTTTCCAGCCATCTGGAAGCTTGATGCGCGGCGGAGGACCGAAGAGGCCGTACGTAAGGCTGGCATCCTGGATCCCCGGCTGTGCGGTGCCACCACTCTGGTGCTTGTTCCTGAACCTGAGGCGGCTGCGTTGGCGACGTTGGCGGAGTTCAAAGGGAGGCCAGGCGTCCGGGTGAGAGCCCCCGACATCCTGTCTACCAAAGATTACGCATCCCAGGAAATACTGACACAAGATAGCCTGGAGATGTTTTTGTGGTTTGCGATGCAGGTGGTGGGACTGTGGTATGTGTCACAGGACCGCTGATTCTGATCCATTGAAGATCGCTGACGGACAATTAGGATCTCACCAGCTACAAAGTGCAGATGACGGATCCAGCAGTAGACGTGAAGGAAGCTGTGGAGCCAGACGGTAAGGTGGACATTGCAATCTATACAGAAACGAAATAGCTGACAAGCCTTTTCGCCAGGGAAAATGTGCGGTGCTATTTTTGTGGATCAAGAATTCCAGAACTTCCTCCGGGGCACACTCTCTCCAAGGCGGTACGATAAGATGACACCGACTCAGCTCAAGAAAGTCATGAATGACGAATGGGAGCACGGCGTCAAACGTGGTTTTGATGATTCAGAAAGGGAGTGGGAGGTGCGGCTTCCGGCAGATGCAGTCAAGGGTGGACTCTTTGCGGGAAGGCGTGAGAGGGAGAGTCGAGCTGGATTGAAATTAGGCAGGTTTGTAATCTCCTAATCTCATAAGTAACTATCTGCAGTACTGACATGAGTAAAATTTGAAGGGGCCACGTCCGAGGGATCTTTCAGCCAGTAATGAATCAAATTCGCGGTCTCGTGAAGAAACAAGTTGATGAAATCCGGAACAAGGAGGGCAAGAAGCCCAAGGTAAACACTCTCCTCATAGAATGATGTTTTGAAGGTTAACTTGTTCCAGTGCATCATGCTTGTTGGCGGGTTTGGACGATGCTCATATTTGTACAAAGTGTTTCGTACTGAGTATAGTAACCAAGACATCGAGATCTTGCAGTCCAGTGGTAACAACCCGTGAGAATCGATCCTTGTGCCCATGTCTTTTCTACATTTCTAAAAGATATTAGATGGACGGCGATTTGTCGGGGCGCCGTCATAAAGGCGATGAGTTCAAGCGGTCAATCTGGCCCCGTCACCATCACCTCCCGAATTTCAAAATGCAACTATGGGCTAGCTTGCTATGAGCCATATAGGGACGTACGTAAACCGTTCGCCGCTCTTCATTTACTTTCATCGAGTACTGACACCTGGTAAGGGCTACCATAACTCGGTTGACAAAATCTTTCTTCACACCGAAGGTGGGTATTTTGCCGACAATCAAATGCGGTGGTATTTGCGGAGAGTAAGTCAATGCTGTTTCCTTAGCCCTTTCCGTTCTTCCCACTGCTAAGCTAATATTTGGTTCTAGGGCATGGACATCGAAACTCAGCAACCCCTTCGCTTCAGCTTCTATAATCTCTATCGATATGCATCAGAGATGCCGCAGAATCAGCTTCCTGTTTCTATTCTATACTCAGAGACCCGGAGCGCTACGAATCGTAAGGAGACCGAGGTGTCATGCCTCTGTGAGATCAGAATACGGCTAGAGACGCCGTTTGATACGCTGCCACTTTTCTTCAACAAGCAAGGAATTGAGTATAGAAAGATGATTTATGAGGTCGAGATGACAAGTCAGGACGGGCTGCTGAAATTTAGTGCGTATATCAATGGCCGGCGGCAGGGCGAGCAGAATGTTGAAGTTAAGTATGAGTAGAAGGGTGGCCATGGACTGTTTAACTAGGCGGCCAAATGCGATGACGAAAATAAGATGCTCTTTGCTGTTTCCCGTGCCACGCGACGGTAGCGCGAACTACGTATTGACGCGTTTCCTTCCTTACCTTTCTCATCAGAGTCATCTCGCAGAACTGCTGCAACATAAGCTAGCAACGCTCTAGACCGAAACCAACGACAAAGCTCCAAACACTACGGCGTTTTTGTCCTGTCAAAGCATATCGGAGATGATCAAATGTTGTGCGTGGATCGAAGCAGCTAAAAGTCAGTCTAGACCTGAACCGCAGAAGCATGCCACCTGTCCGGAAAGTTGGGGCATCCATGACGGTCAGGTCGGAGCGTGCCATACTCTTTGCTAGGTAAGCAGTGTTTCCACCACGTGCTCTGACCCGTGGCATTAGTCCGCCTACTGGTCCGAATTGCAAATCATGAGGAACGAGTACATTATTAATGTGAGGATTGGGGCGTGTGATCACTAGCTGGCCTGCTGGTGCTATCGCTTACCGTCTCGGGCTCACTATATAAGATGCTGAACGTGCTACTTCTCAACGCTTTCGTATCTCTCCTATGACAACAGTTTCAAGCTGTAGCATCAGTGGAGATTTTCAGTCACTCATATCTAGAATCTGGTCCACAAACCATGGGCTCGTGGTTCTCCACCCCCTGGGATCCGGAAACTGGCGTGCCCGATCTCAGTGGAAAGGTCGCCGTTGTAACTGGAGCAAAGTGCGTCATCCTCTCGCTTTCTCAACAGCAGGCTGACAGAAACGCAGTGCTGGAATAGGCTACGAGATCACCGCAGGGCTCGCTCGCAAGGGAGCAAAAGTGTACCTCGGAGCCAGAAACAAGGTCAAAGCAGAAGCCGCCATCGAGAGACTGCATACAGAGAACCCCACGATTTCCCAGGGGAGTCTGATTTATTTACCTTTGGACCTAGCGGAGCTCAATGAGGTCGTGACGGCGACGGACACGGTCATTGCGAACGAGCAGAGGTTGGATATACTAGGTAAATCATTTCGACACGGAAGAGAGGCGGCCACTGACCATGACCAGTCAACAACGCCGGCTTGGCCACTTACAGCTACCAGACGACGTCGGCTGGATTCGAGATGACAATGGGAGTAAAGTATGTCACCCCGCCGCGAGATGCCGAATCCAGCTGACCAAACCAGCCATCTAGCCCACTTCCTCCTCACACTTCGCCTCCTACCGCTCCTGAAGCGCACCGCCGCAGACCCAAACTCGGACGTTAGAATCGTCAACGTCTCCTCCGCAGCCCACACGATGCTAATCCCGCCCAACCTCGCCTTCGACACCGCTGCCGACTTCAAATATCACGGCCCAACGTCGTACCCCAGCTGGGCCAGTAGACGCGACCTCTTCGCCCGCTACGCCCTCAGCAAGCTCGCCAACATCCTGTTCGCCAGCGAGCTCCAGCGCCGCATGGACACCGAGAAGGTCCCGCTCATCGCAACGTCGTACAACCCCAGCGGAGTCAACACGGAAGGCGGCATGTCTGTCTGGCCGGCGTGGATGCGGCCGATCATGAGCAGGATCTTTGCGCCGCCGGCCAAGGGAGCACTGACGGGGCTGTTTGTTGCTGCCGCGCCGGAGGTTAAGCGCGAGGCGGCGAGGTATAAGGGGAAGTATTTCAATGAGAAAGCGAGACTTGAGAAGCCGTCCAAGCTTGCGCAGGATCCGCAGCTGGCGAGGAATTTGTGGGAGCTTAGTGAGGAGGCTTTGGAGTCGTTTGTTAAGCTGGGTAAATGAGGGTTGATATTGGTTGCTTCTACCAAGTTTACGCTTTCTATACGCATCCAAGGTTAATGTGGTGAGCTTGATAGCGCTTAACTAGGGGTAGTTAGGTCTTTTGTATTGTTATCGTAAATCCCTCATCAAACTTAATTCCAACGCAAAATTATGTGAACCACGCTTGAACATATGATGTGCCGGCCATGTTAGTGATAGCCATGCTAAAGAAGTGGGAATTGGTCTGGACGTTGAAAAAGAGATACACGCGATACTCTGAAAGGGAAGGGCGACACGAGACGCCTGGGCCTACGCCCACGACAGGGCAAGGCGACACGATCGCATCCCAAACCTCACCACATGGGCCCCCTCATCCGCTTTTCAACATACATCATGCATGGCGACCCAGTATCCAGATTTCAAAGCAAGATTATACCTAGTGGACTGCAATGGCTTCATGCAATTCGGTTCCACTGCTGCCCGAGTCCATTTTGGTTGCTCCGAATGCTTCGGACTGATGCAATGGACATGTGGCATTAATAGTTTGCATTACATTTTGGATGGCACAATTTCTGAGACTAGTTGTAGCATAATCAGGACCGGTACGCAGCTCCTGAAGTCCTAAGAAGGGAAGATGTTCATAGTTTGAAGGCTAGAAGTTGACGCTCATAAAGTTGCACAGCGGATTCAGATGCAAATATTGGATATCATTTTTTCATATCTGTAGTTCGGTTCTACCATCTTCTCGGCAGTGTCTTTGGGCCTGTTTGAGAAAGTGGGAGGTCGTGAAACCAAGCTCAGGTATGGTTATTAGTAATACGCGTATTTTGTCAGCAACCAAGAAGTCCCCATCAACCGCTACATTTCTTCAACTTACCAGGTGCCTTCACTTCTCGCTAACTATAGTCCCAATTTGGCAATGGGTGAAGTGATAAGAAGTAATGCCGGATGCTGGACGTGCAGAGTGCGGCGGAAGAAGTGCGACGAGATCATGCCGGTGTGTTTGAACTGCGCGTCGCTGCAGCTACCATGCCACGGATACGGACCAAAGCCGATCTGGATGGACCGGGGCGCGCGGGAGAGACGAGTTGCTCAAGAATTACGAAACTTGGTGAAGACGAAACGTAATCTCAGCCTCCGCCGCCGGGGCCAGTCGAGTGATGCCTCGGAGCCATCGACCGCGGGGGCTTCACAAAAGACTACGACGTCAACGGAAGCCACGGCTCCAACGGGTTCGGCCCGCGAGCACAAGGAAGTGGCGGAGCAGCTACTAAACAATGGTAGGCCGTCTATTCTCACAGAGCCAATCGAACATGACCAAGCGGCGTTGCTTATGCACTTCTTCGATCACGTTTTGCCTCTTCAGTTCCCTTTCTACAACCCTTCCATTCAAGAAGGCGGCCGGGGTTGGTTATTGGCCATCATCACCCAGACGAAGCCGCTCTACCAGGTTGCGCTGAACTTGGCTTCTTATCACCAGCAGTCGGTCTTGGCAAAGGATAGTGCATTCTCTTGTGAAATTAGTCTGGCAAAGTTGGAAGAGCGGCATATCGAATGTATTAGATTGCTGCGTCTACATCTCGACAAGTTTTCATGCGTTGAAGAAGTCACCACGTATGAGGAACACACCCAAGTCATGGTCTGCATTACGTTCCTCATTGGATTAGAAGTAAGTATGCATAGCACTATCCTTAAACCCTTACTGAAGACGATACAGCTATTCAGAGGCGACACGCACGACTGGCAATTGCATCTCCAAGCGGCGTCCGCCTTTTCCAGCACATGCAGAGAAGGTCGGCGCGACAGCATATCTTCATCACCCACACAGAGCCTAGCAACGGTATTCTTCTTCAGCGTTATCACTTGGTATGACATCCTGTCGTGCGCATCTACCGGGTTCGAGCCATTCCTGCCGTTCATGAATGAGATCCGCTTCGAAAAGCTGCAGGGATGTGAGACCTGGGTCATGGCTATCATCGCCGAAATTGCACAGCTCAATAGCCGCAAACAAATTCAGAAGCGAACCGACCGGTTGAGTATCGTGGAGGTTGAAATTGTGAAAGACATCAGAAGGAGGCTCGAGGTAGGGCTGAGAAGGACGGCCGCAGCTCTTGATGAGGACTCTATGTCCCGAACTCTCCAAGTCACCCGCATATATGCCCACGCCGCCAGTGTGTACTTACACGTCATGGTATCCGGCCCGCATCCCGCAATTCCAGAGATTCGCCAAGGGGTGTCGAGGACGATGGTGTCAATTGTTGCACTTACGTATCCCCATCTTATACGGAACTTGATGTGGCCGGTTTGCATTGCAGGATGCATGGCTGAAGACGAGCATGCATCGTACTGGAGAGATCTCATTTCCAGCGTGAGCAAAGAAAAGTGGTCCTTTGGATATCCGTCCAAAGTTCTGGAGATTATGGAAGAATGCTGGCGCTTGCGGAAGACTGGCGCGGTGGTGGACTGGTTGGCAGCTATGGAAAATCTGAATATGAGGGTTCTTCTTGTTTGATGGCACTCATATCCACCGTAGAGGTACGTTCCTCGAAACCCAGAACACTGCCATATCATAATCTGGGATGGGCATAGAAACTCGATAACCCTATCGCGGTAGCTTCTATCATCTTTATAGGTATGTGTCACGGAACATGAAGCTATTGCCGTGTACGTGATGTATTGGATGATGATGATGATGATAGAGAAGAGAGGGAGGTCTGGAGGAAGGTGAGGCTATAGGTATACAAGAGGTGACACGTGCCTGCAGTGGCCCTCACCGCTACTCCCTGACAGTATGCATCGGGTATTCCGCAGAATTAGCTCCCCCTTTCTATCTTGTACCCGGAGACTCAGAGTGCTACAAACCGTAATGTGGCCGAGGTGGCACGCCTCTACAAGATCAGAATACGGCTAGAGACGCCGTTCGATACGCCGCCACTTTTCTTCAGCAAGCAGGGAATTGAGTATGGGAAGATGAGTCATGAGGTCGAAATAACAAGATAAGGCGTGTTGCTTAAATCCGAAGTCAAGTACGAGTAGAAGGGTGCCGTGTGACTAGGCCGGAGGCTGTGATAATGCGAGTATCCGAAAGCCGCGGTGCTCATTAGATGGCGAAAATGTGATACCGTATGGAATTTCTTGTACGATGTGACACAGACGCAACCTACATATCGACGCGATTCCCCGCTCTTCTCTCTGCTCTTCTTTTCACCAAACTCATCACACCAAATTGCTGCAACATAAGCCAACAACGCTCGCCAGAGGAGCAGCCTGCAGTGCTTCCAGTCCAAGACGAAGCGTCTAGCAATGATTGCTTGCTTCCCTTCCTTGATCCATCCATATCTAACGAGTCTAGCTTTCCAGATTCCGATGGCAATGTCAGAGTGCAACCAAACGTAGCCGTCGTCAACCATGCAGCCAACTTGTATGGAGACACCGTTCCTTTCATCTGCTTTGGCATCTTTCATGCTAACACGTGGCTTAGGAATTTGTTGAAGCAAGCCTGTGCTGCCGATCGAAAAGCCTCCCTTGAGCTCGCACGAAACATCCGAGATCTCCTCCCCCGCGAGCTCCGCGACGAGATCTACAAGTTACTCATGCCCGACCGAGTGAACCTCTGCGTGCCGCTTGATGTACTCGCACGCAACGACCACACCACACAAGAGCCTGGCAAGAAGAATGGGCCAACGGTGCTTGTACCCTTCCTACGTTGGTGAAGAGGTCGCTAGAGAGGCCCTGGGAACTTTCTACGAGGTAGCCGAGCCTGAGTTCACCCCCGAACACCAAATGTGGGGTGCTCTACATAACGATGTCTTTGGACTTGGTGTCGTACCTGCAGACTATGTCAGACGACTTCGGCTGTTTCCTAGCTCTGGCTTTAGAGAAGTTGGTTCAAGTCGTGCCGAGAGCTTTCAATGGACCCTTCTCAAGGAAAATTCTCACTGAATCCTTATCGAGATGAGCTTGCGAGGCTTTTCATGCTCCTGCATTATAGTCAGGATGTTCCAGGCCGCCGAAACTTGCTGTTTTCGCTGGTACTGCAAACTCATCAAACCCATCATGAAATCATGTATGGTCTAAAGAATTTCTCGCCTGAGCTTTTTGAGCTACGGGAGCGAGGATTCAAGATCAAAGTTCTCTGGCAGCCAGAGTTGAACTCGGAGATAGACATTACCTCTTGTTTCGATGAGCCATCGGATGAAGATCGATCTTATCTTCCAAGGAGTAGGACCGGTGAACTCATAATACCCAGACCCGATGTAGGTGCAGTCTGGTATCGTCATAAGATTCACGATGATCAAGAGCCTGTTCTTTTGCCTCGTACGGTAGCGTACATCAGTGCGTACATCAACGCCAAACATCCGTATAATGGGCCAATTACTAAGCCCTATATCCTATAGATTTGAGTTAATTTATAGTCGTAATTAAGGCCACCTTATACGCTGCGTGTTCTGTTAATGGTATAAGCCTAAACTCGGGTTGTAACAGCTACAACCTAGGATCAACAACTCATACGGTTCACGGTCACCTACGTACAGACTTGGAGTTGCTGGCATAGTAGCTGCCTACATGCCTAGCCAGTTACAACTTCTACAGAGAGGGGTTGGGGTACGGTGGCCTACCCTGCCTAATGCTGCCTACTGCTGCCTCCAATTAGTGCTTCTGCCTATGCATACAGTCACTTCCTACGTAGTATATAGTTTGGCCTTCGGGCCCCCGAAATAAGACAGAGTTCACATCAATTTTCAACCTGAGTCCTAAAGTTAAAAGTGGTATATTTAAAAAAAAATATGTCTTTTTTAAGGCTAGAGTAGAAAGAAGACTACTAATTAATAAAATATAGCAAGTATTACATCAATGTCAGTTATAATAAGGGGAGGGTGGTAGACTTTTTATGCTAGGGTAAGTATGTTATATCCTGAAACTAACGGGAAGGGTAGAATTTCACATTAGCCACCGTACGTACATCACAAATTTATGTAAGGGCTTGGCACTGCAACGACAGGAATTAACGTACAGTGTTTATTGTGACACTACTGTGACACTAAGCTACTTATACGGCAGGTCAACAAAACATAATTGTGATAAAGTAGAGTACGAGGCCGTGCGCGGTTGTACGGTGATTTGCAGGGTCTACGTACGCTACCGTACGAGGCAATAGAACAGGCTCCAAAATATGTACAAGAAGAAGCTGGATTGTGGTATGGCCGAATGGAGACCTTATGAAGGTGGTGATGAGAGGTGGGAGGAATTCCGCAGGAGAGTGGTCTTGGAAGAGGAGCTGAAGATGAAGCAGATGGCGGAAGAGGAAAGGCAAGCAGAGAAAAAATGGAAACAAAGGCAAGTACAGAAAGAACTCAAGAAAATGACACCGAGATAATTGCGCATGAACCTGGACAAGGGTCGAGGGATAGGAGGACAGCGGATCTTGAGCCCCTTGGTTGTGCTCATTAAGGCCCACAACAACTTTCCGTCATGTACGTCGACATAAACTTCCCGAATTTGATAGATCAAAGTAACTTATTATGGTAGTTTGCGCTTCTGAAATCGACGTCTTTTTCTTTGCGTGGTGACGTGCTTAGAGGGCTGGCTAGAAATGGCAAAATCATGTTATGGGAAGTCTCAAGACTGCAGGGGTCCAGAAGTGGTTTTTCTGGATTGAGTTTGTTCAAGTTAAGCAAAAACGTAGAGGATGAAGAAGGTTGGGTGTTCTAACACGGGACCTAAAATTGTAACCCCATCCGTTGTGCTTCGCAGCGTCAACCTCACCGCCATTAATCTCCGATTCCAAAATACATCGCATCCAAATTTAAGCCACAAACGCTTGTAGTCTCCCTAGTCACTGCTAATACGAGCCCAGGCCGACATATTCTACCATACTCGGCAAGAAGACGCGACTCAAGGTCTTGCCCAGCATCAAGGAAGACGACATAAGGCGCATATCACGGCAAGCCTTCTCTTTTGATACTCTACAAAATGAGGTTGCATTCTACTCGTCGCTCTCACCAGTGTGATTCAAGATAAGATGAAGTCTTTGTCTCAGCTACTGGCGCTTTCAATCTCTTCCCGACAAGTCTTCTCATCGTTTAATGTTTAAGAAGCTGCTCATCATTCATCACATAGTCACTTATCATGAGTCGAGTGTCTTAGCATACCGACTTCACTGGCGAAGCTCACACCCTCTAGTTTCATCTGAACTGCCACGACCCAAGATGAGTCTCCCTTGCTGGGTACTCCACGTTCTGTCCTGCATAACCCGTGTTGGGAGGATATCCTCCGTAATCGAGTCCCGACTTTGGACGAGAGTACCCATATTGCCCTCCCACGTACCCCGGAACCGGGTAAGCTTCATTTTGTGGGACGGTAATGTGCGGAGGACGCCCATCCAAGGGGAGGATGCTAGTGGTGCATTTGGTGGGCCAGAAGTGTCGGAGAAAGATAGTGAAAGCGGGCCTGGAGGCCCAAAAGGGTAGATCTTGGGAGTAATGACACCCGTACTGTTGGCTGTAGAGCTTGGAGCAGGGTAAGACGAACCTTGTCCGTCAAGCAGGCGGCCAGAGGGAGCCGCGAACGAGCGCAGAGGACCGAAGGGGTACATCTTACTAATGCTTCCCGTGCGATCAATCTTTGATGAACTACTTCCGTTGCGAGAGAAGGAGGGATGATACTATGGCGGTCAAAAGAATAGATAGAGCACATCTTAGTGGACTGTTTGTGGGAGGGAGGTTTGTCTAACTCATCTTCTTTATGAGCTGTCGACACGTTGTCACGATGACACTCTTGCAAGACACGCCTTCGACCAGCAAAGCACTCCTTTCGCCAATAAAGCCTCCCGCCTCGTCATGCTTCAGCGACACCTCGAACACAGAACCTGTCATCTCCCAGAGTCTATTTTTCAAGACCTTTAGGCTCTATTCTATCTAATACAACACCGAATTTCCCTTCACCGCGAAACTCCACACGAAGTGTTTCAACCAAACGCTCCCAACCATGGCGGGCATCTCCTCGCCACTCTCCACACACTACCGCCTCGGCCACCAGATTTCACACGCACGCTCACCTGCGGCCCCGAGGACCTCCCAACTGCCCCCACGCCCTATTCACCCCAGCACCATTATGCCCACGGTTCTGCCCCTCAGTCTAGCGCGGCGTTATGGAAACCGGGTAGGCACCATACGGATTATATTGCCCCTGCACCGGCGTCGAGTTCGTCGGCGGGCCTCCCATATACAGCGGCGGCCCCATCGCCGGGCCCGGGTAAGGATTTGTGCCCCCGGGGACCCGTGTAAGGGAACGGAGTGGAGCCTGGCGGTGCGCCGGCGCCGTACACCATCGACGGCGGTGGGAGCTGATTACCGTTGTAGGGCGCGGGGAAGGGAGTTGTGTGGGTTGGTGGTCCGCCGGGCTGGATTGGAGGGCCTTGAGCTGGTCCCGGGTAGGGGTTCACGCCGTTGGGGCCGGTGTAGGGCCAGGGGATGGCGCCGGGGGGTGAGCCGACGCCGGGGGTTTGGGAGGGGGGTGGGAAGGGGTTCATTTTGGGGGACTGTTTGCTGGAGTGGTTTGGGTTTTGAAGGGAAAATGGGATGAATGGGTTCTGGACGATGAAGGGGAGTTGAAGGTAAGGATTTATACTATCAAGATTGCCGAGAGAGTGCTGGCTAATCACTGCAGTCAACGTCTGATGCATCTCCCTCTCAGTGCTGAGCTATTGAGATATCGATGCAGCGTTCGCAATGTCATCTTGTTGAGCTGGATGTGACGGCAGCAAAGAAGTAGACACATTAGTGGAGTGCGAGATCGCTACGTGATGGTCCCAACGGCCCACGCATCTCTCCCATGAAGATACACTAATGTGATTCTGATATAAGTGAACTACTTAATTCCCAGTGTTTTAAATGTGACATCGCGGTTTCATGTTTCGTAGCTAGCTGAAGGCAGACAAACATCGGCAAAGCGATAGAAAACTGCCTTTTCCCCCAGATCAATTCCCAGAACTGTGCTTATCAAATAAAGAAAGTTGCCTAAATGCCACCCACCTAATTCACAAAACCGTGCCTATGACATTATGGATTCATCCTTCTTAGCTAGCTGATGGCCGACAAATATCGGGGAAGCGATAGCAAACTGCCTCATTGCCTAGATCAATTCCGAGAACTATACTTATCAAACGAAGAAGGCTACCCAAACGCCGCCCACCTAATTCGCATCGCCGTGCCTGTGACATCGAGTTTCGATCCCACACGGTCAGTGAAAGACGCCAAACGCCGTCAAGACCACCTCAAGCCATTCATCCTCGCACTCTAATTCACACCACGAACGAGTTTTCATCTCTCCTCCCATTCTTCCCCTTCGCCTCATCTAGAATAGCGCCGACAGCGTCAACCCACGCGGTCTCCTTTCCATACCACTCAAACCAATACCGCAGGTCTCGATGTTGACAAAGTTCCACTTCCACTCCCTTCTTCGCCAGGTCACCCAAGCCATGCAACCGCACGAATTCTTCAGGCTTCGTTGTAGTGGGACGGTCGGCTCTCGGAAGTAGTGCAATCTTCAGCGTCTTCAGTCTCGAATACTGCGCCAGCAAGGCTCCAACTGTCGGCTTTATATTACGCAACGCGTATACATTGATGGGGTTGTCATTCCAGTCAATGCGCAGGCGAGTCACGTTCGCTAGACCGGCTTCGCCGAGTTGTCGCGTCAGCTTATGTAGGGCGGTGTGGGAGGAGATGCTGAAGCTGAGGCTGTGCTGGTAGACCATTGCGGCGCATTTAGCGCGGATTTATGGTAGATGGCGGGAAGCGCGATTTTGGAGGGGTGGAAGAGCGTTGGCATTTCAGTCTTTGAGAAGCGTGGGAAGTGCGTCATAGGCCGGACAGCGCAGTGATGGGGAGGGTCAGAGCCGAGAACGTATCTGTAGATCTCCAAGCGAAGCTCGGTGGGTAAAGCGAGAAGCGGAGATGTTTCGGTGTGAATTTGGGTGTTGCCTGGTGAAGCTGAGGATGTCTCGAGCTTGCAGCGCTTCGGTGACGGTCGTTCAAAGTCAGTCTTGATAGTGCCGTGTTTGCGCGAAGGCTGTTCGTTTTGTCTGTCGGCCATGGTAGAGAAAGTGGAAAACTCTGATTCGGAAGGTTTGTTTGGGTTGAAGGACCGAACAATTGGCCGGTTGAGTGTAGTTGTGCGATTGTGAGATAGTGTTAAGTGTGGGAAGGTGAAGTAGAAGAGATACTGAGGTTCCCATTCTTACGCGGAGGTTGGTCCCAAGGTTCAGTTGCCGCCGTGCCCAAGGTCTCCCCACCGCTCGTGGAACATCCTTCACCAATAGGTAGGAGCTACGGAAGGCGGCCTCCGAACTCACTACAGTGATATGTCAAAAGCCTGGGCACTCGCATATAGCACTATTCGGGGTTCGCTTCTGCTCGCGTGATACCATTGTGAGGAGTAGCTCAACTGGCAAGTAGCTGCTCAGTCAATATGCAGTCTCATATCTACCGCTTCATTATTTACATCGTCTGCAAAGTCTTGGAAGCCGATAGGGGTACCCTAAGCAGTGGCCAATAGGTGGTAAGTAGTGAGAAGAAGACAAGAGAATTAGGGAGGTCACGTGATTTTGAGATAGCGTCAAACTTACTGCGCAAATTAGTGATTCAATCTCAATGTCCTCTCCAGAACGCCGCGATTCAGGCTGGTTTGATATGCCTCTTTGCGCGCGTTGATAAATCAATGAGGGCCTACCTGAGAGACGCAAAATGCATGGAGCAGATGTCAATTCTACAACACCGTAGTTTGTGTTAGTTTGCGGTAGCTTCTTGTGCGGGCGGGCAACTCCTTGAAGGCCTCCTGGGGGTTTGGATCATTTGTAGATGATACTGGTTTCTGTAGGCCTAAGATAGACGTCGTAAGTGATGCTTGAGACGAGAGGGAGGTTACAAACGGGACGGAAGGCCTACGTTCCGATGCCAAGGACATCTGCCAAGCTTGACGCCATTCAGACCACGGACCCACCCGACATTTGTAAGAATGCAATCACCATACCGATAAATTTCGAATACATATACTCTCCTCTACGCGCATAATTCGTCGAAGTGTGTACAGCTATCCAGCATATTCCATCACCATGGCCCCCAAAACATTCTGCCTACTCGGAGGAACTGGTCCCGCCGGGCTTATCTTCCTCGAAAAAGCCGTTGCGAATGGACACCATGTCCGTGTTTTCGCCAGGAACCCATCGAAGATACCAGATAAGTGGCAGGACCATGACCAAGTCTCGGTACGCTGAAGTTGCCCATGATTCCCACGTGACCAGCGTCTAATCTACTCCCAGATCATCGAAGGCTACCTTTGGGACGAGGATCTCTTGTCAACGGCTATCAAAGGATCCGACGCTGTTATCTCTGTTCTCGGTCCATCTGGTCTTCGTATCGCGCCTGATACGTTGGTTACGCCTTATAAGCTCATCATCAATCTCATGCGCGAACACGGCGTAAAGCGTATCTTCGTCATGGGCACGCTCAGCATCACGGATCCGAAAGACAAGCCTTCCTTTCTCGTGCGTGCAATGGTGTTCTTCATATGGCTTTTTGGTCGTCCGACGTGGACCGAGATCATCAACATAGGCAAGACCTTTGACGAGGAAGCCAAGGATCTGGATTGGACCATCTATCGACTTGGTTTGGTTACGAACGGTCCGGATGGAGAGGCTGCGACGACGTATGTGGGTGAGAGCGACTTCGTTTCGTTTGTGTATCGCAATGAGTTGGCTGGGTGGTTGCTTGACCAGGCAGAGAAGACGGAGCCTGAGTTCGTTCATGAGAAGCCTGCTGTGTGCTCGGCAGGGAAGAAGAAGGTGTAGACGGCAGTCCTCTATGGATTGGCCGTTGCGACTGCACGGATCGAACGACTTTTGGTCGATCAGGAATCAGATACCCTGCCTCATTTCTCTACCTTCTCAGGAGTAGATATTTTCTACGAGCTGAGCGTCTTGACAGAAGAAATTCTATTACAAAGAAATTCAGTCTTTTCTACTCTGCTTCAAACCAGCAATTTGGTGTTGATCGTAGTAGTTGGTGGTAATACAGATTTTTGGCAACTATGTCAATATCATTCGGATGCATCCCCTCTTGCATGAGGATGAGGGAGGATATTCTATACAGCTATGAGGATATAACGCACTCTTCGAATCATGTAGATTTGGCTTTTGCGGGAGTTTACCAGTGGAATCATTTAGGACTACTCATGAGACACTTCTACCAAACATTTGGCATCAAAGTTGAGATTTCGATTTATATCTTCAATGGAATAATCTGATTGGTCGACCCCAATAATTCACGCGCATTAGTCGCTGAGAGGTCAAGGCTCGTGTGTTTACTCGGGTCTGCCAACAACAAAAGCATCCCCATCAACAGCACCCACCTCCGCCATTCTTCAATTGCAACACAACCACAACCACCATGTCTACCGTGCTCGACGCCCACAGCCCGCCCCGTACGAGTGCCAATATCATGGACGAAGATGTGATCGACTGGAGCGATCCACCAAGCTCGCCTTTCGTAGAACATGTCGAAGTCGACCAGGAGAATGTTGCGCCGCGCGACACCGCCTCTACTCCCACCAAGAAAACACCACTAGACGACAACAACTTTGCCTCAGCTATCAAGCGCTTGTCGCCAAAGAAGGGATTCGGTTTCAAGGACAGGTCCTCCCCGGTGAAGGCACTGGATTCGCCGAGTAAACAATTGTTTGGAGAATTGGAGAAGACTACACCCACCAAGTCTCCACCCATTCCGGAAAGACTGTCCTCGAAGAAGACATCGCCGATCAATTACAGTATCGTGGATGAGGAAGAGCACGCTCTTCGTGAGTCCAGTCACAACCGCACGTCGCCCTTGAAGCTATCCCCTAGCAAGCGCAGCTCTGTTGAGAGATCAGAATCGCCTCTACGCAGATCCGTTCAGGATGAGCAAACTACACTTTCAAGATCGTCTACAAGATCGTCCGCCACCAAACGCATGTCCATCGAACATGAAGATCAGCCAGAACCAAAGCTCCGGAAGTCCAGCCAAGAGCACCACGAATCAGCCAGACCGTCTCCGATAAAGCGCACATCATCTGAGCGGGTGGAACAAACTCTGCGAGAGAATGAAGGCCTCACAATTGCTATGAAGATACTGGAGGAAACGCAGAGCGAGAGCCACTACGAGGCACACCACGAGACGCACCACGAGACGCAACAAAAGGAGAACTCTTCAGAGTCCCGTTCAGACAGCCATGGGTCTGCTGAGTTTGACAGCTTTTCGGAGTTCAACCCGGACGGCCCAGATGGCCCGTCTACGATGGTCGACGATACCTGCTTTAGCAATTTCTCGGAAATGCCTGATATGACCAAGTTTGCAAACTCTATGGTGAGGAGCCCTGCGAAATCTGTCTTAAGCCAGGTACGATTGATCTTCTCCTACACGCATTTACAGATACTGACATGTTATAGGGTATGGCCACCCCACGAGCAAACCTCCTGACGACACCAGCAACTGCAAAAAGATATCAAAGCCGGTCTCCGTCACCAACGCCTCGTCGCAATGGCAACGCCATTTTTTCTGATAACGATACGACGAACCTACTCCTCGATTTCACACAGCAAATTGAAGCGTTCTCAACGGCAACCCAACGTTCGCCCACGCGTAGCCGTAACTCTCCTACAAAATCTTCCACAGAATCCAATCTACTTTCATTCCTCCAAAACCAGCGCAGCCCTGGCAAGTCGAGCTTCGTACCTTCAACGCCAGCTGAGAAGCGTCATTTGCTAAATCTCCTCGATTTCGAACTTCCTCCGCCACCAACACCTCGCTCGATACCCAGCATCACAATCCGTGAACTTGAGTCGCTCAAGTCTGGATTTCAATCCCAAGTCTCTTCCCTCACCGCCTCGCTCTCCGGCAAAGAGGCTGAGGTCAGCAGTCTCAAGAAAGCCGTCAGCAGTGCCGAGCGCCGCGTAGGTGAGGCACAAGAGCAAGTGCGGGAAGAGCGCAGTGCGCGCGAGTACGCCGAAAAGCAGAAAGCCGAGTGGGAAAAGAAAGGCACCGAAGTCGAGTCTGTTCTCAAGAGCATCAAAGAAGAAGTCATGAAGAGCGACCAGGAGCGCGAGGAGCTTCTCCGTAAGCTTGACGAAGCCGAGCGACGAATTGAAGACGCCGAAGCGCGCGCCAACGACGCTGAAAGCCGCGCTGTAGAGGCGGAGGGCAAGTGCGTGGATACCACCATCTTCGCGGAAGCGGATACGGATAAGCCGACCAAGGGCCCCGTCTACACGGCCGAGGAAGTCCAGAAGCAGATCGACGAGAAGGTGGCGACACTGTGCAAGGAGCTCCACGTTATCTACAAGAAAAAGCATGAGAGTAAGGTATCGGCGCTGAAACGCTCGTATGAGGAGAAGATGGCACGGAAGACGAAGGAGTTGCAAACCAACGTCAAAGACCTCAAAAAGAAGTGCGAGGAACTCCAGCACGCGCGCGATGCTACATTTTCCACAGTCCTGCCGAATGATATTCCTTCGAACTCTTCAGCGGCTATCAACGCTGCAGATCTCCAGAAGCTCGAAACGCAGCAGGCAGAAATTGAGGAGCAGAAAGCTAGACTTGCGGGCCTAGAGTCCGAGATCCAGTCCGTGCGCGACAACCACGCGCAAGTCCTCAAGGAGCTCGAGGCCGAGCGCGTTGAGAAGGGCGAGCTAGTCGCGGCGGCGGAGCAGATGCTCTCGCTGCAGATGGAGTTCCAGGCACAGCAAGCAGCGCAAGAGGAGATGCGGCGGAGTGTTGGCCCTGCTGGAGCTGGCGCAGTGAGGCCGAGTGGGCTGACGAGGCCCGGCTTTGCGGGGAGTGGTATTAGCAGGAGTACGAGCGGGAAGAGCAGAATAATGAGCAATATCGAGAAGATGGGCGGGCGGAGTGCGAGCACCGAGTAGACACGCGGCTGGGGATGTGATGATTGATTGATTGATATGGGGATTGGGTATTCTTTGGAGTATGGATGGGGTTTGGCTAAGGTTTTGGCCTGTCTTTCTCTGATGTCTCTCATTGCAAGTTATTGTCTATAAGCTACTCCCAGACGAAAATACAATCTTGTATTGTTGTCTGAAACTTTTCAACGCTGAAGTGACGATTGAAGTCGAGTGCTTTTCCCACTTGGAGGGGAAGAAACACTACCTCCTCTCATCCCTCCCTACACCACAACCTCCCTCCCCTCCAACAGATCCAACAGAGGTACTGTTCCAGCTTCCCCCTTCCCCTCCCCACTCCATCTTCCCTCCCCCTTCTTCCTCTCCACATACTCCACCGCCGCCCTCTGCACCCCCTCCCAGTCCGTCAACCCAACCACTACCGCCTTCGTCCCCAACTCCACAAGCACATCCCTCACCCACGTCCGACACGAAAACACCCCCGCATTCAACTCCCCGGGATCAGGATACTCCTCCCCAACCTGATACACCGGCACAGCAGCGATGACCTTCTCGACTACCTCGACTGGAGCGGTCAGTTTGCCGATGATGATGCGCGCGAGCAACCGTTGTTCGAAATAAACGTCCGATATATCAACGCGCTCGTAGCGCCATGGCTGGGTGAGCTCGCCGGAAATGTTGAGCAGCGTGTTTTTGACGTGATGTTTTATTGCGGTGGTGGGGGGGTGGGTTCTGGAGCCTTTGGGGGAGATGAAGAGGGCGTAGTGGTAGCTGCCCGGGTGTTTGGGACGCGCGTAGAGGGCGAGGTGGAGGCGAGGCTTATTGCTAGGCATGGCTTACGGGTTGAATTGAGGCGGAGACGAACGGGGGCGGCACAGCTGGTTATAACTATGGCCGATCGCGAGACGACAATGGCGGAGCAACTCGGCGGCTCCGCGGGACTGTTTCCAGGAACTGTTGGTTCTGTGGCGCCGTTTTTGGAGGCGCGTACTGATAGGCTTTCGCGCAGCATCGATTATTCGGGGGTTGCGTATTTCGAGTGCAGAACGGTGCGAGCAGTGTGGATGATCTTTTAAGATGGGGTGCTGCGGTCTTTACGTGTTCTGGCGGCACATGGAACAAGCGAGTCGCCAGCAACCTCGTCATTCTGAACATGGCATCAAAATATAAGGCGACGCGAAACGCTGGATGTTTTGTGAAGAATAAATATAGATGATGTGTTTAAAATAGAACTTACTTTCAAAGTCTATAAATCAGTGATATCCAAGAATTGAACAGATGTAAACGCAGTCAAACGAGGAGAAGATCGATATTGAAGACATCTGTTACGGAGAAGAAGAAAGCATCGAGGGCTAGAATATCAACGCGGACCAACCTCTAATTATCAACACCTCTAGTAAGTGAAAGATTCTCTGGTCAGGACCTACATTGCGCTATATGCTCGCGGCGGGCAAGACCCCAACACCTACCACTGGGCGATCATCGTAGGACCCAAGAAGGAAGTCGAAGGCGGTCGAGGTCGCCGATACCACACAAGAGAGTGGCTCGATCCAACCAGACCAGGGAAAGTCAGATGGCACTACGAAGCATTGGAGATTCCATTGGCACAGACCAGTATGCTCCTTGCGCGGGTCATGATTGGGAAGGTTACAAATGGAGCTCAATTTGCCGTGACACTTGCTGCAGTACCTCTCGTGCAAGGCAATCCAGCGTGGAGATGTTGTCATTGGGTCAGAGATGCGCTTGCGGCCTCGGAAGCAGATCGGAGGAGCTTAGGAACAAGGGTGACAAACTAGCCGAAGATTGAACAAGCGTCGACGACTTATGTCGGGCGGAAGCGGCAGCAAAGGAGGTATGACGGGTCGGGGACATGGAAGGCGGGCACAGTTCCCACGTGCGATTTGCTGGAGGAGAAGGAAGTTATTCCATAAAGTACAAAATGACTTGTATGGAATAGCAGATAGACTCGGCGCATTTGTTATGCTAGTCACTCCGCATCGGGTTGCGACAACCGGAAAGGAGATGGATTCCGGGCAGATAGTAGACATATTCACAGAGCAAGGCTGGTCCTTCATCAGATTAAAATGCTCCGAAGTATTTCTGTCTGACTTGTTCAAGAAACTTGCAGATCTCATCCTTCCAGAACTCATTGTACGGGCTGACATTGGAAGCGGTAGTATATTCCCAGTACTCTGGATACCAGCCAGCCGTATCCCAGTCGATGATGCCTACTACATCGTCTCCCTTGACAAGCACGTTCATACTATTCAAGTCGCCATGTGTAAAGCGGGTGGAGGATTGAGAGCTCTCTTGCTTCTTAATCAACTCGTTGACTTCCGGGATCTGTTCTGGGGACGCACTTATCCCGCCTCTGGGAAATGAATGAAACTCATGTACTGTATTGAAAGGGCCGAATCCCTGAAGCCCGTCCGAGAGACGCATATCATAAAGTTTGCCCCCGTCCACACCTTCAACGACACCCGCATGTGGAGGTTGGAGCGATCGCAAGCCGGTTATATGTGTTTTTCAACTGCTTTAGCAAGCGTTCTTTGACTCTTTAGGTCTTTGTTCCCATTCGTGGCCAATTGGCGAGCCCGCTATTCGTGACATGACGATGTATGTAGTTCCCTTCCTTTCAAAAGCGCAGTGTACTTTAGGAACGGGTATAGAGGTATGAGAGGCGATGTACTGCATGGTGGCGGCATCGGAAAGGTGTTGGAATGGGCTATATTTGACACACAGGCCGTTTGTAAGGAAGAGTACAGACGACGCATGTGGGCGGAAGCGCTTTAAAGCTACAACGGCGATGAGTGTGAGGTGGCGCCTGACCCACGAGCCCTCAATAGGACCATTGTGGGATTGCTACTTGGGCATTAGGTTTGGGATTAAGCTGATGGACGTTGTATCTCACGTTAGAATATTCTACACCCTGCCAAGACGTGACGCACGGTCCAAGGGTCCATCACTACCTAATACATCCTCAAGCTCTATCCCTTTTCCAACACACACCATCAGCATAACTCCCTCCGCATCAGCACTACTCAAGAGCTCATCGATGTCGAACACCTATAGCTGAAATATCCAGGATTTCCTCAAATCAGCTAGCATACGTCCCGTCAAGCATCTTCAAAAGATAGTCTGCAAGCATCAACTAGAGACTGTTCTAAGAAACTAGAAGAATTTCGGTAAAATGCTCTTTCTTTTCGATTTCTGCGTATGTCTACATCCTCCGCATATGTACATGTGCATCTCAATATGTATACAATTTCCTCCATCACCTATTCACAAATCGGAACTATCTCAACGAACAACCAGAGTCGAATCGGCACCCGTCGCACCAATAAGCTCACCTCATCACCAGGCTATCTCAAATGTACACAACTGTGCAATCGCCCAAAAGCGTATCACCACTTCCATCCATCGCCGGATTGCAGAACTCAAGATCCTCCGCAACACCATTCCCCACAATCCACGTCCGCAGTATAGCAGTTACACGTCGGCGTGAACGTCACAAACGCCATCGTCCCTAGTGCCTGTCCTAGATTATTCGTAACAGATACCGTGGTCCCGTTCTCCACCCCAGTACTAGTGGACTCCCCAATTGCGATGGCGAAATCGTAGCTGCCCGTGACCGTGATCTCGAACCCGAACAGCTCGGATCCTGACGTCGCGGCCACGCTGGTGCCGACGCTGTTGGTAATGGTCTGGTCCTTTGTGGAGGTCAAACTGGTGGAGACGGAGACGCCGTGGTTGACGAGGAAGGAGCAGGCGCCCGTCGTGCCGGTTTGAGTGTTGGCGACGAGGATTTGGTAGCCAGCGACGGGATAGGGGCCGTCCTTTACAGTGGTGGAGCATTTCTTCTCGTCGCGAGCGTGGACAGCGGCCGCGGCTCGGGCGGCGGGGGAGAAGGCCTCTCTTTCCGATAGAACCTTTTCAAAGTTAGTTATATTTCTTTGGAAAAGGATAGAGGAAGTGCTTACGGAAGATTTAGCGGCCCTCTTAGTCTTAGGCTCCTCCGCAGCGTCGACAGAGTCCAAGTCACGTCGTGTCAGAGCAGTATTTCCTAGAGCAAAAGATTTGCAGTCACCCGCCCCACAACAAAATGTTTCAGCAATATTTGCACCAACCTAGAATCTCGTTAGATAGGTTAAGATGCACAATTGATATCTCGGTTTCCCATTGCAAGACTCACCGGAATATTCGAGTAGAAACATCCATCTTTACCAGCATTTATAATCACATTTCCAAGCGGCTAAATCGGATCATCTCCCAGCCTCCCATACGTCATCTGCGAATACTCCGTCAACAGCGCGAGGCGGCAGCTCGGGTCCAGATCCTGACCATTCTTCCACCAGACGTTGTAAGCGGAGCTGCCTGAGGGAGTTTGGGCTCCTGGGAAGTCAGTGTCCATGAACCAGTAGGGGTCCGACCAGGAGCTGATGCCCTCGCCGGGGTCGAAGTACCCGTAGTCGCCGTTCTTGTGCGGGTTGTCGTTGTAGGAGGCGTTGATGGGATTTTTGCAGCTAGAGTTGGAGTAGGGAATCAGGCTGGAGGTGGCGAAGGTGCCATGGGCGGTTGAGAAAGCGGCGAGAGCTGCTAGCTTTGCAAGCTGCATGGTGTACATCTTGTGAAGATAGTTCCTGGAATTTCGGATATTGGATGGTTGCGAATTGATCGCTGAAAAGATGGATGCGAAGGAAGAGAAGGAACGATGAATGGATTGAATGCTGCTGAGCCTACATCTCGTCCTTCCTCTAGTACTTATACGTCAAGAGGTTGTCCTCATTCCCATCGCCAACAAGGTAAGTCCAAGCCGCATCGTCATCCCCTCCTCGTCCTTCCCCCCGTAGGAAGGCCCAAGCCACTGCCACTAAGCTGCGTTCAAGAATCATGAAGTCAGTTCATATAGAACGAAACGGCTCCAAGACATTTGGTGGTGACTGCGCTCCACTATACGGCCTCCGAGAAGGAGGATCGAAGAAACAAACTCCCGCGATGTCAGTTGGAGGATTCTCATGCTTGGACTTCACTGAAGGCAGAATCCTGTGCCAAGGGAAGAAATTCGGATCTTCTTGTTACATGGCGCGGGTGTTCCTTATGCGGTTTCCTGCTAGTCCCCGAAAACGGAGGTGCTAATGTTTCGAGGTAGTACAGCATATCATCACGTCCGGCGCCCTAGCGCGGAAACTGGGTCGACCCTGGTAAACCACCTCTCTGAGCTAATGTTGAATCAGCTTGAAGATTAATTGGCTAGGCGGCTGCTATTCCCCCTTAAAGGCGTCTGGAAATGCTATCTCATACGGTAGTTTTGTGGCTTGATTTTAGCGCTGGGTCACCGGACATGAGTATATGCTGTACTGCTAGGCTTTCGGCTATCTGATCCGACGTTTGAGCACTACAACCCGACAACATGTCATTGATAATAGGTTTCAGAGCCGTAAGGCTAAGGTTTTGGTACAAGGGTACACACTGCCACGTTACAGGAAGGATGGTGACACACTCGGGTTGCAGCACTACAACCTAGGATCAGCAACTCATATGCTAGTAACATATCAGGATGGCATGCTGATACAGGAGGAAGTAACAGGTAGTGCAACAGCAGTGCTGCAGCACGGTATCAGTACTGTATCAAGTAACAGGATGTAACCAGCAACGCATCAAGAGATCTACCACGTTAAGCCCCCGGGGGTGGCCCCCCTCCTTCCCCTAGTATATAAACAACGAGTTAGACATCTATAGAAATCAGAGTTCACATCAATTTCAACCTGAGTGTTATGAGCCCGGAAAACTTACACGGATCATCGCCTGCATCACCAATCAACGCAATCAGCATTCGATAGACTCTCGATCCACAATCCTCCATAACCAACCTTGTTATTCTTCCATCACGTCTTCCACAATGACGACAGAAAACGTCATTCTATCATCGCCAACCGTATGGGAATCTTGGATTCAAATTATCCAGGCAAAGGCTGAACGAAAGGGAATCTGGGGCATCATCGATCCATCAAAAACAGATGCACACGCCGATGAAATGCTTCCAGAACCTACAAGGCCCGCGCCCCCAGAAGCTAACGACAAAACGTTTGCCGCGCAAATGACCTGGAAAATGACATACGATGAATACAAGGACAACAAGGTCCTATTCGACAAGCAAAAGGAATCACTGCAGGACCTACGTATTTTCATCCTACAAACTGTAGATGCGAAATACACCACGTATACCTACGGCATCTCATCAGCACGCGATCTACTTGCTAAGCTCAAGAAATCCATCGCGCCATCAGACGAAGCACGCCGGAACGAAATCTACAACCTGTGGCAGAAGCAGAAGCACTACCCCACTGAGCGGACCGTAGAAAGTTAGAGGTGCAAGTAATGGAGGCGGCGAAGAGGGTGCTTGGGGAAGAGCATCCTTTCACACTAATCAACATGGCCAACTTAGCGTTGACGTACGGGAATCAAGGGCGGTGGGAAGAGGCCGAAAAACTACAGAAGCAAGAGTTGGAGGCATGTTCTAGAGTATTAGGTGAAGAGCACCCGGACACGCTAATAAGCATGGGGAATCTTGCTGCGATTTTCAAGAATGAAGACCGTCATGATGAGGCTATTGAGTTGATGGTTGCATGCATCCAATTGGGAAAGAAGGTATTGGAAGTGGACCATCCGTATACAATTTCTTTACTTGAAACGTTGGATGAATGGCGTGCTGAACAAACGTCTCCTAGCTCGTAGATTGTCATCGTAATTTATGAATTATGTCCACTTACATAGAGATAAGAATCATACCATCGAGAAGCCTTCTATTGATATCGCGTCGGCGACAAAGTTTTGATCGCCGCGGCATCTGAAATATATGACAATCAACCCTTCACTCCAGCGTCTTGTCGTACTCCTTTACCCTACTTCCCGTCGAGTTCAATATGACTTCCCACTGACACTTAGGTGATCATCTGAATCAGAAGGACTCTTTCAGAATCAACTCGACGCTGAGATAGTACAGTACTAAGATATAAGCTTGGGCACTCCTTGCAACTGCCTGGGGTACCCCATTAGGACTTGAAAACTCTGAAGATGCTGTAAAGGTCAACGCAATAGATATCAGACTACCTTTTAACTAACTAAAGACACGCTAACTAAGGCCCTTCTTATAGTGATGTTCAAAGAGCAAGAGTGGAGCCAGAGCAGTTGTATATCCGTGTGCTATATCCGTATGCCTAGATTTATGACCTAATACTGTAACTTGCACTCAAAGTGGCATGTGCGCAGCTACAGAACTATTCTACTAGAAAATTGTTGAAGAATGCTGCGGGTAGTAGAAAGCATAACTATAAAGAGGGGTTTGCAATGGTTCAGAATGCTCGCGAATGACTATGTAAGAAAGGGACCAAGAGGGCAAGCTCAGTGATACAATGAGATTTAATCTAAACACGACTAACGACCTAGGTATCTGCATCTCAAAGTCAACCTTCCAGCCCCCGTATCCAAACCCCAAAAGTCCGAAATGTAGACCGCAGTTTCCTCCTCATTCAGAGTCAGAGTCAGAGCCAGAACCAGAGCCCTCTTCCTCCTCCCCACCTTCTCCTTCTTCCTTTTCTTCCCCTATTCGTCTTGGATTAGCACATTTCCTTAGTTATGGCAAGAGCCACATACCTTCACGCTCCCCCTCGCCTTTCTCACCACCACCACCACTCGTACTCTTTTTCTTCGACTTCGTCTTCTTCTTCAGGAGCCCCTCGATTCCCTTGAACACCTTGCTCTGTAAATCTTTGTCTTTATCCTTCTTTTCTTCCTTCTTCTCTTCCTTCTTTTCTTCACCCGGTGCTTTAACACCCTCCTCGTGTGGCACCGCTGCCGCTGCCGGTGGAGCAGCGTGTCCTTCTAGGCCTTTGGTGGCATCGACGGGCGCTCCGGCTGGTATGTCCCACTGAGTACGGCCGGTTGCGGTCTCGACGTAGAACCAGCGTTGGCTGGGTTGGTCCCACTGCGCGATCCAGCCAGCGGGTAGGGGAGGCGCACCAGGGGTTTGGGCTGGCGCGGCAGCTGGGGGAGCATAGGTAGCGGGAGGGGCAGGCTCGCTGGTAGCTGGGGGAGCGTATGTGGCGGGTTGGGAGACTGCTGGAGTGGCTGACTAGGTGTTAGCGTGTCTCTAGAACGCGATATCTTGAGTGGGTTTCTCTTCGATCTTCAGGGCATTGAGACTTGATATGGAAATTTGAGGGGGAGTAAGAGATGGATTATAAGATCAGACACAGAATCAAGAACTTGAATGGAATAGAGAATTACCCTGCTCGACCGGCTTCGCTTCCTCCTTCTTCGGCTTGTCCTCCAGTGATGCCTTTAGGCTGTCGAACTCCTTGGTGAGTTTCTTAAAGAACGACATTTTGTATAGACAGACAGATCAGACTTCAAATTTGGGACAAATTCGACACAAGGGATACAGCAGAAGATATAGAAATTGAGAGAGATTTCAGCTCCTGCACAATACGAGGCGGGGCAGCACGCCAGGCAGAAGAACAAGCACACAGCCAAGCACATCATCGGATGCTTCACCCTATGGCTCTGTCTTAGCTCGCTTGGCCCTGCAAAGTGCACGCCTTCATGGAGGAAATCGGCCGAGAAATCTTTCCTCATGGGCTAAATTTACGCATGTTCGAGCGCCGGTGAGTCGCCGGTTGGGCATTCATATGCACGAACTCCCTTCGAGGCTTGCCAAGGACCGCTGTGCCAGGCTGTGCGCTCCAATGGCGGCAGGGTGCGGCATGAAGAGTGCCCGGGCTGATAGTCGTGTAGACGGCTGGTATCTTGGTGGCTGAAACGAAGCTGAATTGGACTCCGCTAGGTCAGGGACAATCACTCGTGCAAAGGTTAGTGGGGCGCTAAGCTTCCTTAGCAAGCTGGGCGATGTAGCTTAGACTGTGTTCTGACTGGAGCTGGTACGGAAATATTGCGGTAGCCCTGCGGATCTGGTGCCCCGGATGACTGTTTCCTAGGCTGCACGGTCTCAGGGCGGAAAGGTCTGCAGTCAGGGGAGTGGCTGGGCAGAGTCATGTGGTTGTCACGTGTGCTGGGCCCCTCTCGTTACAACTTCGTTCTCGCTAACCATCACAATCATCTGGTTGCGTTCACCCTTATGTCTCCACCTCACTGCTAGGTTTGCTTGTATTTGAGACCGACACTGCTTCAAGGTCAGCTGACCTAAGGACAGCTCTTCCTGTCGGAGGAGAATGACACCTTTTTCATCCCCACTCTATCACCAGTTCGTAGTCTATCCTTCAATATGTCAGGAATACTCCGCCGCAACACCTTTACGACAGCATCGCTATGCCATAGTCTTCTCCTATACCCCATAATTTAGTTGGTGTGATGCTGCAGACCCTCGAAAAAGATCTACGAGGCTGACTGGGCTGCATTTGCGTTATCTCGGCTCAGCATCGGACACGTCAGTCAGGCGCCTTCGGAGTTCTTTATGGTTTGAAACGTTTCTATAGATCCTCTCGAAGCTATCACTTTCATGTGCATCTCCCGAAATCTGTGGCTTTGAAGTGTTCCGTTTCGCCGCAATGCTGCTAGACAACCGACTTGCGCGTGCCGCCGTGCTCGCCGGCATCGCTCTCGTGTCGTACTACGCCTGGACATACCTGCGCTCGCCGCTGCGTTGTATTCCAGGGCCTTTGCTGGCCGCCTTTACTGACATATGGCGTGTTGGCAGCTGGTGGACCGGCCGTACCCACCTATCGCAAATTCAACTGCACCGGAAGCTTGGGCGCGCCATACGCCTGGGGCCAAACCTGGTCAGCCTGAGCGACCCAACTTTAATCCCTACAGTCTACTCTAGCACCAGGAGTACCAAGCCGTGACTCAAGGTGAGCACAACACGGATAGACCGCGTCTGACTGGCGGCTATCAGATAGTGGATGCGAACCATCGCTGATAGAGTGTAGAGCGACATGTACTCCTCTAACGATATAGTGGTCAATGGTGTCAAGACATCGAACATTTTTGCAACAACGGATCATGTCTGGCACACTAAAATGGTCAAGCCAATACGTAATATGGGCACAATACAAAGACGGTGGTAAACTGCGAGGCAGCTGTTGATGACACTATTAGACTACTCTGCGCACAAATGGAGAAGATGGCGAAGGAAGGGACTACGGTGCGGATGGAAAAGTGGTTGCTGTATTGTATGTTCTCGTAAAACGCACCATAGGTCAGGGGAGAGGACTGACCCCGTGCAGTCGCGTACGACTGCCTTCATAAGCTCACCTTTGACTTCCACCGCGGCTACCTTGAGACGGGTGATGACGTTGGAAACTTTATCAAAGACGCATATGGTGGATTGGTCTACTTTGGCCTGGTAATATGTCTCATTTTTGAACCTCGCCTTGGTTCTGCTTTTTCATCAGGACTCCCATAGCGGAGCCCAATGCTGCAACGAAACCAGCTGACTTCTCCAGTGCGTCAGCATGCCTGTTCTCCACCGCTTTCTTATTGGAAACCCTCTCCTGAAACCCTTCCTCGGTAAGCCGCCCTTCCTCTGGGCCTTCCAACAAGCCTACGCAGCCGTCGCAGCGCGCAAAGCCCAACACGAGGCCGCCCAGACTCTCCCCGGCTCCTCCGACTTCCTCGATCTCTTTCTCGCCGCCCGCTCCACCTATCCAGACATCGTCACAGGCGACGACGTAGTCGTAAACTACCTCTTTCTAAACCTGGTCGCCGGCTCCGACACAACGGGAACCTCATTGGCCGTCATCTTGTACTACGTCTACCGCGACCCACGCATCTTAGCCAAGCTCCGGGCCGAGCTCGCGGCAGCAGGCTACGATGGTAGCTCCCCGTTGACGTACCGTGACGGCGTTCGTCTGCCCTACCTCGATGCGGTGGTGCAGGAAGGGTTACGGATCCACCCACCCATCGGGCTTACCCTTGAGCGTGTGGTCCCTGCGGGAGGATGGCAGATGCCGGACGGCGGTCCGTTGCTCCCCAGTGGTACTAAAGTGGGGATGAATGCGTGGGTAAGTAACCGAGACGAGAGTGTATTTGGGCCGGAGGACGTGGATGGGTTCGTGCCCGAGCGGTGGATGAAGAGAGCTGGAGAGACGGAGAAGGAAGGGGGGGAGAGAATTGCACGGATGAAGAAACTGATGTTAACGTTTGGATATGGGAGTCGGGTTTGCACGGGGAAGAGCGTCGCGTTGCTGGAGTTGGTGAAGGTGGTGGGCACGTTTGTAGGCAGATATGACGTGAGTGATCTTACTGTTCTGTTAGCCCCTATATTTGTGTCTAATGCTGACTTGATTTTACAATTGGACAGGTTGAATTTCTTAGCTCTGAGTGGAAGACGGAGAATATTTGGTTTGTATTTCCCTCGGGATTTAATGTTAAAGTATCGCTGAGGGACGGGGTGGGCGATTTGGGAAGTCTTGATGAAAGTTGACGGGCCACCGACTCGTATATGGTATGGGTTGGAAGAAAGGATGACCGTAGAGCACCACATGTTTACGTGAAGCTGCGTCTCGTGGTTAAGGGAGGAGGCAGGCATTATACTCGAAATTACAACTACGTGATGTGTCTTCAATACATCCATTGAGAAGCTGTCTAGCAGCACCTTAACCCTATAATCATCATTTCGAGTTCTGTCTTTCAATATCTTAGCACTGGGTCCCCGACTCATTCGTAGGGTTCGTAGTACTACCAGCTAAAGATGGTCACGTGCGACCAAGTGAATTGAAACTGCTGCAAGGAAATCTAGATGAAGTGGATATGCACGCTACTGAATCTATAAATACATATGCCCTTGATATCGTTGGTACTTTACAGACACTGATCAATGGTCAGTTGAGCTCAGATCAATATCTGGATGGTTCCTTCAGTCCCCAGCTAGACTGTCCATTACGACTTCGTATCACGATCCATGGACAAATCAGCCTTTGGAACACAATCGCTATGCTAGCACTGTCTCACGAGTCGCACATCCTGGACAACCATGCTTCATGGATGAGAGAAATTCGCTACTCACAAGACCTTTCCCTTCTGCAAGGTCGAACTCCCAGAAAACTCGACAGACTTGACAAACGGGTGACGAACTCGAATTCTCGCGGGCGAACATATTCAAAGAAACACGTTCTTTTATATTACTAGCGAGCGAAGACCTGAATGAAGGAGAAATCTGGACGGCCGAACCTAGAAAAGAGGAGGTGTGTTGATGCCTATTCAAATGACGTTCCCAAGGCTGAGATCAAGCAAATGCCGCCACATGGCAGTGCAGCAAGCCTCGTGAACTCCACACCTTCAGATAGCTTTTGAAAATTATCGCAATAATGGGCATCATCTGCAGATTCGTGTTGAGCCAAGGTTTTCATTGGAACTTGTGGAACTGTTTACTCTGTCTGGTACGTCGTCCTATTAGCTTACTATGGAGGCAGTCTAAAGTGTTTGAGTGATTGACCAGATTAGGTGGTGCCTGTTCTTTCAAATCTATCAAGCAGGGCCGGCTGATATCTGCAAAACGCTGGATCTGTCGAGGCAGTGACTCTTACGTCTCGCTAGCTCCAAGAGTGCCTTGATACGTACAAGTCTTGCAATGCTATTCCCCAGCCGACACAGCTTCCAACACGCATGCTAGAGATTTAAGGCCCTACAAAAGTAAAGCTCCATACCACACACACCAGCGAGAAGGGATCCTACATCTGCCTGAGTCATTGCTAGAATCAAAGAGGATTCATCCAAACAACAACATCCACACTGCGCATCTACCAAGAATCCATTCCCTGAGATGAGCTACCAAAAACGTTCCAGGATGCGATTGACGCTACGATCTGCCTCGGGATCAAGTACTTATGGATTGATTCGCTTTGCACATATTCCGGTCGATCTAGCATCAAGAACCTCAGAAATCTGAAGTTGTTCATTCAGCATTCTGAGGAGCCAAATCGGGATCCTCGGAGCACCGGAAAGGAATACACGATTGTCTGGCATTACTTTCAATATTTTTTAACTAAGGCTTGTTCTTACTTGCTACCCTAAGTAAATGACTCCGTCTCTACCATCTATCCATTTATGACTAGGCGATCAGGTTCATTGTATCGAATCGAATCCTGCCGGACATACTATTCTCTGTTTCTAGTAGCAAACTGTCGGGGTGAAATTCAGTCCATAGTGGGGAATATCTGAGGAAAGTTTGACTAGATTTGAACGGAATGTTAGATGACACAAAAAGCATCTTTCACGTGTATTTGCTTCGTCCTAAAACAAGAATCATCAGTCAATCAAGCACCAAAACATAAAGATAAGTAAGAAAGGAAGAAAGCTAAGAATAGACAGTTCAGGAAGACTTACATCTTGTAATTAATCTGCTGAGATGTCGTAAAATGTAGAATTAGAGTCTTGTAAAGTATACTGAAATTATGATGCTCAATACTAGTGTCTGGATCGCCTTCTGTGTGGGGGTTGCTGCCTGATCAGCAGTGATTCAGCACAAGGCTTGCGTAGGGTTGGCAACAACAGGACCACGTTACGAACAACTATTATATGGTACGATGATTTATTGTAACACAGTCGGAACGGACGATATTGTCTTTGAAATTTTCGATTTCGATACTCTCGATAATATCACTTCAATGTTGATGTCTGAATTTCTCAGCATGTCTAGGGCGCGACTTTAAGAGAGTGTATGTAGCCGCGTCCTGAGAAGAGGGGGGCTGTGTTCAAGGGCACGATCCCGAGAGCTATGAGTCTGTCTGTGCTGACAACAAATTCTCTTTCCAGTGGTAGAGGCGGATGGACAAAGTGTCGTGATGGGTATAACTAGAGAAACATGAAGTCGATTTTGTAAGCAACTATTCTTATTCTTAGGATGCCAAGGGAAACTGTAAATTTGACATGAATCATATGCTTCGGAATCAGGCTGTGCTTATAGTACTCTCAATTAGGTGCTTGTTTTGTACAAGTAGTTAGTAAGATTTAAGGCAACCCACCCAGTCCTCCAAAATAGAACTTAACGGGCAGCTAGGTCTAAGCTCTACTACTAACATCTCCGTTATAAAGTAACTTTGTAATTAGGTGCTTATGAATTAGCCGCGATCAGGCTAGTGGCAGGGTTCTTAAACACCAGACGTCTCCGTTAAGGCGGTGCCGAGTAAGCTTTCAATTAGAGTTCTAGTTAGCCTAAAAATAGGGGCCGGCAGTCAGCGTGGCTGGTTCAAGCTTGGCTGGTGGCTCCTGACCACAGGCACTCGGATAGTCCTACTTCCACACAAGGTAGGGTCTCCAGTAAGTCTGCTCAGCACTGCCTCTCTGGCGAAAGAACACTCAAATACTAGTATTAATAATTAACAAGTTTATTGAATGTCTATAATATAAATATATATGTTTTCTACCCTCTGGAATTTTCCATTTTCCATCTTACCATCTACATCTCTCCAACATCTCCATACGACTCAAAACTATAGTCAATAGTCATTTAAGTTTTTCTCTCAGGACACTCCCTCTTAAACTCCTTATTGCAACGAATAATATTTCAATCTTCAAATCACATTAACAATGGTAAATAACAACTATCAGCAATATTGCTATCAAGTTCTAATCCCATCAGGGATTCCTCCGAACCGCTCTTCTGTCCGCCCTTGCCTTCCACTCTGCCACAATGGCCGCGGCCATCGAACGTCGCCAAGCTGCAACTTCAATCAACGTCGCAGTTTTTGCCGATACCAATCCAACATGTACTGGCCAGAACACAAATATGGGTCCTATTAACGCCGATGGATCGTGTTTCACCTTCGCCGGTACCGTAAACTCGGGTGATTTTGGCAATCCTGGGAACACCGATTGCACCGTCACGCTTTTCGGCGATACGTGCGACCAAAGGAGTAGCAGCACTCAGACAATTGTCGCCACTCTTTTCGCCGGGATCACTGATGGAGGATGCGTCCCGATTGGAAATGATGGGCAGGTTGTGGTCGGATTTCAAACACTGACGGGTGGTGTAAAAGCAATCTCTGTGACTTGTTAATTGGAATAGTTATGGCGAACAAAGCCATACTCCTTGGCTTACTCTATCTTTTCGAACAGTTGGATTTAGCGTTGCATTAGATCCACTCTTGCATATTCCAGCGTTTTGCCTGAATTAGACAAATACTTCAGTAAAAATAATGACGTTCATCCACCTCATTCTAGTCGCCTATCGACATCATTTGCAGTGAAAGTCACATAGACCTGAAACATAACTCCCCCGCATGCTGTTGAAGTCATGGCGAAGTAGGAAGCGGGGAATGGCTATTATACACTACTATCCTTATTTCAGAACAAGATCTAAACTGCTCAAGCACTACTTCATCATTCCCGACGGAAACGTCCGGACTTGAATATGAATAGGGCTGATGAACAGCTTGTCGATCCTGCTAGTAAACGTGCGATCTGGAAAAACACTCGAAGAGGCATTGGAGAAACACCTGAAGTCGCCCCAAACTCAATCGCATGGGCCGCCCAAATGCATCAGCATAGTCATGATATCTATGGATATAAGGGGACTAGCGATAATACCTGCCATCAGGTCAGACTGATGGGTCCAGTCCTTGGAGCGATGCGTTATGCAAAGTCCATAACGATCGTGAAGACTGGCGCCGAGAAGGGAGCACAATGGCGTCCACGTACTCGCAAGCCTACCTCACCATTGCCGCAACAAAATCTTCCAACCCGGCGGGAGGCTGCTGCGCCAACCCTGGCGCCGAGCATATCGGACAAAGCTAACAATTTTGGGACTCCAGTAACGAGAAGTATGAAATCCATGTTCGCAAACCCCTAAGCCATCCAGAAACCATCTTGTCCTTAAGGGGTCCAAAAGCCCGATCAAAGTGACAAGAGCCATTCTCACTCCTAAGTCGAGCGTGGGTATTCCAAGAACGGCTACTGTCACCATGGACGCTGCATTTCGGCCCTAACGAGCTAATGTGGGAATGTATAGAAACGCAGACGTGCGAGTGTTCTGAATGGGATCACCAAAATAAGGCATCTTCCAAGGCGACCATCATGGGCAACAACTCCTCGAAATCCGCCGTCGGAAGGTGGCATACGAATGTCTCACAATACTCAAACAAAGACTTGTCATTTGAGAACGATGTGTTTCCTGCGCTCCAGGGCTTGGCAAAGCACGTGCAAAAAGAGAGAAAATGTGCTTATTACGCTGGGCTGTGGGAGGATAGTTTCCTCGACGACATGTTGTGGTATTCATCCCCTGTCCTTGGGCACCGGACCAGCCGAAGTCGTACCAGACGTGCACCAGCCTGGTCCGGGGCCTCCATTGCAGGGGGGCCATATTACAGTAGAGTTCGCTGGAGCATTTCTTCCGCTCACTCCGCGTGGCAGACGTTCGCATCCATCGTCGAGGTTTTTACAGTCCCAGTTGGATCGGATCCATTTGGCGAACTTCAAGGGGGTGAACTAAAGCTCCAGGGACGTTGCATCGACACAAGTCTTAGGATGTGGTATGTTGATGATGATGTTAAATTTGATCCATCTTGTCATGAGTTTATTGTGCAATCACGCAAAAAAAAAAAAAAAAAAAACGAAAGGGACGAAAGGCAGGAAAGACGTGGAAATTCGCTGGAATACAGTTTGCACCCGATTTTGACGTAGCCGCACAATTCATCAACGCTGGCAAAGTTGAAGTAATGCGAATTGCTTGTGGACCTGTTAACGGGTCTGGCCAGCGTGGTTAGTAAACCGGCCAATCTTCAATCGGATTGACGGCCGGTTTATTAATATCACTTCTAATTAATCCAATCAATCAATCCTCTAGCCAATCAAACCTCAAGCGGAGATTGATCCGATTGATCCGATTGGTGTTGTATAAAACGGAAAGGATGTATACATATTGGACCGGATTTTTATAGACATAACTTCGTTATATAAATTCCTATGAGCCTAATAATAAGACGGCTCGCGAACTACACCCATGGATGAGGCTACAGAGTGCCCCAGAGTAAAGGGCGACGTGAGAGTACCATGGTGGTGAGGTTCTAGGTGAAGGGGGGGTTGGGATCTCCCTTGGGAACGTCGGGCGGAGTACCAAAGGGGCTCATTTTTGAAGCCTAGTAAACCCAGTAATTCGCGTGAAACGTAATTCGACCTGTATAAATCGATTCCCGTCGTCCGTTTGAGCTCATCTCGTTATTGTGGAGTGCTGGAGGGGGCGCTGGGGCCGTGGTTGATGAGGCTGGCAATACGTGTTCTCCCGGCTAGGCCGGCAGAACTCCGGGGATCTGATACCTTACCAGTTTAGGCTAAGCGCGATCGAATTCACCTATTTGTCAATCTGGATCAAACCAGTTCAAACCAAAATCTAATCAATCCAATCAATCAAACTCAATTCAATATATAACAATCTAATCAATCTGCTATCTAGTTAAGCCGGCCGCCCGTTTACTAACCACGCTGGGTCTGGCTGGGAATCCGACCACGTTTATTCTGCTCTAGTATTTGATTGTGTGGATCAGCCACAGCAGATTTATGAGCGAGTTGGAATGTTGCATTACCATCGCGGGGGTCGAGAAGATAGGCTATTCAAACGCTATGGGAAGGAAACCACACTGACTGTTGTGTGATTGTAGTGAGTATGTATGCACTCATTCAGACTTCCGAGTGTGTGTCCGCAGAAGTCTAATGATCTCACTTGAGAAAATGAAAAGCCGGTGGTTCCGCGACGTGCATTTTACCTGGGACTCCCGATTTCGGTGTTCTGGACACTTTTCAAGATTGCGGGACTAGGAGTGATGGGTTAGGTTTTTGATCTATAGATGTTTGGAAACGAGCTCATCCAGAAGGGTGAAAGAATAGACGGGGCTTGGAAGCAAGTCACCTATCAACTCACCTCTCTTGGGTGAAATAGAACGTAAGGTTGCTTTCTGGGTCTAACGAACAGTTGCAATGGCCATGCCTGGCTCCTAGCTTCTGACCGTTGTCCGTTTCACCCTCCGTCGCAATGCAAGTGCACCGATTGTAGCGCCAGCGGCCTATCACGAGCCAGAAAAATGACAAATTGTACGCTCGACGACGGTCTATCCGCAACCTGTGGGTTGTACCACCATCATGAAGATTTAATCCACGATAACATTACAAAGACGGTGAAGACAGCGACAGATAGCGCGCGTAGCGACTCCAATTAGCATTGGGTCCACCTTATTTCCGGAGACGTACGCTAGAAGGGACATTTTACCGCCATCAACAAGGATAGCTGCTTTACTTTCAAATTGTACCACCTGATACGCCATAAAGACACCCCGGGCATAAGGACTATGAAAACCTCGTGACACAACTATCTCGAGAGCGCATGTGAGACCCTACGTATAGGCGTCCACGAAGCAGCCGGAATCCACCGCGTTCAACATAACATCGTGTCTAGATTTCAAGAGCTTATTGAGGCACCCCAAGCAATGACAAACCTTCCTGCCTCTCTTTCTCCCTCTCCCTCGACGACTCTTGTTCTAGGGCGACGACTTCATCATGCGCTATACGGATTGCCATCCTATGTCCTTTGGTATGCTCGCCAACTCCCTTCTAATTCGCCTCACGTCCCTGCCCCACTTGCCCAGATACTCACTTCTCTGCGACTCATTCAACGTCGAAAGGTAGTTGTTGTCGATGCTGTCAATGCTGTCGCTCGATCTCAAATATGCCCGACGTCGTCCCAGTAGATCAGCTCGTTTCTTTATCTCCCTGAAAGCTTTTTGTGTATCAATAGTCCTCTGATACGCCGGTGTTTTCTCATTCTCTTTCCACCGCACACACGCTTTCGCCGTTGCTACTTCCTTCTCTTCATAGACTATTCGCCTACAGAAGTCAGGCCACCTCTCGTCGTCCACATCTGGAAGTTCCATCATTTCAGGCGGAAAGCTTGTTCGCGCATCGCTCTGCGTCATTTTATAGACCTTGTAATGATCGTGAAGTTGAATGCGGTACCAAGATTGGAGCAAGTTGTGACTGGAAGGCACCAGGGGATCAGAGATCAAGTCAGGGATTTTATTGAAAAAATTTGCCTTAGCTGATTTTCGATCCGTAGCCGTGGGTTTGTCAAAGTAGCAAGCTATATCTTGCTGAGCCGAGCCCTCGTAAGTTACCCTTCCAACGATGATGTTGAGCTTCCACCCTTTCTCGCGAAGCCGAACAAGGCAGCGGAAAGGTGCCTCAGTTCGGGGGCACAGTATAAAATGATGTCCACTGTAAGCTCTATCTTTTGATCCAGCTGGGTAATCTTCTCTAGAGCATATCTGACGTGGTCGTGTGTTCTCCAGTCGGTCTCCCATGTTTTGGTGCATTCTTTTTCATAGAAAGCGTTGCTCAACAACTGTGTAGCGGCAAGACTGGCAGGTATTGTGATATATTTGTTGCCCGCCATGGGATGATCTTGTATCTAAAACCGCCGAACGAATGTCCTAGGAACGACACCGAGGGCAAAAACATCCTGATGGAGGAAGCCCCAAATGGACGCCGTAGAATCAAGCTTGAATTTGATCGTAACCTCCTTGTAATACTTTTGCAGAGCCTCTGTCGCAACATCTCTGCCTACGTATGCAGCAAACAGGTATCGAGGTCGCCCTAGCATATTTGCTAATGTTGTTTGCGAGGTTTGGCGTCGAATTGACGTATGGCGACGCTTTCCGGGAATGCCGCTTAGTATACGAGGTTTCGGAGCTCGCGAGGTAAGGTTTCATGAAGCTTTTGGGCGAAGCTTAGGGAAGTAGCTCGGTCTACACTATACGCCTCTCTGAGAAGGTTCCTGCATGCGTCAGAAGAAGATGCTGTTGGGTCATAATTGCGAGCAGGTTTTACATTTAAATCGGTTTCATGCGCGAGCTGTGCTTGTCGTCTTCGTATATCCGTCCGGCTGAGACGGCGTCAAAAAGGTATCGTGGGTTCAGCCTGCCCCGGTGCCATTCTTACCTTACTCGCCTCGTTTTCGAGGGCTACAACTTGACTCCCTCCGTGGAATCATTCTGTCGTTTCCTTTCGGCAGGGCTATTGTGCGGTGTTGTATGATGCTAGTAGAGGTGAGACTCAGGCTGAAGAAAGGAAGAGACAACGCGACAGGACGCATAGATCAGGTTCACGTGACCTTAAACATTACCATCTCTCGACGTGATCTTATTTCAAAACCTCTCATTATCGAGCTACGGCGTCAATTGCTATACTGCCAGTGTTTAAGCTCGAGTCTATCTTATTCAAGTTCCTATAGCTACACTGTTTGGATATTAGAACGTCCCAAAATAATTAAACTCCCAGCCACCAGACGCCGTCTCGTAGTAAGTCGATCTCAGGCTGGATTAACAAGAAGGCAACAGGAACCCTCGAGAGCTACAGCCTTCGCATCGGTGTGGCAGATCGTGGCTGGCCTAGTCGCAGATATCTTTCCAAGTTTGGCCAGTCCAAGGAGAAACTGAAACGACAAGTCTACTCTTCAAGGTTGGTAGACATATCCGTAACCTTTTAGAAGATGAAAAATGTTTGGTGCGGATATCAGCGCTACGACTGTAAAGTTTATGCAAAGGTGAGTGCAGAAGCTGGAACTATGCCCAGAAGACACAAGGAGAAAAGAAAGCTGAGAAAATATGCCTAGATGTCGTGTTCTCTTAAAAATCGTAATTGGACGGTTCATGCAAGAGTTCTGCTCAAAATCGTAGACATGGCTTAAATACTCATAACAGAGGTAGAGGTTCAGTAGTAACGAAAACTGCCTATAGCGGAAACAAAAGAGAGGAGGTAAAAGTTGGTTCACGTGACGCGCCGGATGAATAATTTCGCCGATTTTCCGAAGCGACCTTCATCAACTTTTCGGCAAGCCATCAGCTTCGTCTCCCTATATCGCAAAAATGCGTCGAATATCTCGGCCGCAGCAGCCAATTGACTTACTACTCACCTCATTTCGACGTCCCCAAACGCAGTCCTCCTCTTCGCCATGTCTTGTCTGCAATTTCCGCGCCATTTCCTTCCCTAAAGCGCGACACCCGTCCACCTACGTCGCCGCCCGCTTCTCGACATCGACAAGATTACGGCAGGAACCGATTTTCAAGCCCAAAAATCCCGAGAAGGCGAAAGCGTTTACCGACAGTATTCAGGCGAAGCTCTGGGGCGGGCAGGAGAATGTTCTAGGACGCGAGGATCCGTACGACAGGAACTCCCCGATGCGGGTACCGGGCGGAGGAAAGGCCGAGAACGAAGTAGAGGCGAAGAGACCCCAGATAGTGGAGGAGGAGGAGGTGTCTGAAAAGTATGCGGATGAGCTTGCGGAGGAGTCGCATTCGACCGAAGACGAATATAGCCCCGACCATGGGCGTTACGAGGAGGCGAAAACCTGGCATGGGCTTGAGCGGGTAGGTAGCAAGGAGTGGGCGGAGGAGTACCAGGATCAGGAGAGGGGGAGACTACACTTTAGAAGAGGGTGAGGATGTCCTGCAGTGCTCATCCATGCCAGAGTGCTAATATTTTGAGTGCAGCTATCTACCCTCAACCAAGATAACGGACCCTGAAGCGCTTGACGCAGCACTCCATAGGGCGATCGCCGAAGTTTTTACTCTCCAGAAAGTTGGCATGGATCTCGGCCTGACATCTAAACGAGCCGGTAGCCAGAACGATTTAGGCTTCATACAAAGTGTCAAAGTCGGTCCTTCGAAAGACGGAAACAGCGCTATTGTGGAATTCTCAGATTCTACAAACGAGTCGGAAATAGTGCAAGCGCTGGAAGCACTTGCTAAAACCTCCAATTCGGTCGACACAGAATCGTCACCGGATATTGGACCGGAGGAAGCAAGTTCTGTCTTGGAAACGACTACCCAGTCTCAACGATGGAAAGAAGGCTGGCAATCAATCTCCATAAGCGACCCAGACGTTAAGTTTGCTGTACGTTCTATATAACTCTCTCTCTCTTACCCGTGTCACAACTAATCGATTACTTAGGTCGTGAAACGATTAATGCAGTTGACTGGCCATCGTCTATCCGACCCTGTCATCCAAGACACGAACACTATCGGCCAGCTCTTAGCCCGAATCACAGCACCCCCTAAGCCGAAGAAGCTTGTTGAGGCTATTCAAGGTGACGGAAGACTCCAAGCAGTGTCGAATGTGAAGGTATCCGGACAACGTGTCACACCCATGGACAAGGAGCAAGAGGTCGGGAGGTTGAAGGTCATCGAGTACGCCCTACGCGAACGTGGCTTACTTGTTGGGGCTCCCTCTTGAAGGTGTTAGAACTCAAACACTAGGCTGTAAGAGTACTGTATATCTGTAATATAGTGGGCAAGCACCGATGACCGGGCACGCTCTGTGAACTGTACATGGATTCAAATAAGCATTAAAGCATGAAAGTTTGGCTACTTCGACGTGTTAGTATGCTGAAGAAAACCATGGAGCTATGTCCATACCCACTTCGAGTGATTTTAGAGTCAAATGCGCTTAGATCGTTTTGACCCTCTAAAACGACTAGCGTTCTAGTAATTCATTGCGCCCGTCGTGCCGTCCTCAACCTCCGTCTCAACCTAGAGCATCCATACTACCAATCGGTAAATCTCCTGAGCTCTGCTAATTATCTGGTGCCTTGCTCATATGCTTGCATGAAGGCGCAGCACCTCCAGAGCAGCCCCGCTTCCAAGGCTCCAAGGCTGCTACCTATTGGGGGCTGTGCTCGAGGCTATAAACTGTCAAGTCTTCTTTCCACCCACCCCATCCCAAATTCGCATAAGCACATAGTCATCGGTCTTTTCATCTCAGCATTTCATTCTCATCCCAGTCTCTGCGTCTAAGACCTTCAATCAGAACCATGGCAAGGCACTCCCCCAACTGGTGCAGAATCGGCGAGGCCGCTCTCTGCATTTTATGTCTGCCTTTGCTAGCGCCATTGTTTTGCTTCTGCACTGTAACCTACCGCAGGCGCGGAGGTGGGAGAAGCCCGTTTCCAATGCATCCTGCGAAGCCGTATACTCAGCAAGAAAAGGACGAACTCGATCGCAGAAAAGGAGAGAGAAACGCTCAGCCGACTTTACCGGTTGTGAGGCCTCGTGCACTTAGCTTACCGCTGCCGCTGGAGGATACTAGCGCTGAAGAAAAACCAAGAAAGGACTTGGAAAGGAAAAAGAATACCGTGCGAGTGACACAGATCACACATGACCAGGCGGAGTCCTCGATACTGTACACCCTGCCACTAGAGATTCGGACGATGATCTGGGAATACGCAATCACGGGACACCATATCCATATTGCACGAAGACGTGGACGACTGGGCCACGCTGTTTGTCCGCACCCTGACGATATTTTCGAGCGAGGGGCCAAGGAGCACTTGTGCTTGGAGCGACGGGATGGGAATGACTTTTGGTTACCTACGAACTACCCGCCTCGCGTGAGCCCGTTGTCGTTACTCAAGACTTGTCGGCAGATGTAAGAGCTCTGAGAGTACTTTAAGAAGATCTATGGATATTGATTGTTTTTGTAGATACTCGGAAACCATCGATTTGCTTTACACAGGCAACACCTTCGCCTTCGCAGACCCGCCTGCGTTCGACTGGTTCCACACCTCCGTGCTTCCCTCGCGAACACGACTACTTCGCTCTATCGAAATTCCGTGGGAGTATCAGGCGAACGTCAGCGGCAGCGATTGGAACGTACCCCCGATCCCCATGTGGCGCACAGAGAAGCAACACAAAATGTTCGGGCACTTGTGCTATCACAGTCAGCACCAACTTCGCCACCTGCGATTTCTCATATCCACAAGCTGGTCTTGGAATAGGCTTCCTTCTCAATTCAACTCCCAGCCCAGCATCGAACAGGCAGTTTTCCACGCCAAAATTCAAAACGGCAATCCGATCCAGGTCGTCATGCCGTGGCATAGTTTTAGACTACCGACAGCGGAAGAGACCGCTAGCCTAGCAGCAAGGGGAGTCTCGTTGGAGATTCACCGTGCTCTGAAAGATAGAAACGATTTCGCGGCATTTGCGGTACCGTTTAATGCTAGGTGTCTGCATTGTGGGGATGGGGCGCTTATACCAGCAGGGGCTCGTACGACAGCAGAGAGGTGTTTCTTCGATATCGAAGGGGCGGGAGAGGGACAAGAGGAATTCTTTGAGCGCTCGGAGTTTTATCGAGTCCGACATGGGCCGTGTGGAGGGCTGATTGAATTTGAGACGGAGCTGTTGAGCACGACGTGGCGGGTTACTCATGGTGCCGAGAGGCTCGAGTAGAGATACATGTTTTCTTTCGTCGCCGCTATTAATAATTCCTCCGGTCAGGCAGTTCTGAACGGGGAAGAATAAGATGGACAGCAAGCTTCCGTCTCCACTACTGCATATCGATGAACGTAGTGAAGAGCGGTAGAGAAACAGGAAATGTTTATATTGCTGAGGATTACCTCTATGCTTTTCAAACCATAGGCTTGAGTGTTGACTAGCTAGGTAGTCCAGGCAGCGTGTGAGCGGTAAGGACACCTTGGGTAGAAGTAATGGAAAAACTTCCCAATCGAACCGCAGCAGTCCAATCCATGGCTACGCCGCGTGCACGGAGAGGCACGCCAAGTACCCGCTATGCGTATAAAATTATACAGAACGGACCGCGTAGAATCAATTTTAACATGTGATCACGTGAAACAGCCCTTGAATTGTCTTCAATATCTATCTATCATAGTGACCATGGATGCTCGGTGACTCAATTGAGACTAGCGCCATTTGATGAGCTTAGACTTTGCTGACCCGACTTCGTCTTCAACCTGAACACCGCTAAGCCACTTTCCAGAAAAAGCTATCGAGTTGTCTGTTTCCTGTCGGTGCTATGCTAGGATTCAGCTGCACCGCCCTCTGATCACACAATCTGACCGGCGACCGACTCCTTCAACGTTCCTGTTTCTCGCTGCTGCCTAAGCGCCTCAGCTACATACATTTTTCACATTTATCAATCATCTTTGCTACTCCAACAAGCATCTCGCAAATCATCTTATGACACCTCATAGCTGATCATCAACGCGCACTTGTCTAGCGCTGATTTCTTGATCGCTGCATTATCTCACAGTATCCTACCATGGCCGCCAAACCGTCGGCCGAAGCGTTGCGCGAAATGCGCCTGAAGCGATTCGGTGCTACGTCTTCCAGCAGTAGTAGTTCCGCCGCTGCTTCATCTTCGCCCAATACCGTGGATAGCAGTGGTAAATCTGCATCGTCCGATGCCCTCCTCTTACGGGAGTACATTCCATCGAGCGAGCAAGAGCGTGAGCTCAAACGCTTCCGAAACGAGTGGGCCAAAGAAGTACGCAAGAAGACGACTGCTCAACAGAAAGCCATGGAAGCCCAGAGTATGGAAGCAGAAAAGAAACGCGCGATGCGTGAGGCGCGGCGACTAGAGCAAGAAGAGCGCGATCGACGGCCGACGATGCAAGAGCTTGATGAGATTGCTTTGAGGGAGCGAGAGGAGAGAGAAGTTCTGCAGCTGCGCATCAAAAAGATGGATGACGAGAAGCGCGAGTACTATCGCACTACGTGGCTGTCTGAACTGGATAAGCAAATTGCTCAATGGACTTCCGGGTCTCCCTCCAGCAAACCTGGCGAAGCCTCTCACGAAATGAATTATGCCGCAACCATCAAAAATTCCACTGGCAGCTATGTAGCGGCGCACAAGGTGTTCGGCATCACGGAACTGCACCAGCATATTCTTTCCTATCTTTTGCCCGTGGACATTCTGATGACGTTGGGTGTGAATCGCTATTGGCGCTCTGTCGCATTCCCCCTAAAAGCCAAAAAAGAGAGCGTCCAATCTTGGCTAGATCCGATGGAAGCAGTAGACTTGCATGGCGTCAATGACAACCTTTTAAGCCCGTGCTGCACCGAGTCGTCAGGACGATGTGGCACATGTGAGAGAGACCTGGACGAAAACAATATGGGTCGCCATTTCGTCGAAATCCGCCAGCTGAAGCCAAACCCATACCTTCAACAACAGATTCTTAGGAACAGAGGGCTCATTCTTCCCCTATTCGATTTCGAACCAAGAGAGCGGGAATTCAGGAACGGAGTGTTCATTCTTCACCCATTCGAACCAAGAGAGTTCGAGGTGAAGCTTGCCAGGGACCTGAAGCCTCATTTCATATATCCTCAAGAGGAACGCTTCACAAACCCTGATGCTAGTTGGCGGAACATGTACCTCACGAAACCACCGATTCGAAAAGTGGAATTAAGTCATTGGTATGCTGGGGTGAAAGAGACGCGAACCCCATTCGACGTGGTCTACGATCCGAATGGAATCCGGTGTGCTCACCTCTTAGATGTGCTGGAGAGCCATGCTGCGACAATCGCTCAGCTGTGGATGAGCACTAAGCTTAAGGAGAGGGCCCGTGAGGAGACGTTTATTGAGAATGCGGAGTTCCAGGAGCTGAAATTGTGTAAGAAATTTCTACACGAGGAACCTAGGATCATTGGTAGGTTGATAAGATAATGGACAACCTTCCGGCGTGATGGACAGCTTGATGTCATATGGACTTGTTTATTGTTTCTATAATGTTTCATTAACTCCTCTATCTATGAACTATTGGCCAGGACTTTCAGGATTTCCCGTCGACCGCACTTCTATAAACCTAAAAAAATCGCAGCGGCATTGTCTATCGTCCGTCCCATTTATCCAGCCCTTTCCCTCCTACTTCCCAAGCGGCCGCAGCCCTGAAGATGTTCTCTTCGTCAAATCTCTTCGCTATCAACTGCATGCCAACTGGTAATTTTCCCTTTCGATCTGGTAGCGAGCCCCATCCGCAGGGCATACTCAGACCAGGATCTATCATTTGTTAGCAAAGATCGCCCTCAAAGATTCAAGGGAAAAAAACTTACGACCGGTGACGTTGAATTGACATCTATTCATTATTAGCAGAGAAGCTATCAAACGCCCAAAGGCAAGGCACTTACGTGTTAAGAGTTGCCCCAATCGCCGGATCCATTTTCTCTTCGACTGTCATACCATACTCCGGGTGCTTGCTCCCAACCCTCGGGTTTACAGGCGTCACGAGAACGTCGAAAGTCTCTAGAGCCTTATCATAGTCAGCACGCATCTCCATTACGTGCATCATAGCTTTGCCAATGAGCGCATCCGCGCCCTCTTTTGCAGAAAGATGTGCCACGTTAAACATAACATTGACCACTGCTGGGTTGTGCTTGTTGAGGATTTCGAATGACTCCTGCGTCATTGCTGGTGGTGCTATTCTAGGCATCGGATAGGTCAGCAGCGGCATGGGCAGATTTCTCATACCGTATGTTCCCATACCCGGCCTTGCTGCGATTGTCCAGATTGAGGGACCGACGAGGTGTATCGGGATCGAGATATCTTCCACTTCGGCTCCGATGGTACGGAACTGCTCTACAGCTGCCTTGACAACTTTCTTAACTTCATCGCTGAGCCCCATCACTCCGAACGCCTCGGTGATGACCCCAATTCTCAATCCCTTGCCCGCGGCAGTCGGTATCCACTCCCCCTTCCCCTCCTTTTCTTTCACAAACGCTGCCAGTAAGCTAGCATAGTCTGGGACATCCTTCTTCAACGGCGTCTCAGGCGTCATACGCGCATCCATCCCATCATATCCCGCCAACACCTCAAGAAGCTTCGCATTATCCTCCAAACTCGCCGTCATAGGCCCCGTATGATCGATCATCGGAAACAAACTAATAATCCCCGTATACGGTACCAACCCATGCGTAGGCTTCAGCCCATAAATCCCCGCATACGACGCCGGGATGCGGATCGAGCCACCCTGATCCCCTCCAATCGCCATATCGACGCCCTCGCCGATCTCATCTGGACCGGAAGGAGGGGCGATGCCATGGCGCTCCCGCCACAGCTTGGACGCTGTGTTGCCGACGAGCGCGGCGCAGCCGCTGCTGCTTCCGCCGGTTGTGAAGCCGCGGAGCCAGGGGTTTTGCACGCAGCCGGTGGCGGAGGTGAAGGAGAGGGGGGACATGGAGAAGTGTTCGCAGGTCGCGCTGCCCTCTATCTTTCCGCCTGCATTTAACACGCGATTTACAACTACGGCGTCAACCTCTGGGATTGGGTACTCTTTTTTTCCCGTCAGTAGCTCGGGGAAGGTTCCGCCCGTTAATGGTACGCCGGCGACGGAGATATTGTCTTTGACGGCAACGGTCTTTCCGGCGAGTTGGTGGCTTTCAGGATTTGGGGAAGAGATGGAGACGCGATGGCTCCATGCGTTTAGGGGATTGGTGGAAGGTTCTGGTCTCACCCATTTTCGGGGGAGGGTGGAAGGGAGAGGAGCTAAGCGTGGTTCCTTGTATGGGGCAAGCGAGGCGATTTGGGAGGCCGTGGCATCGAGGCCGTTGAGGAGGTGGCGGTACTGTTCTGCTTCTGCGTCTGGGATCTTGAGGGAGGCCTTTGAGGCGAGGGCTTGGATATCTTCGACGGAGACTGGAATGGGTTAATGTGGGTGTTTAGGGAGAATGGGGTGGAATAGATGGGGTACCTGTGGGAGGCCCGGTGGGGAGGAAGACGACCGACATTCTGACGAGGGAGTCTCAAAGCTCTGAGAATGTGACTTTCGGACTGTGGTTTGCTACTACGCCTCCAAGACGTGTCGGACGAGGATCATACAGTAGGTTTCGAATTTGCGACTCGTAGTGGTTATACATAGTTCAAGAAGTGGAGGGCTAGGGTTTCTTATCGCCATAAGCTTTGAAATAGCATGCAATAGCTCTATCAGGGCTTCCGAAGCCGACTTCGGAGAATTATTAATGTATGATACAGGGAGCCTGCACCCGACCCGAAGTGTTCAAGCGGTACCGTGATGGTGCCGACATCTATGAAGATGGTCTCACAGTCACGTCTTAACAAGGGCCTGAATATAGAACTACCCTTCATGATTCTGACTATATGATGAAAAGAACACGCTATATTAATCGTCATGGCCTTCTGGATGGATATCAAATATACGTATCTACCCCTCAACGCCACACCAGCACGTCATCACATGACATCCTTCGGCCCAACTTCCGACCTCAACCTCCCGCCTCTCATCCACGCTACGCTTATCGGAACAAAACTGCCGTCCCGCCCAGCACCATGCGTTACACACATCAGCCCAGAGATAGGCCACTTCCGCTTAATTGGAGAACTATGCCAGGGACGCTGTCCACGGCGTCATCGCTCGCATGGGAGGAGCGTGTGGTGGAGAGACGCGGAGGGGATGAGGGGTGATGATTGCGGCATTGGGTCTCTGATATAGAGGTCTGGTATCGTAGACTTGGCCAATTCAACTCAATTGCAGAGCTGAGATTGAGTTGGGATAATGTCGACTGCGAGAAGATATCGTCTTGGTGTGGATGTTGGTGCAAGTGCTAGTTCTCAAACCCAATATCTCTCCCCATTATGTTTCAATCTTTCCATTACTTTATTCTCCTAACTAAATCCTCTTCCTATCTTGTCTGAAGAAACCGTGCTTTTCTCGCTATTACTCCTTGTATTCTCATCACGAACACCGCGTAGGGCACCTTTACCGACATCTGCGTCATCACACCCACTGGCCTGACCGTCCGCGCCAAAGTGCCCACTAATACCACCGATCAATCCATCGCGGTAAAAGAAGGCGTCGACCGAGTCCGTGCAATCCTGAAATCCCAATACGGCTAGGACGGGAAGTTCGACTACATCCATTATGGAACTACTACCGCCACCAATGCCATACTCGAAGGCAAAGGCGTGAAAACTGGCCTCGTCGTCACAAAAGGCCACAAAGACATCCTCAGCTTTCGCCGCAGCCAGATGCCCGGGGGCTTGGGTGCATGGATCAATTTCTTGCAGCCTGAGCCGATCGTGCCGCCCGAGCGGACGGTGGAGGCGCCGGAGCGGGTGAGTATTCAAGGAGAAGTGGTTAAAGAGCTGGATCGGGAGGCATTTCGAGCTAGTCTCGCGGATCTGAAGAGGCAGAAACCGCAGGCGATTAGCGTGAGCTTGTTGAATTCGTTTGCGAATAATGTGCACGAGGAGGCGATATGGGGAATTCTTTTGGAGGAGTTCGGACCTGATGTTGAAGTTGTCACGTGGACGGAGATTTTGCCAGAAATTCAGGAGGTGAGTATCTAGGAAGGGTGATGGTAGTTGGGGGAACGTTTGCTTATGTCGACAGTATGAGCGGACGGTTACGACGGCGGCGAATGCGGCGAATGCGCTCGTCAAGCCGATTGTCAAGAAGTATATGACGGGATTACAGAAGCTTTTGGCAGATGATACGGATACGATTCGCATTTTGAAAAGCGATGGAGATTTGACGTCGACCCATTTGGCGGGCGAGATGCCGGTCTCCATCTTGATGAGTATGATCCGGTCCATTCACGAAAAGATATTTCAAACTAATATATTATTATTATTATTATTATTAAGTTCTATTATGCTGATTTAGTTCCCGTTAGGGTCCATGCAGCAGTTCTATCTAAGCTAAGTATACAAGGGGAAACCGTTCGTGCTAGGCAGCGTTTGGATGAAAACCTTGCTTTCTGCGGTGTATAGCGCTGTGCGCTCTTCATGCTAATGTACGACTGTTGGGGACACGTGGCAGCTCTGTTAAGCCGGCCACGGAATAAGCCATCGCGGTGCGTTGTTGTAAATCTGTCCGGGGTCCAGGGTTAGGTCGTCCTCCTAGGTTCGGGTCGATTCCATTGGATTCCGGAGATGAAGGCTGGTTTATAATTAGCGTAAGAGCACGCCTACAGGTAGTGCGCGTGCGTGCTCTTCCGTAAAGCCAGGGGTTGAAGTAAATAGTTTGTGGGTTGTTGTGTGCATGCTGTAGGTGGGGCTGTTCTATGCTTAGGGGTAGGCCTGAGGGCCGGGCGCCCTAAATAGGTGGATTAATACAAAATAGAAGGGTAGGGTTAAGGCCGTATTAGCGTATTGCGGGTGTATAGGCGGACTGCCGTGGCAAGGGATAGCCGCTTGAAATAGGAGTGTTGCAGCAAGAATAGGCAGGTTAATATAAAGTGGGCAGATTTGCCCTGGCGGCAGGGCAGTGTAGAGTAGGGCTATGCTAAATAGGTGGATTATTGTTAAATAGGGGAATTTACTCCTGCGCTATTTCCCTAGCTATTAAGAGGTATAGTAGGAGTTCCTTCTGCTAGAGGAACTATTAGGCTAGGACCTTAATAGTGCCCCTATTTTTATATAGCTTTTTATAGGCTCTAGTTTTAGCTTTCCTAAATAGTTTATTTCTGCCTTTTATATATTATTTGCAGTTTATAACTATATATTATAGTATTTATCGGCTAGCTCTATAGAAGCACGCCGGTATTAGGTAGTTTAGTACTTTTATCCTATATAGGTACTTATTAAGCCCTATATATTCTATTTATAGGTTTATAATAATTATACTTTCTATTTTAGTAAGCTTGCTATATATATATTTATAGCGCTTCTATTACTTAGTATTAAGCACTAGTATAAAGGGTTTTTTTTATAGTTTTTTTTAGAAGGCTTTTAATTTTTTTTTCTACTTATTTTTATATACTATAGTAATTGCTAAGCATTTTAAATATTTATATAAGTTATCTAATTTACTTTTAAACCGGGTAATATTTCTAATAGTAACTACCGCTTACTTATAAAGTATATTATATTTACTAAAGCTAAACTAGGTATAATAGGTTGTTTTTTCTATACCTTCTAAGTGCTATATACTAAGGCAGGGTATAGGTTAAGTTATTATCGGGGTGTAATAGTTTTTAAAAGGTAAGGTAAAATTAATCTTAGGTATAAAACGGGGTTATTACTTTTAATAGGTAGTATTAAAGTCTTAAGTTAAATATAAGGTTTCTATCTATATAAAGAAGCGTCCTTATATATAAAAGCTCCGTCTTAAGAAACCTGTTTACTTATCCCGCTTTTAGGGCTTATAGCCCTTAAGCACCTTAATCCCGATAAGCGCTTTTTTAGCTCTACGCTTATTCTTTTTATAAGCTTAATAAGCTATTATATAACCCTATTTTTATAATATCCTATTTTTAGATTATTCCTATCTACTAGCAGTTTATAAGGGAATTTAGAATCCCTATACGCTCTATATATAACCTTTTTAGTCCTATAACCTAGTTCTATATAATTAGTTTTATTTACTTACTTATTTCTATAAGTACTGCTGCGCTTAGGTAGTTTATATTACGGGTTATAATACTAGGGTGTTTTTTAGCTACTATATTTATTCCTAATAGTATTTCTTATATTACTATATATCTAGTTAATATATATATAGATAGGCCTTTTATATATCCTATCTATATAGGCTACTACTAGTTTTTCTAACTTTAGCCTAAAAAAAAGGTAAAATATTTTATACTTTAGTACTTTAATAGGTATTAATTTATAGGCCCCTAAAATATACTAAAAGTAGTAGTTTTATACTATTTTAAGTTATTTAAGTTTTATTTTACTAAGCTATTTTTTATACTTACTATAGGTATTAGGTTCGTGGCTGGAAAAGGGTTGTATTGCTATTAATAAGGTTGCGTAGAGAGAAGAAAGGCTCCGGCCATAAGCCTGCTATATAGTTAAGCGCGCGCCGGCAGAACCCCGGGCGGCGGAAGAACCCTCGGCCCGCGATCACGTGACGTCCGTGCACGTGCTAACCTGCGGCCTTAATAACTACTAAAGGCACCGCAAGCCCGACAAGCAGCCTGTACGAGGCGGTGCTACGAACCTGCTCCTACATTGTAGTGAGCAGAGCAGATGCTTGAGGCGCGATGGAGCTGGTGATGGCGTTGTGGCCGTTCGAAGGCCTCCAACCGGACGACGACAACAACGAACCGCGTCACCAGAACAGAGGAACAACCATCAAAATGGGTATGAAAACCATCCGACGTATGTCTACTTGTGTAGGAAGCAAGCCGAACGTGGAGTCGATGCCTAGGCGTACGACAGGACACCTCTGGGGTGGCGATGCAGAGTTTTCACCCTCCCCTCTATCGAAGCTCTCGTTAACTGATGGTGTCTACAGTGCCTACAGCGTCACCAGAGTCATTGGCGGTCAATTGGAGGACCTCAAACAGCGTGGTGCTCGCAGCCTTTGCCTAGGGGACAGCATTCTCATGGCGGTTAAGTGGAGGACCTCAAACAGCGTGGTGCTCGCAGCCATCGACAACGCAATGCCTGTAGGCGCCCATCAGCACGCGAGGAAGCCCGAAGCTCCTGAAGGGAGATGGTCACAGCCAGCAT